TCTATATATCTTCTTTTACCTCGCCTTACAATATTTCTACGCGTAGATAAATTTATTTATAGTAAGCGAGACCTTTAATAGAAGGACTTCGGCGAATGATTTTTATACGTCGCTCGATAAGACTGTTCGATGATTACCTAGAACTTACACTTCTAGCATTTAAAACGAACCCATTTCGTCGTGAAATTACACTTACATAATTATATTAAACAATAACGTATACGCAGTTAAAGCCTACGTTACCTCTTTAGATAAAAAGTTTTATCTAATTACCGCTTTTTTTTTTAAAATCTTTTTTTACTAAGAAGGCCGTTATATAACCTCCCATCTAACGTCACTTAGTATTAAAGGCTATTATTTAGATTATTTCTTTCGTAGAGAGCTATAATATTAGTATATAACGCCGGCCTTAGTAATAACGAGATTCAATTACTAGGTCGTTAAAAGTTAGATTTCTATCGCCTATATATAGTTACTTACTTAGCTTATATACTAAAGCATTACTACGATATTAACATCTTCTAGCCCATCCGCCTAGTGCTGTTATCTCACCTACTCGGTAGATACCGTTAAGTTCTCCTAAGACTTTCACCCTCTTTAAACGACGTCTTAGGTTGTTTAGGAGTTTTCTAGCCTGGGGAGCTTTTAACTATTATATGTTTAAAAGCTTAGCTCCCAATTAATATCTAATATCTATCTATATATCTACTTATACATGCGTTGTTTTATGGCCTACTTTTCAGTACTAATCGCAACAGTGGACTTGGTTAGTGAGTTTATTATGAGGCTATAGCGTTAATGGCTTTTATTAGCCGTTCGTTTGGTACCCTTGTGGTACCTCTATTGGTACCCCGGTAAGGGGTTGGGATAGGTGTTTAGTATGACTATATAGCCACCTGTTTTGCACCTATCAACGGCTCTTCATTCGATTTCGTCTCTGTCAGAGCTATATTATTTTCTCCCATTCACCCACACCTGTATATAGCCTCATTTCACTCCAGGGTATGTCGCTTAGACATGGGAGTTTCTAGCCTGGGGGCCTTTTTGGACTATTTGCATGTCCAAAAAGGTCTTAGCTCCCCAGTTTGGATATGCCCAATCATCTATCTACATATCTACTTGTGCATGCGTTGTTTTGTGTATGGCCTCACTGTTGCGACACTAGTGGCCAAGAAAATCCAGTTACGGGCAATCTGTACCGCGTCTCACTGTAGACACCCGCTAGCCTTGTGCGGACTTGTATATGAAGTCGGAACGCCGATGATTCTCTACCTGTTCAAGTTTCCCTCCGTTGCCGAGCTTTCCCCAAGAACCTCACAAGCTCGCTTTTCTCTTCCAACTGACCTTCCCTACTGCAAATTATAAAGCATCTCGGACTCACATCGCCAAATCCTTCCTACTTCCATTTCCGACGCCACGATATTTGCCCCAACCAGAGCCTCATGGCAACCTTTTCCAGCCTTCCCATCGAGATTCACTACCTGATCATGTCTCGAGTTTCTTTCCGCGACAGAGCTCGCATGGCCCTCGTCAACAACATGTGCAGGATAATTGCCGACGACGAGGAGAGTTATCGGGTCCAATACGTTCGCGACTTTGGGGATCCAGCATTGCACGGCTTCTACACTTTTACCAAGATCAGCGAAGAAGTCAGGTGGAAACTAGCCTACGAGCGCCGCCATTTTGCCGATATGCCTTTGCTCGTTGCGGACCGCCGTTCATGTTATGCTGCAGCATGAATGAAACAGGCTTGCTGGATAGTTATGGTGGGAGTCGAAGCCGGATATTTAGCAGCCTTTTGCGCCTGGGTACACAATGTGTAGCTAGTCAAGCATTCATACGTCTCGCGAGCATTCAGATTAATGCTTACATCAATGCTATGACCAACTCTCAAAGGAATGTCTCCCAAGCGCTCTCTCTCCACTTCCACAATCTTCACACTAGATCCGCACCAGAAGGACTTAGCAAATAGCTATGAGAACTGCAACTGAAGTAAAGAGCCGCCTCATAAGATTGCCGCTCCTCAGACACTCGAGAAACAGAGCCCATGATGTCTGTCGAGTAGCTGAAACCTAAACAGTACATCCTTATCAATGTCTCAGGTTCCCGTAACCAAGCAGGGTCCGCTGCGAGGACTTCATACATCTCAACGGCGTTTCCGGTCTCAGGCTGTAAGAATGCGTACGCCTTACACCGAAATAGTTTCCGCACACTAGCCTCGTCTGCTACGAAAACTTCTACATCAATCGCGTATCTCTGTTGTCCTCAGTGCAAGCCTCGTTGGCAACTTTTGATGATCTTCCTAATGAGCTCAATTATATAATCGTCTCTGAACTCGCTTGAGTCTCCTACCGCGACAGATTTCGGGAATATCAAACTCCAAAAACCCAACAGGAGAAAGCTCTCTTTTTCTTTCTTCGCGCATACTTTTGCGGGTATCCACCAGAATAAATCAGCGCTTCCCGTCAAATCATGTTGAATAAAAACAACTCTATGCGTAAAACCATTTGCCTTGCAGCTCGAGTGACGTACTTAAGAGAACCTTTGTGAAAACCGGAATCTATTTCTGGTTACGCGCCTGAACTGCCTACATCTCAAACTGGGCCCCAAGTTGTGCCCCGGAACTACGTCTCAAGCTGCGTTTTCACCTGCGTCTCGGACGGTATGGAGGAGCTAAATTGATAATGGAAGATGGTCCAGACTGCAGCCTCGTCCCCCAACGAGTCGTCTAGTAAGTGAGCATTCCCTCATCTTTCCGACAGACATGAATAATCCCTCCGCTACATCCGAATCGAGACTGCGCTGTCGACCGACCATACTTTGCCCTCATCAAACTTGTCCAGCCAAACTGTTCAAAGGTGATGGATTGACTAGTTCTATGGAGCGGTGTTTCCATGTAGAGGTAGTAGCAAAGGCCTGTGGCAAAAGAACGCCAGTGCTGTCATTGTATTGGAATGTGGTGTGGAAGTTGTTGTATTAAGAAGGAGAAGAATGGCTGTGAAGCCTACTAATAGTAGGTGGCTAGCCCTACCATGCTGGGAGCATTATCAATTTGTCGACCTGTTTGGCCTCAACGGGCCACGCATACAATCACACGTTTAATACAGTAAAGACAATATCGTTTCTGGGACCTGAAACAGAAAAAAAAAAGGGCGTTGGGGGGGTTTGGTTTTTGGTTTTTTATTTGGACACTGAGTCATTATCATTTGGTGAAGGCGAACTCCAACAGCATGTCAAAGGGTTTTCACTGCTTGCTAGAGTCAGCTTCAGAAGATATGGGCGAATACAATTGCGCGTCGGGGCAAAGATCCACCCACGGATACAATATATGATTATGATCCAAGACCACCGAACGTCGATAACCCGCCAATCTCGGCGCACGACATACCATCTCATTTATTCCACGTATTGTTCTATTACTGCCTGATAAGTTGCAGAGGCTTTGGTTCTTGGGCATGGTGGCTCGTCAAGCATGCTAACGGTTCACAAAATGTGGCGGTTTGGCCTTTCCATTTGTCTTGGGTCTATGATCGGGTTTTAAAGTATTCATACGAGTCGGTGTGATTTGTGGAGGTTGCGTGGCATTGGAATTGAATCTCTGTGCCATGAGTAGAAACGCGGAACCCAGAGCGTTCAAGTGGAGATCATTTGGCCGTCGCTGAAGCGGGGTCCTCAAGTAGCATAGCGGCAATGAACCAGTGGAGCATAAAAGCAATACTTGAGGGCTCAGCAGTGGTCATGAAATCTACTGTCCATGGTTTAATAAAATCAATTCTCTGATTCCTAATCAACACCCTCCTCATCTTACGCTCTAGCGTGGAGAGACGCCAATGGTATCGTATCGAGATTGGAAAGCCAGAAGCAGCTTGTAAGCTTGTAACTTGCGTAGATCCTCGGGACTGATATGGCACTGCCCTCGGACACCCTCCAAGACCTCGCCAAGACCAGAGTCTCTTCATCAAAGAGCTGCTCCCGACATGTGCGGAGCTTGCATATGACTGCGAATTGAAGAGCAGAACTTCAATTTCTAATGGATGTATGTATTCCAGCCTGATTTTATTCAAATTCGAGCTGACAATGCTTGCTTCAGCCCCCGCCCGGGGTCCCGCGGCACCCTGCGCACCCTCACCACACTTACCCCCCAGGGCTTAGCTCGCAAGCGTTAACTTGGGCGCCAAGCCTAAGGCACTGCTGCGTGCGTACTCCGTAGATCATGCACTGAGAGGGCCGAGAAATCAAGGCTGCAGACAACATCCTCATACGTCACCATCTATCTTGCAACATACCCTTGCACGTATTCCATATCGTCACCAACGCCAAGGCTCATCTCATTTTCTCGGCAGGTTTCAGCTCGACATGAATCTTGTTGCGCGCCCTTGTTTCGGCTCGACGGTGGCGGCTCACTAGTAAGGATCCCCACGTGGCATGAGCTGAATGATCTACCTCTAGTCTGTTGACGTCTCCTTGCACTTTGCTCTGAGGTTGTCAGTCACTTGGTGCTAGGATTTGCGACGGGCAAATGGATACAGAAACTACGTATGTTGAAATGTGTGGCGCAAAGCCAAAGCCATCAAAGACAGCTCCAGAGTGGCTCGTGCGTCAGCGAACCCGCATAAAATAGAGCTGACTCAGGACACGCTACAAGTAAGGTGCATACTGCATGCTAAATATTCCCGAATTTGGTTGGGATTCTAGACTCCGCGGGGAGAGTCTCCCCGGGCGTTGGGGACAGTATTTAATCCTCAATTCCAGCGTTCTGATTCGTCCAAGGATCCGCTGCACCCTGGATGTCAATCTGAGCGAGCCAAGGGTAAGGTGGCCCGGGGGTTTCCTCAAGAACCATGTACGTAACGCGAGCATGGGTAACAACGAGGCTTTTAAGGCACCCCTTGTCGATGGTTTACTACATATACAACCTCTCGCTCCTTCATCTTCCACCAATCTTTTCTCCGGTTCGCGACATCCCGGAACCCCGCCATTCTTGTCTTTAGCCAATAGAAATGTCGCTCCCGAATGTTTCCGATGTCGCTCTCTGGTTCGCCCTGGCTCTGGGGCTTTGGATTTGTTTAAGTAAACTTTACCAGGCCTATGCCTCGCCTCTGAGAGATGTGCAGGGCCCGTGGCTGGCAAGGTTCACTCGGTTCTGGTATGCGAGGTCAACATACTCGAGACAAGGCCACAAGATCAATATGGATTTGCATAAGAAATATGGACCCATCGTTCGCATTGCCCCCAACGAGTATAGTATCGACGATTTGGAAGCCTCCAAGATCATTTATCGCTCTAGGGACCCTTTGGTCAAGGTCTGTCGAGGTGTTTTGCAGAATCCAGAGCGCTCCTCATTGATTGGTCTTTGCAGGCGCCACGATATGCAGGGTGGGGTTTGCCGAATGCAGAACCGAGTACCTTCACCACACTTGACAACGCTCATCACGCGGCACGCATACGCCAGGTGAACTCATTGTATCAGACTAGCGCGCTCGTGAATATTGAATATCAGGTCGATGGCGTGACGAACGAGTTTGTGGAGAGACTGTCGGGGTTTGCTAAAGAGGGGAAGACAGTCGACATGGGTGATTGGTTGAAGTACTATGCCTTTGATGCTGTTGGGTCACTCTCCGTGAGCAGCGATTTTATGAAATCCTGATGTAACATTCGGATACTGACCAGCTCTGTTCAGTTTGGCAAGCCTTTTGGCTTCCTTCAGAAAGGGACAGATATCGCCGGAATCCTGGAGACCATCCATTCTTATGCATTCTACGGTATGGTTGCGGGAATATACCACGAGTGGCACCCTACCACGTACAGGATATGGCAATGGCTAGCCCCCAAGGAACGCGGTGGAGGCATAGCACACATTATGCAATTCGCAGGCCGAGCCATAGATGACTGGAACCGACGCCTAGAATCAGAGAAAGCGATGGATGAAGAGAAGACTGAAGGTGGTGACCTCTTGTACACTAATCAAACAGGCTCTCTGCTTGCGAAAGTCCGAAGGAACCCTGAGAGTTTCAAGGCTGAGGATATTTTCTATCACATGTCGATGAATGTGCTTGCGGGCGGAGAGACCACGGCTGCCTCGACCGCGAATATTGTTTACTATCTGATCAAGAATCCAAGGGTGCTGGGCAAGCTTCGTGAAGAGTTGCAAGAGGCCTTGGGGAAGAGGGACGAGGCAAGCAAGAGGGTTTCGGTGAAGGAGGCGCAGAATGTCCCTTACTTGCAGGCGGTGATTAAGGAGTCGTTGAGAATATTGCCAAATGGTCTGCACTTGCCGCGTGTGGTGCCTAAAGGAGGCCTTAATTTGGCCGGGCGTTTCTTTCCGGAAGGTGTAAGTCACCGTGTCTCCTGCAATAAATGGCCTTAAAACCTTACCATTGACGGTTCTTCGCAGACGAATGTTGGCATTAATCCCTGGGTCGCCCACGCCAACCGATCCGTATATGGAGAGGACGCCGATGTCTTCCGGCCAGAGAGGTGGCTGGAGGAGGGAAGTATGGATGGAGAGAACAAGATGGAGCAGTACTTCTTCACGGTTAGTGCTTTTGATGCTCTCCTCGTCTTCAGCAACCCAGCAACCACAACTACTCGTGGTGCTCAGAATGCGGTATTCCTGACCCAAATACTCTCTCAAGCAATGCCCGTTGTCCCACCCTCAGTGGGCGGTCTAATTGGTGCACACTCCCACAGGGGTGCGCCAAGAAAGAAATTACCTTGGCGTCAACAGCACTCACTCTCTTCACTCTCTTGGGAAGAGAAAAGACGCGAGAAGAACGAAACTTGCTAACAAGTATTGACGGGAACAGTTCGGCCGCGGCCCTCGTACTTGCCTAGGTAAAAACATATCGCTCATGGAAATGAACAAGCTCATCCCGGAGCTGGTACTGCGCTTCGATATCGAGATGGCGGAGAAAGACGCTGAGTGGACAGTGTACAATGATTGGTTCGTCAAGCAGGAAGGATTTCGAGTCAAGATAAGCAAGAGGCAGGAGACCGGCATGCTTTTGTGACTGGCACCAGGTCTCGGGTTTCGCCAGGTGGATGAGGTGTAGTTGCGTGCATGATGTAGAGACGACTTGCTGTCTCCCCAGCGCAAGCATTGTTTGCCAGTTGACAAGCTTGTTATCTTCGTCTGCCCACGTGGGCCTCTGATATCAAGTTTAGCCTGATATCCTTGCAACGCTGTCATCCTGAAATACTCGCTCAATATTGATTCTTCGTTCCGACCTGGGAAGTGCCATCCGAGGTGAACTCCGCTGCAACATTATTGTCGTGGAGAGCGCTAATACTTGCTGGTAATCAGTTCTCTCTTCCGACCTAGCAAGTGCCAGGCGAGGTGACGAACAAAGGTGGCAACTGAAGTGGTACGTGCCTATAACATATTAGCAGAAAAAGTACCAATGGGGAGTGATCTTGCTGTATAGTACCTAAAACCTGAAGCAAACACCCTCGAACACGACAACGTTTCTAGGTATGATACCCTAAACCGGCGCGAAGATCAACAAAGTCGCCACTACAGACTTCAATTTTTCTTCAAACGTTCCCAGGTCCCCGCTCTGCTGGAAAAAACGTCCTAGGATAGATGGGCATCGAACGATTTGACACAGTATGCCACGCGAGCTATAAATATGGATATTCGATCCTCAAGCACCGAATCCTTCAGGATCACGACAAGAAAAATCGAGCGCTCACATCTGAGTAGATACCTGAAGAAAATGTGAAGAGAGTAATACTAAATGCCGTCCAGGAGATTGTAGGGTATCATCAAATCCCATTCTGAATTGACCGAGGGTCACCGACGGGTCGCCACAATCTCCGAAGCTAGACAGGTCCGTGTTTCATGCAAGTCAGTTGCAAGCTCTGCAGTAAAGGTTTAGTTTTTCTTTTTACAATTCTCTTCTTCTAATCCTTCCGTCTATACTTCACCATTTAGGACCTCACCTGCCAATTTTACACGCGACCACTGGCAAAGCCAGGCTAATGGTACCTATATCAGACGGCCTCGCAAATGTTACCGGGCGCAAAGCCCCCACCGCTCGGGGCTCTTCCTAATGGCCTTCCTAATGAGCTCAGGCCAGACGCATTTGCCTATGTTGCAGCCGAGGACCCTGGCCTACCTTTGAAGATCTGATGACGCACCCATCATTCTTTCCGGCAATTCATCTCTCGCTACAACTCCTCTGCCGAAGTGGTCAAAAAGCATGACCGAGCAGCCCACGCCTCCTGAAAAGAAGCTGCCCCCACTCCTCGCTCTCCCTCTTCCGCTCAAACAGCGGGTCTTTGCCTACCTAGACGAGCCTCACAATCTCTCTCTCTTCCTCCTACGCCGAACCCACCCTATACTGCGCAGGTCGATACCTCGTGGCTACTCTTCGACCCGACAGACCAAGAAGTGCCAACTCTGGACCGCTGAACGCGAGCACCCCTATCTCTTTCCGTTCCGATCCTACCCGTGCTACTGCTGCTTGGAGGTTTATCCGGGCAGGTGCTTCGCACGCAGGTTTAGATACGAAGTGGAGTTGGAACGTCGCTGCAGATTCTGCACACGGGTTTGGGACCGTCGCGTTCTGTCTTCAGACCATCACGATGACGTCCAATCCCGCGCCCGTATCTGAGCAGTCACTGTTCCTCACTCTGCCTCAAATGATTCAAAATCACATCCGCGAATATCGGCTCCGCAAAAATATCGAAGAAGAGTGGCTACTGTATGAACACGACTCGGAGCTTCGCCTCGCCGCTTCCAATGGCAAGCGCGGGATTTTGAGGTCATAGCCGTTTTTCTCGAAGGCATTAGAAAAGAGCGGCAAGTGTGTGCAGATGCATCGGGCATTGCCGCTTCCTCTTCTCAGACCCAGGGTACAACCTGAAATTCTACACCCACGTCTAACCCGCCACCACTTCCCACCCTCCCTCCCGAACTTCAGTTGAACATCTTGTGGCATCGAAACGGAATACATTCGCTGTCTCTGATGATCCTTCGCTGCACCCATCCGTCCTTCCGCCGCCTGATCCCCCAAGCCCATAGTGGTCTCTGAAATCCCGGCTACTTTCGTCTGCTAGCTGACCGCGACCACCCTTACCTCTTTCCATCCGAGCACTACTTGTGCCATTGCTGCTTGGAAGCCTTTGCCAGGGAGGAGTTGGAGGTATGGTACGAAGCGGGGTGATTCTGGTGTTGACGGGCGGTAACACGAGGTCTCTTATCTGATTACATCAATTGGGCGGACGGTTCTAGCTCAAACACAATGCTTTTGACACAGACGACAACACAAGCTTATGCATATCACTTTCACAGCGTCCATGTCTTCCACCCACCAGCTTCCTTCACCGTTCTTTTCTCAACGACATCATCCACAGTTACCATGCAAGTTTCAGAATCAGTCGCCATCACCATGGAAGACGGTCAAGTACTGCCACCACTTCTCGCCCTCCCCCTAGAACTCAAACAGCAGATCTTCGACCACCTCTCCAACGATGACGAGCAAGGCTTATCTCTTACGATACTCCGCCGCACTCACCCCATACTCCGCCACGTCATCCCTCGCCAGCAGCTCAGTCCGATCACTCCTTACAACCCTCTTGACAAGACCGTACCCAGCGAGAATTACAGGACCAGAACCGTCAGACAGTACCAGCTCTCCCTCACCGAACGCAAACACCCATATCTCTTCGCACCCGATCACTATCCGTGCTACTCCTGTTGTGAGGTCCTCGGAGCTAGTCACTTCGAGGATGAGGGAATCAGAGATGAGTTTGTCTGCTTGAAGGATCTGGAGAAGATCCCACTCGGATCACCATCTTCATATCCCCGCAGATGCGATCGCTGCTTGGCAGCTGAGATGATCATTGTATGGGGCATGGAAAATAAACAGCGAAGGTCTGGTGCGGGTGATAGTGGTGGCCTCTGAGTTCTGGACAATGATGCGTCAGGGAGAGAGCTCCGGGTGGGAAGATGGAAATGACTCAGAGCATGCAAGCTAGATCCATCTAATAATCTACCATCAATACAAAGCACACTCTGCGTTTGCTTACCATGTGGGATGGTCCGATAATAACAAGGTCGTTTGATCTTATTGCGGCAAGTGCGCTTTCGTAAGAGTATGTAGCATGAGTCATGCATAGATAGAATTTCAATTCACAATAGGAGAAGGCTCGCTTTTATTTCACCTACGCACACTTCTCTGGATATCGGTTAAAACAAGTCCACTCTTTCTATCAAAGGATTCCAAATAGAAAGGATCAAACATTGATAGAAAACACGATTCCCTGCATGTGTTTTTTAGCGAAAGTCTATGCGATTTGTCACTTTTTTCTGGCACGACGCCCAAACTCTACAAGTTCTCCCTCGCAGGTGAAACGACGATTGTCAGGAAAAGTCTGTGAAAAACTGTTAAAATTCTCTGGTAACCGTCGGCCTTCTACGACTCCATTAACGGTTTTCGCCCTCTATCGAAGACTTTTGCTACATTCTCAGGTATAGGGAAGTAAGCCTAGTACTGCTCAATGGGAAGCTGCAGCTCGCCACTTTGGCTTCAGCTAGCTCCGGTATATCCTTCCTCCTCCCCCTATTTGTCCCTCATGACTTGGAAAGTCATCTAACACTTGCAAACTCTCTTTAGGAGATGAAGACTCATTTGACACTTTACATCCTCGCCAGTTCTTTCAGTCACCAAAACTTGAGCACGACTCAGCCCGTCCCTCCGTCTTCAACGTCACCCATTGCCTTTGCACCTCCATCTCTCCCTTAACAGGGTATGTGTTGCTGCGTTGGTCAATTTAGTGGCTTGGCAAAGCATAGACCTTCAACTGCTTCGTCCTCCCATCACCAAAGAGATCCTTGATGCCAACACAGATCCACCAAAACCTCCATATCATCACCGACCCAAGCAATCAGCCACTCAACAACGTCAAGATGCCCATCCTCGCTCTCTTCACCAATCTGACTTTCCATCACATTTCCCTGTCAGTACTCCAACTTCCTGTGCCGTCCACCCGCGGACAACAACTGACCTGACTTCCCCAACAGCCTAGCCTTCCTCCTCGGAGCACAGATCTACCAATCTTTCCTCGTCAACATCACCGCCAAAAACGCTCTCACCGAAGCCCACTTCCGTATCCTCCAAGCCGCCATCTGGCCCATGTACTTCAAGATGCACATGATCGTGACTATGCTGCTGGCATTGACATACCCCGGAGCCGGAAAGACCGCTCCTTTCCCAGGTTCAAATTCCGTGCAAGGCCAACCGGACGGAGGTGATCGCTTGACCGTGATGCTGTCCTTCACAGCGATGTTTGTCTTCTCGGCGGCGAACGCGTTCATTTTCGTTCCGAAGGCTACAAGTACTATGTGGAAATTGCACAGTGGTACGTTGACGATGGGCATCAGTCTCAGATGCATGAAAGTATGGAAAATTATGCTGACGGTGAGGATCAGTTCGTGAGGAGAAAGCCCGTGGGAGGACAGGGTCTCAGTGGCAAGGAGATAAGATCAACGTTGGTATGTGAATCGATGTTCAGCCCGGATCGCACGGACTACGGATGGGCTCGCTGATCAAGTTCTAGCATCAGTCGGTGACGGAAACGGTATCCGGAACGATGGTTCTGAGTCGCCGGAACTCAAGACCTTGTACAACAAGTGGCGTGCTTTTCATGGAGCTTCTTACGCGTGCGCTATGGCGACGCTCGCTACGAGCATTTACTATGCACTGTGTATTGCGGAGAGATATCTGTGATAGAGGAAACTATGTGAGCTGGACATAAGGGGAGTCGGGAGCTGCATGCCAGTGTTTGCTTTGTTGGGAGGGCCGGGAGCGGCAGGAGAAGAGGAGCGGTCATGATGGACGGCGAAGTGCGTTAAGTTGTAGATCATTCTGACTTAACCGTACTAAGCATATGCTGGAGGTTTTTCCGGATAACGTATGAAAAGGATGTAGCTTTAAAGACCAGACACATGGATGATGTGGGAGGTGTTATGGGTGGCATAGTGTTGTCGTGTTGTCATTGGTGTTGGTAGCAACTCAAAGACTTGAAAGAGAGTATTCATGCATAGAGAAAACTTCAATCCGTGGCAGGAGAAAGCTCTCCCCCTTCTTATTTACGCAGAGGATATAAGAAGTAAAGAGAATTATTCTCTTACAGATCAACGACGACGTTTGGGAAAGATCGAATCAACACCCTCGACTTACATCCAGTCCTTATCAGCAGCCGCACGCATGACCTTCCACCGCTACGACGCCCCACTCGAGCCAGTCACCACCAGCAAAGATCCCAGCACTGCCAGCATTTTCCTCCCCCAGCTCCTCAAGCCCCGACCGGAACATTTCTGATCATTATCATCTTTCCGCCACCGGACCCTCATTCCCAGATGCCCAATCTCCGCACCGATCCAACCCCGACCATGACAAACCCCCAGCCCTCGAGAACGCGCCGGCGCCGGTAGCAGGGGGGCCCACGCTCGGCGGGATCGGGTCCGGATCGCTTGGGCTCAGCCTGCTGGATTTTCGCTCCGCGGCCGTATCTGCGCGTCGAGCCATGCGGAGCGGGATCGATCATGGCACGGAAGATCCAATGAGTGCGACGGTGGATCGTTAGGGTTGGCTCGGGGTCTGTGGCATCGGAGAGGCAAGATAGGATTGTTTCCGTGACCTCGGACGGGGGAGCAAGGAGAGGTGGGACGGGCGTCGTTGACATGGTTTGGGGTATGGCTGGACCGGTCCTGGTGTAGCTTGTGTGGGTTCAAGGTCCGCTATTCTGTTCTTGCGGGTGTGGATTCTGACCTGCGCGCTCGAATGAGGGTGAGGAGAGGAAACAAATTTGAGACACCAAAAGGCTTTGGGATTGGCAAGAGATGGCGATGGAGTATGCTGCAAGGAGGAGTTTGGAGATTGTCGAATTTTGTTTCATGAAAGTGGTCAGGAAAGTCAGATGACTCGAGCACCGAAGCGAGTTGGAAAATGGCGAAGTGGCCGATGGAGAGATTACATTGAGTGTCAATACGGTCACCTTCGCCGTCGGACTGACAAGTGGGAGCGCTGGAGGCCATAAACGGATTCGGATTCGTGCTTTCGGCTTACCTCCTCTCGCTGTTACCATTCAAGTCTGAGTCTAGTTTGTTGTGTAATTTGCGGAGAGCTCGGATCTTGTGATTCTGACAGACTTCTGTGGATGTCAACCGGAATGTGTTGCCGTTCATCACAACAAAATCTCGAATGAAAATTGTTCAAGACAGGTAAGCAATCTAGTGTCATTAAAACCGACAACCATTTAAGGTTTGTTTCGTTCCATGTGCCGCAATTTTCTGGCAGCGCATGTACAATCTAAAGGGGTCAGCTACTCATAGATCAACCTGTTTGCCGCACCATCGAGGTGTGGGTACGCGGATGGTAGAGCAGTGATGGGAGCATTCCTATGAATTTCGAGCCTTTTATGTTTGTGTGAAGATGGATGGTTGCTGACTGATTCTTAGCAGTCGTTTTGCACGGTCCGTATTTTTGGCTGTGTCACTGAACATCCCATGAAGTGTGGTGTGGGGGTGATACAAGCGGACGGATGAGGAGGGCAGCGATAAGAATTATATACAGGAATGATGGTGCAGCTATTTACAAATGCGAAAAGAATACCATGAGACAATGGAGGTATGTGCTGTAACAGGAGGGACTCACAAGAACGACGTGACTGTGTACAGAAGCAAAAGGACTGTGCAGGATACAAGCGAATATACACGGCGAAGACAGTGAATATGTGCACGAAATGAATGTACTCACCCACCCACTAGCCCAACACATCTTCATCACTTGATGCCGTTCCCACCCATCATACTCCTTCCCCTTCTCATTGCCCTTTTTCCAGGCGGGTTGGGCAACCCACCACCCATAGCAAGCGGCGTGCTCAACAACGGCGCCGTCTCATTCCTCTGATGCCCAGCAGGACTGACAGCAACATGGCTTACAGCTACAACATCGCCATCAGACTGATAGACATCCAGGCTGTTGATCAGCCAGAAAGCGTTTGCGAAAGCAGACGGGTTGTTCTGCACATAATCGTTGCAGGTGTCGGCGAGGGAGGAGCAATAGGAGCTAGTGCCCCAAACAGCTCCGGCCCAGTCGCCGCAGAAGTCTGTGTTGAAGACCTAGAGATTGATCGATTAGTTTCTAAATTGGTAGTGGCGGGATGTAGGGGGCCCCAAGAGCGGAAGGAAATAGAGCGTGAAAGCAGATGCAGGACAAAGAGTGAACGTACAATTTGCATATCCGCAAAATGGTTTGGAATGTCGCAGTCTCCCTGATACTGCGCGACCGGCTCTTTCCAAGACGCTGGGTCGGGGGTCCCTGCTTCGAGGTCTGAGGGCGTTGTGCCGCGTGGGAAGAACCAGATGTTGATGTCGCTACTGGTCCACTCCATGGCAATGACACCACCTCCGTTTGAGTTGAAGTTGTTACCGTAAGATTGCGTGTTCTGGTTTTGAATATCGCAGCCGGCATTGTTTGATTGATCGGGGGCGTAGACGTAGCAATTCGAGGTTGTCAAAGTACCGGTGAAGGTGCCATCTGTGATGGAGCACCCGTCCGAGGTATGCAGGGTCATAGCATTATTTGCGTTGTCGTTGACGCCTTCGATGATGTCAATTTCGCCGTCGTTAGGCCAATTTGGACCGACCATCCAGAAGGCGGGCCTGGTTGGATATCAGCAATGCTTTCGCTGCGAAGAGGACACAGATATGAGGAAGAACCTACCATGTGCCGCAAATTCCGCCCGGCATGTGGGAGACATCGAGGGCAAACAAGCCGTAGTTGTAGGCTGCGTTACTCGTGATACGTACGCTATCTCGGCCGCTACCGGTAGCAACATTAGTGCTATCGACACCCATGTAGACAAGCCCGTTGCTGGTGTTTATGTAGCCATTGTTGGTTGCTGTTGACTGATCGACGTAATTCACGTAGCCAGCAGTAGGGTCGCCCGACTGAAACAAGGAGTGAGTCCAATTGACTGCCGTGCAAATGGTCAGGAATAAGGCAACGTACAGTGAAGAAGCTAAATTGATCAAACCAATTTGCTGACGTGTAGCTCGTTTCCAGAACATAGCCGGCAGCGCAGAGTTCAAGCAGGATTGCTTGAACTACAAAGGTGGAGCAGTACATTGCGACTTATTCTCCGAAAGGGGTGTTTGCTGGGGTTGACAAGGGCGATAGACGGGGACTTTCGTAGACTTCTGGAAACGAGTCTCGTAGCCGATGTATGTAAGAGCGGCTTGGGTCCAGTGTAGTGGAGATAGTCGGATATCAGTGTTGACGTATTGCGAAAGTGGGTCACCGAAGGTCCAGAATCTCGATGAGAAAGAAGAAGTCATGCAATTGCGCCACGCACGTGCGCTGAGACTCGGTCAAGGCACGTATAAACAGGTCTTGTCTTTTTTATGTTTTGTAATGGGATGATAAGAATCCAAGCTGGGGATAACGAAGGATATATAGACGAGTCGCAGTGGAATATTGTGTCCATCTGACCTCCAAGACACGACTTTTTATGTAATGGACTCCGTCGGCAATACATACTTTACTTACAGCGGCCATCGATGACTTAGTTCAAGACATGTCAAAGCAATGGGATCAAGTTGCGACGTATAATGCCAAGCGCGAATAGCAAAGCGCAGTCTAAATGAAACAACCTTGAGGATGTTTTAGCTCCGGACAGGGGATGGCTTTCGGCCTTGGTAGATAGCAAAGCCTCGCAATGGTTATGTGATCATTCGCATGACCATTGGGTAGAAGCCGTAGGATTATTAGCAACTGCCAATATGAGCCACAATGCTGAAGGTCTTACAGGGGCTAGGCCTCTGGCCGTGAAGGCCGAGCATAACCTTCAAGAACCATAAGTTGAGCCTAATTGTATCCTCGATAGTGACCATCAAAAGCGGTGAGCAGACAGAATCTTTGACGGCACAAGGTCAGAACGGTCTTGGGGGGGGGGCAGGTGGCGCTCCATGATTGTGGGCCTGTAGTAGTGAAGCCATGGGGGTTGATATGCCTCCAGAAGCTGCTGTTGAGTTACGTTGACCATGACATATTATGCATTTCTCTCTTCCTGGGCCGGTGCATATACTTCCTGTCGAGGAACGGACTCCGATTGATGATAGCATCTACCTACCTAAAAGAGTGAGGTGTGAGGTGGTGTGCTGGCGGGAGCATGGCGTTTGAAAAAGACGAACAACGTGCCTCAAGGGTATGCTCGCTAGCATTCCCCACAACTCGGCAGTGACAGCCAACAACCAAGATCATCCTTGGTTTGTTGAGATGCCATATGCATACCACACTCCGGTAGCCGCTGGGCCGATCCGCTAAGGCAAGTGCAACGTCTTTGAGCCCGCTGGAACCCGCAGGTGGCAGATGACGATGCATCTCGACTAGTCGGGAATGACAGAGATCAAAGCTAGGTTGGAGTGAAGTGAGTAGCGCACAGACGTCTAAACAAAGCACACGCTTCTCTGTTCTGAGCAGGGGTATAGGGCGCGGTCTCCATCTCTTCGAGTCCATGAGCAAGAAGAATGAGCCCTATCATAGGGACTTATGGGTGAGAGAGTCGCGGTTGACTCCGGCTGTGGGACGTTACGATGCTGTGGTAGTTGTTGGTAGTATTGGCCGAGCGACACGTGAAAAAGTGGGGTAGGTGACCCGGTGCGGAGTAAGGATCGTCAGGTCGAAGCGTGCACTAAGTCATCGTAGTATGTAATAGTCGGGAATGCTACTGGGGCGTTTGGGTGTCGAGTGACCATCAGTGGATCATCCTTGCTATACCGGTGAGCAACTAGATGTGAGAGCTGGTCAACTTTTGAAATCTTGAAAAAGAGATGCCAAGCAGAGATGGAGCTACGCCAGACTGGGTTTAGCTTTATCTGTACAGCCGCCGCGACATTATCGTTCCTGCACATCGGACAAGAATCATCGAAATGCTCCTGCAACAGTCCATTTGACTCGGCACTGCCAGCGGACTCACGGACCTCCACTCAGACTGCGAGACTTCATCGACTGGACATGTTCTAGTTATCTAGTGTCGAGTCACGCGTTTAACGAGCAATGACGAACCCGACCACTTCGCAAACTCTACCCCCAACTCCTCTGCAAGCCACACTTCTGACAAGCAATATGAGCAAGGTGGCTTGAAAATGTAGGGATTCTCGAAGGTTTCATGTTCACCTTCGACAATTGTAATACCTTTGGGGAGCCCAAATCCTGCATGTAATCGGCTTATTTGGGGGCTTCCTGCCATGGCGTGTCTTATCTGCTCTCCAGATGATCCAAAACGCCCCCGTCTTCTACGTGGAACACATCTGCCTCTCATCCTTGTAAGAGTCTTGTACCATTTGTCATTGCCCGCTAGCATAGGAAAAGTGATCTGTTTCCCGCGGTCGTTATTCCTGACCGCTTCTCCTTCTGCTTTCGCACAGACCAGAGTGGCAGTGCGCGAAGTATGGCTGCTTCCACGAAGCTTGACCCTCTGATACCTTGTACATCATTATCGTTCTTCGAGTCCGGCATGAACCCTACTCAGATCGACATCGTGCTCCTCACTCTCACTCGCATACCTCCCAACAGGTAACTCGAACCGATCCTGCATCACGGATAAGTCTTGGCGTTCAAGAAAAGGGGCACCAGGGGGCCAGGCACAAGGGGAAATCCAATGTAGCAAATGTCATACATGGAGAGGATTCTGCTTCACAGCGGAAAAAGGCTCTCCTTAATATAAATCGATTCTTCCTGTGGAAGGGTCTTAAATTAAAAGAAATCAACACATTAAACACAAACCCATTGCAGATATTGTAAGGAAAGTTTGTGACGATTATTACGTTTTTCTGGCACCGCGTCTGAACTACATAATCTCCACAATTGCTCCCTAGCGCGTAGAATCACAATGCTTAGGAAAAATGTGGGTTGTTCACCCTCTATGAATTATGACTTTAGGGAAACGCCGTGAAAATCATCGTCAACTTGTTCTGGCCAGCCGCGCCCGAAATGTAGGACTTTGCAAAAAACGATCAAGGGCTGTCGCCCTCTATGCATGACTTGCTACGTTCTCTTATCATCATCTAAAGGCCATCTACCAGTCTCTACAGTAAACCGTGTTGATTCGCGTCGAGAAGTGGATTTGCGTGCTCGACTTGGGAAGGTAGAACGCTCTGAGCAGCAGGCAATATGAGGGCCTACAACCACGGTACTCGGTATGCATTCCTCAGCTTTCACAACTTTGCCCTAGTCTCAATCTTTGTGTCTGCATTTAGATCTTTAGCTACACCCCTTGAGATCCAGTCACTGATAGCCATGTTGGTGACCATTGGATTGACCCCACTTGCACTGGGAAACACGCTGGCATCAGAGACATACAGTCCCTCGGTGCTCCACACTTTACCCTTTGGATCCACCACACCGGCTCGCTGCGTCGCTGCCATACGGCAAGTTCCCATCTGATGAGCGGAGCCCCATTTACAATCTGGCAAGGCGAGGCCTCTCTTCTGGACCTCCGCGAGCCACGACTGGAATGCAGGGTTGTTGATCCCTTCACCGCTGTCTATGACAGCATCAATCTCAGGTCGGGTGAATGTAGGCATGCCTGCTGTACCCAGAAAGATCTCCTTTGCTCCCTCCAAGTAGAGGATTTTCGCAAGTGCTACTATACCTACCATTGCATGTTTTGCATCCATCGCGGTAGGCGTATATGCGATCCGGCATCGTCCATCTGTCGGGTCAGGATAGACACGTCCGGGAACCTTTTCTCGCACGATAGGAAATTGGCCTGTCATGTAAGGAAACTTTGAGGCTAGCATCTTGAGGTCTAGACCGCCAGTCCATGGCTGATTGGGCAATATCCAAGAAGGTAGCATGGTGATACATTCCAGCTTAACACCATGATGATTGCCATCCAGATTTTGGAACTCGTCTACTAGGTTGGTGAGTATAGCACCTTCCCAAGGCTTGATAGGCTCTTGGTCAGGAAACGTAGCATATATCATGGTAGTTGGATGGAGGTAGAGGTTTCGTCCAATTTGTGGATTCCTAAGACCGCTTCGAAGCAGCAGCAGAGGGCTTTCAAGAGTTCCGGCCGAAACAATAACACGCTTGGCTTTAATGATGACCTCACGAGCGGTTCTATCAGGACCGTTAACGCCGCCGAAGCTGTCTCTTGACTTCCAGAATCCTTTGACGCCGACTGCTGTTCTGTTACCGTTGGTGTTCTGGAACACAACCTTATCAACCTGAAGACCCTCCAAGAACTGCGCACCAGCTTTTTGAGCATCAGGAAGGAACGAGACAACAGGCCCTTGTTTCTCGGCAGCGCCACAGCCAAGGGTACAATAGCCGCAATAATGTTTGTTGCCGCCAGTGTTCTGAGGCACAGCTTTTTGACTATATCCGAGCTTCCTTGCACCGTCGGCCAGAATTTGGTTGTTCTTATTGTGCTCCACGTGTTTTGTAGAGACACCCATCCGATCACACACCCGATCCAACGAATTTTGAAACTCAGATGATGTGAAGAATGGAAGGCCTGTGTCTGCCCACTCTTTTCGAACAAAAGCTTGGGTCTGCAGTGATGCAGACCAATTGACTGTCCCACCTCCTCCCCAAGACTGGCCTGATATAATGATTATGCTGTTGTCGTCAGACGAGTCCACACCTCCGTTCGCGAAGAGATGGATAGCTCCGTCCTTCTCTGACATCGGCAGATGTTCAGGTCCCCAGTGGTATGCTTTCTCTACCACCATGACTCGGTGACCGGCTTCTGCAAGGTTTTTGGCGCACACAGCGCCTCCGCATCCGCTTCCGACTATGACCACGTCCGTCTCGAAAATCTCGGGTTCAGTGCCGGGAGGCAACTGGAGGAAATCATAGTCGAAGCCTTTGCCAGGCTTTCCGTGAACAGGCGTTCGAGGGAAGCCAAGAATAGGACCCATTGTAGGACTCGTCTTAGTCCACGCTGAAATCAAGAGACCCTCCAGGCCTATGGCGCTCTGCTTCAAAGGTGGGAGGTAGGACCTGGCCCAGCCTTGCAAGATTCGCTGTCGAACATTGACGGGCTGGAGATGGAGGGAGGTTGTGTAGCCAGTAGCCAAGAGACAGCCTGCTCGCGTACTTGAGACGGTCAGAGTGCAGTCTAGCTTCCCCCTCCGCGTAGAGCTTACTCCAGAGCCGAAAGTATGACCCTGATCCCTTTCCTAGCATCTTCTCTCACATAGTCTCCCAATATCCTCTTTACAAGCTCCCTGAAGCCCGGCAATGAGCTTGCGTTTTCCTGAAGGAATCGTTGTGTGAGGTTGGAGTCTGTTTGAGCAGGCAGGCGGTTGCTGATTGTCTCCACGGCGGAGGTATACTCAGATGCTGCGATGCAGAGGCTACTATTCGAAAGGGTAGATGAGACTTCAATGGATGGGATGATTGCATCTGCGATCGCCATCAAAGTAATCCATTGCGATTCTGTGAGGACTTGACCGTCCGGTGGCGGAGGTAGAGGGGTATCGAAGGGGGCAATGAGGTCTAGCTGTGTGCTCGTCATTGTGTTAAATGCCAGTGCTGTATCATGAGCTCTTGGAGAAGGGATTTGACTCCCCTCATGGGTGCCTTTCCAGCCGCACGAGGGGTACCATTAGCTCAAGCCCCAATCATCCTGCGGGGAAAACTGGTACGATTGTCATCCCTGTGAAGATCGATCTTGGCAACGCCTGCACGTGACAGTCGGCGCTGAAGATTGCGACTCCCCCATTTCATTTTGCACCATGAAGATCCAAAGCATCCTCAACGCAAAGCATCTCTAACCAGCCTTTGTGATGTTCGATCAGTATACCGAATTGCTCTGGACATCCAGGCTTTGCCCACCAAGTCTTCCAAGCGTGGGGCCTCAAACATGGTTCAGACACTGGCTCTGAGAACGTCGATCCTTTGAGTATACCACGTTCGGGGAACACACAGTCTTAGAGAGGCAAGGAACATGGTAGAGCTATGCTAGCCCAACTCGCAAAGACCCCTATGGTCGTGCACGATCACAATGTGTCGGTTTCGTTCTCCTTCCGACAGATGTAGGTAGATTCAAGCTGCACTGCAGCTTAATCACTTCTGTCTGGGACTGAGGGGCCCACCATACCACCAGACACCTTCAGCACGGCTGAGGCAGCAGACATGCTCTCAGTCCCATTCCTTATCTACCAGGACATCCCTCCCACTAGTGATATTCGATAGACCCAGTTCAAAATCTCTATATCTCCATTAGCGGGCCAACGTAACTTTCAAGCTTGACTCGCTGATGTCGACTTTCTGGAAGATCTTAGGGAGACACAAGGCGACAGACTCGACATTGCCGCACAATGAGGTTGCTGCGGCCTCGTCGTTCAGAAACACGTTCTCCACGAAAAACATGCCTGAAGGAATTTATGAATATGACTCCCCAATCGCAGAGCAAGAACTCATCTTGGCACCATTCATCTTCTCCCTCCTTACAGCTGAAAATTTCGTATTCTAAATTCTCTTACTTTTCCAACACGTACAGTCATTTTCATTCACGGTCTCACGGGAGGTCGCGAGAAGACGTGGATGGCAGAGGGTGCTGTCGATCGATGGCCAAAGGGAATGTTACTTCCAGAACTTGAGCAAGCACGAGTTCTCACGTTTGGGTATGATGCCTCGGTTGTCGACTTGAGATTAAAGATTTTCAATAACAGAATCGGCGATCACTCTATGAACCTACTCGCTACTGTAGCCACGTACCCCGAGCACGATAATACCAACAATCGTTCAATTATATTCGCTGCCCATAGTTTAGGAGGTCTCGTCTTCCTCGAAGCTTCTTCAAATCAAGCACGTTCATGATTGCAAACGCTCTGCCAAGATCCTTATTGATACGTCTGTTACATGCCCCAGCCTCCAAACGAGCCAGTCGAAATGTGCGTAGCATGTTGCGATACCTCGTAACCCTTGTCCGATCAGCGGGTCCCTCTGCACATTTCAAAGCTTTGGGGTGTATTGTTCAAATGCGAGTATTAAAGATGAAACAGTAAACCCTATCACCAGACTCTCTTAGCATCTAAAACCAGCGCCGACCAACATCTCCCGAATGTGCTCGAATGCATGCCGCCCATCCTCTTTCCGGATACACCACATGCACGTTCCGGATTGGCTGGGTGGGCCGAGTTGTCAGCCGAATCTCTCGCTCTCATCAAGCAATGGTAGAGGTGCTGGAAAGCCTCAAAGGGTTTAGCACGTATCGAAGAGGATCTCCATCCGATGATCAAGGCCCGGCCCTCAAAAGGCGAGCGTCGAATAGGAATCACATGTTGCGACGAGGAATCGCCTGGGCCAGGTATAGGCGACGTTAGTCCCCGTTACTCCGGGGATCTTCCCCAGGAGCAAGATTTGTTGCATCAACTGTTCCTTTCTTGGTCGTTGCTCAATGAATCCGAGGCTATCATACGTTCGGATGCCGACGGAACGAACTACAGGTTATCCCAATGAACTCGGCAATCCTTTTAGATTACACTCGTATCAGGAATCCACAGTGATTAGATAGGTATGACGAAATCTGTGTCGAAAGATATGTGGCTTTATCGGCGTTGCGGGAGGGCTTCGCACATGGACGAAAGAGCTAAAGATAATGGCTGGTACTTGACCACCTTCTTATATATACACATCAGAGGCCATTCCGTATCTGGCGTCTACCTGAGAGCTTGATTTACATATTTTGGTACTACTGATGAGTTCATCTTTTGAGAGTGAATATTAGAACGATCAGGTAACGCTATTTGAGTGGCAGGACAGGGGGAGACAAAGCCATTGTTCATGCTCCCATTCGAAGGTGTTTCTCGATTCGTTGGACGGTGAAGAAATACTCATCATCGAATATCATCGAGTGTCGAAGAAAGAGCAGCGGATGGCCTTGACGGGAACAGCTGGCGTCGGGTGAGCGAAAGCAAGGGAAGAAAACACCAATCTCTGCTCAGATCCATTAGGAAATCCCAGATAGCCATCGAGCATTGTTACAAGTTCAGAGATCAAGGTGCGAACAGCCCTATATTCCGGGTGAACTGCAGCTCGGTCCAGAGGTTCGAGCGAGCATGTGCGGAGATCCCTAGGCGACTTGAGATCCATAAATGCAAACATCTCAATGTCAATCAATTCGATATGATTTCTGACTGGCTCAGTAGACGAGTCCCTTGAGCTTTGGGTTTTGTTGCCAGACAACCATGATGTACCACTAATGGATGAGAAGGACTCAAAGCTGGTCCTGATCCGAATTTTACCTCCGGATCAGTCAACCGACAGCGAGGTACTGGAGCCAGTGAAGATGCTAGAATGACTCCCAATCGCGATTACTCTGGCTACTTACTGCCTTTGTAAGCCTGGAAAATCCCAGATTGATGATTGCAAAGTACTTGAGGTATTTTCGAGAGAATGAGGAGATTCTGTTGGAGAACATGGGAGACTTGCGCCGCAATCCAAACATGCCATTTTCCGTGATCAAGACTTGGCACGTATCTTTTGGCCAAACTAAGAAGGACCACCCCTAATCAGCTGATCCCTTCTCAGTCATGAGCGTTCTCGATCACTAAGGTCTTCCGGACTATCTCTCTTCTCGATGTGAGAAATGAAGTTGAACTTGGAGCAAGGATGTATGTTCGGCTCGTTGACTTGTCGTTGCTCAACCCCGGTATCGATGGCAATACTTTTAGAATGCGTTCAACCCTTTCCCGAAATAACAAGAGCCGGTTGGTCCCAGTCGATACCAGTAAATTCATACGCAAACGAAAGCAAAGCAAAGAGACCCTTCCCCCCCTTGCAACCTGAATACTCCGAAATCCCCTCTCTGCACGACTTCTGCTCCATTACCTTCTACAAGACCCACACAGCACTCACTCTCCTCCTTCACGACCATGACCGGCTAGATCCAACCGATTCATCTTTGCCGACGCGACGCGATGCCGCGTCCTGATGCGTCGAGACCGCGAGGAAGGACCCACACGCACGCGGGTTGCGCTGGTGTTGAAGACCGAGTAGGGTAATCTAGGGCGGTGTGATTTAATCATATGCCCCCCCACGCAAGGGTGCTTGGAAGGGAGGGTATGGGGACATGGATGTGAAAGAGGGTTCATTGCTTTTGAACAAGTTTCTCTTTAATTATCTAGAATCCAAGCGCCTCCTTTTTTAAGGCTGGGGCTCTTCTGTCCAAGGCTCGACGTCTGGCTCTGGCCCCAGCGGCGTGATGGCTTTTGGATTGATATCTCCGTGGCTTTTGCTATAATTTTCCTTGATGTGCTTGAAATTCGTCGTCTCTTTGACACCGGGGACATTCCAGTACATATTCTTCAGCCACCTGTTCAGTCTCGGGTACCCATGCCGTATACTCCTGACCATGAGCTTGAAATGTTGTTGGTATATCGTGTCGAATCGCACCAACGTCGTGTAGAGCTTGATGTCTATCTCTGTAGGCTGCGTCGTGCCGAGCACGTAGGAAGTGGAGGATTCTGCTGCCATTTTCTCGAGCCGGTCCAGCGTTTCGAAGACGATCCTACAGTTCTTCTCGTAATCTTCTTGCGTGTCTGCGAAGCCGGCTTTGTAGACGCCGTTATTGAGGTTGGGCATCATCCAACTATTCACTTCATCAATTATTCCTCTCAATTCCGGCGGATAGGTGTCAAGACTTCTTCTTTCGTCGCCCTCCAGCAGGTAGTCGTCAAATGCATGGTTCAGCATGCGCATTATATCCTCGCTCTCATTGTTCACAATTTGATTCGTCTTCTTGTCCCACAGTACCGGCACTGAGTACTTCCCTTTGTATTCCGAGTCCGACCTGAAGTAGACGTCATGAAGAAATTGGGAGTGGAAGAGGTGGTCGACTGTGCTGCCAGGGTATTCGTCATCTGTGGCTGGAAAGCGCCAACCGCCATTGTCTTTGGGGTATGGCTTTACAATGCTCATGGGCAACAAGTTTTGCAGCCCCTTTAACTCCCGCGCTATGATAGCTCTTTGCGCAAAGGGGCAGAAGAGGCCGACGTAGAGGTAGTAGCGGTCCGGCTCCACGGGGAAGGAAGGAGTGCCAAGCTGGTGGCGCCAGGAGCCATCTGTTGGCGGATGGTTGGGCATGATAGCCGTTGGGGAAGGGTCGTGGGAGCGCGAAGCTGGTTGGCAAAAGCTTGGACGCTGCTATGCGTGATTGCAGTAATGCTTGTATGGCGCTGCGGAAGGTGGGGCTTTCTTCACGTAGATTTAGCCTACTTCATCTCCATCTTTAGCCTCTCCACTCACGTCTCTGTATGCAGAGGGTCAAGGTGTTTGATAGCTGAAAACAGTGACGATCAAGGCAGCGGTGAGGACAAGTATGGTGTAGCGCCAGAGATACCGCAGCATTAGCTCTTGTCGTTATGGTGGTCTGGTAGGTAGACTCGTGGTTAACAGGCGATGAAGCAAGCTACGGGGGCTTGGATCCGAAGTGCCCGTCTGGTGGTCTGGTAAAGTAAAGTAGGTTGGCAATTCAATTGGATCGACAACGGGATTTGGGGGCACTGGGGGGGGGGAGGTTTTAGGGGGATGACGGCAGAATTGGCAGGGATGCCTTATCTATGCGACAAGCCACCTGCCATCAAAAGTCCCTGCATCGGCAAAGTCAATTGAGCAATCAACATGCCACCAATTGAATAGGTACTTAATTACGTAGAGCTAGATGAGATTAAAGCACTTACCAATGAAGTGAATGCAACGCTCCTACATTATTACTTCTAATTGACTCTGATCGTTCCGACTGGAAGTCGCATATTTAATTCACAAGACCATCTCATGGCCATCGAGGTCTGAGAGATTTTGCGCATGCATACAGCCACTTCGGCTCTGCACCTTGGACAGATGTGATCCATGAGATCCCTGCTGTAGCCATGCGACAGCTTGCCCGATCTTTCTTCGTCCGATTCTTATGGATTCTTGTCGATTCTTGTCACTCTTGTGCCTTGGCTTCCAAATCAAGAGGAATCAAAACGCCCGGCCATTATCTTAGATTGCTTTTTTAGTACCCTTCCATCCCAGCGCTTGCCCGAAATAGGTGCTGGCTCCAAGGGCTAGATGGAGGGACCCGCGAGCGCCGGTGGCTTGATTTCTGTCGTAGCCTGGGGAAGAGAGAAAACCAACTCGTTTTCTTAACTTACCTTTTTTTCCCTCTTCCTTTTTCCTCTTCCCCGTCTCATTGGCTTTGCTTTTTCTGTATATAGACAGACGTTGGTCCCTTTCTACTTTGATTTCTTCTCATTTACTTTTTCTGTTCTGTACCTTGATGCTATTGATCTCTTGCCACCTTTGTGCTTCCTCGGTTTGCCAATTGCCAGGGCGCAAAGGATCTCCGTTGATTGCAACCCTTGACGGAAATAAACACTCTTTCACTCTCTGACCCACATATTCCTATCATCTATCATAAGAAACAGTCACCGCCCTTACGCCTATCTATTCGGTCAGATTGCCCTTGCTTGCGGGGCCAGCAATGGGCCTCTCATAGCTCTCATACCATCCCCAGCTCACATATCTCAATTTACTTGACCACTTATCTTTTCTGCACCTTTATCTCCGACCACCACACCAATTCAACTAATTCCCCTCTACAACAACAAGCCTCGCATCCTCATAATACTTGCCTTCTTCCAACTTCACCACCTCTTCTACAACCTCCACGACTCTCCTCTCGCATATTGCCCGCTATGGCAACGACTCTACCCACCAGCTTCCCCACCCCTCGACCAGCCGATCAATTCACCACCACCCCGCCAAACTCCCAAGGGTATCAGCAATACCCACAGCAGTACCCGTCACAATTCCCTCCTCAATACCCACCTCAACCTCCACTCCAATCTCCCCTCGCCTACCCTCCTCAATATCCACCAATGGATCCAAATACCCCGCTCAACATGTCGCCTTCCTCACCTCACGCCTCTTCCCAGTTCCCACCCCTCGCAAATCGCCAACTGCGCCCTCCAAAGACCCCCATGTACGTGCCCGCCGCCCTGCGCCCAACCGAACGCCCGCCCCGCGCCTCCCCCATCACACCCCCGCGCTCCGTCCACGGCAGCACCGACAGCCTCGACGGCGCAGAATCCAGGCGGCCGGTGAGTCGGCGCAGTACCACCGACAGCCGCAAACAGGCCTCCCTCGGCCAAGTCTCCGAAGAAGCTCAATCGCCCACGACCGAGCAAGCCTTACTGACTACCGGTCTCCCCGCAGTCACAGGTCCCCCCACGCGCGGCCATTGGAAACCAGACGCCCATGCCTCGATCTGCGACGCGCCCGTCTGCCAGAAATCCTTCGGACTCTTCGAGCGACGGCATCATTGCAGGCACTGTGGGAACGTGTTTTGCGGGAAGCATTCCGTGTGGCAGATACCCCTGGACCAGGACGGGAACTATCATCCCAACGGGGGACTCTACAGGGGATGCGGACACTGTTGGGGCATGTACGCGAAGTGGAAAGAAGACAGGATCGAAGCGGCCGCGAGGGGGGAAAGTCTGGCGCCCGGCACCCCCGCGAAGGCGGTGGCTAAGGGGACGGGCAAGGGTGCGGACGACAAGAGAGGCAGCGTCGCGGCGAGCCTGACGAGGGAATGGAACTGGAGCACCTTCTGAGGGACCGACATCACCCAACGCCATCTGCCATTTGTCCCGCTTAGCTCGCAACAGCTTCGCTCCTCTAGGATCGAGCGTATCACTGGACGCCTCCGCACCGCGGCCCCGCATTCGCCAATCTCAAACGGAGTCGCCAACAGACCGTCTCCATTTCCCTCGCGACCCCACACGCAAACTCCCACCCCACGCCTCCGTCACGACATGTTCCAAGACCTCTTCGCCCTCCTCGCTCCAACAACCCCACACCACGCTCCAACAACTCCCAGCTCCCACCACCAGCATACGACACCCTCCCCTTCTCTCCGTCCCTCATCCTATCAACCTCAACATCAACATCAACATCAACATCATCCACATCCACATCCCCATTCAGCACGGCGCACGGGCATATACACATATACATCCAATAGATTCCGATCGATCGATCGATCGCTTGATACCCCCAATACCCCGCTCGCTTTCGGGCTCGTTTTATAATGGAAGGAAAGGTCGGGAACGGGCGTTTGTGTTTGGGTTGGTTGGTTTTATCCGTCTCGTTTTTTGCGTCGCCTGCGGGCTGTGCGGGTGTGTGTGTATCTAGCTTTCGTGCTGTTCGGGCGTGTGTATCTAGCTTTCGTGCTGTTCGGGTGTGTGTATCTAGCTCGTGCTGTTCGCGTTTGCGTATCTAGTTTTAGTTCGGGGCGGGTGACATCAAAGGGCGTTGTAATCGTGTCACCTATTTTTTAGGCTTTGCGCAACTGATTTGTGAGATTCTCATCTCGCGCTGTGTTACAACATGTTTGAAATTGCACGTCGATGGCAGCCAATGGTAAAAAGAAGATGAACGTGGGAGCGAAAAGTAGAAGACACGATGGCAATGCGGACTGTGACTGGTACCGATACTCTCACAAGATACACAACATAGCTATTCATTGTTCTCAGTATGTAGAGTCTACCTCATGCACTAGGTACCCGTATAGCTGCAGCGCCAGTGCTGAATCCCTCATGTTCTAATCCTCATACATTATATTTTCGTGACGGCGCAAAACAAAGCAGTAGCGTCCAGGGGGTATATGAATGCCGAACAGTCCCCGGAACGCCAGAAGATCCTTCAAAGTATTAGGTTGCCTCCAGAGGCGTCGTTGTATATAGCAGTCGTCAAGTATAAGGGCGGTGAATGGGAGGTTGTGGTGGTGGTGGTATGGAGGGCGTTTAGATGATCACTTTGCCGAGATAGCCCAAATCATCGACGAGTTCTCCGAGAGCGGTCATGCGGTGTTCGGACCCGTCATTCCACGAGTGGACGAGATCCTGCTCGCCGCTCTGGTGAGTGAAGGGTGAAGCACCGGCTGTCTTCGCGAATGTGCTGCTGGGAAGCTTCCGGATCGTGAGTACGGAGGCGTGGTCGTGATCGGGAAGACTGTAGCCTTGGAAGCCACCCAGTGTGGCATGTGAGTCCTGCCTGTGGTCTCCCTGCGGCCGCAGTAGGTGTGGCGGCGCTGGTCTAGAAGAGGGTCTGGCCAACAGGAGATCAAGATCGCTGCTGGTTCTCCTGCCCGTTTGCGTGAGAGATTCTGAATCGCGTAGTGGCGGTAGAAAATCGTCTCCAAACTCACTCGTATCAGGAGTTTCGGGCTGAGAGAGATGGCAAGGGGACGTAGGCCCTGAGTGAGTCGAGTTGGAAGCAAGGCAGGGAGAGAAGTTGGCGCTGGTGGCATAAGATGCTAAGGATTCCGCATAGCCATACTTGGGAGAGTGAAAATCAAGCTCAAGCGATCCGAGTGTCTCTATTGGCGGGACTGCGTTTGAAATAGTGATTTGTTCGTCAAGTGGCATCTTGGTGGGGGCTGCGAGTGTCTCTTGTGCATCTGGCACAAGATTGAGTCGGCCAAGATGATCACTCAGCACCGTGTCATCCTCTTTCTCAACCACAATCGGCGCAAAGTACGAAAGCGTGTCTCTGAGCTGCTCAAGCGGGGTGTAATAGGTTGATAAGAATGAAGTCTCCGAGTTTCGAATTGAGGACGTTGCGTGCCTATCCTCGAGCCCGAGCGCTCTCTCATTCGGAGGAGCCGACTGGCTATGGCCCCTGGATGGAAGCAGCTCCAAAGGACGGACATTGTCTTTTGGTACTGTGAGATTGATCAAGAGGGCCGTAGGCGCTCGATCCGTGGTGTCCGCTGTGGAAGGTAGTCGAATTGGCGTTTCAAACCCATCTCGAATCCTCGTAGGCGGCAGGCTAGGTGTGCGATCAGGTAGCTCCGCCACTTTCGGGACAAAGTTCGGCGCGTCCTGCTTTGCCGGTTGGCCAGCTCGAGAGAAGACCTTGCGTGGCCATACTAGGTTTGATTTTGTGTTTGAACCCGCAGATCTCGTTTGTCGCATCCGGTGGAAGACCGAGAGCAGAGAACGCTGACTTTCCAGGTTTAGGACGTCGTGGGTCGTCTTTGAGGTTTGCGGCACTACGTCTGCCATGGCTGAGTCATTGCGAGGTGCTCGAAACATCGGTCTGGTCGTCGCAGGGAGGGGAGGCTTGCGCGCATGGACGGCTGAGGTGGTAGTAGCGCGGCGAACACCTGGGGGGAGGTACTTGTCTTTCGGATCCAAGGTGAAGACCGCGGAGTCAAGAGAGCTCGATGAGACGTTGCGGCTTCCTCCGAAGATCACTTTCCCTTGGACTGGGACATTTAACACGTTGACCATCTGGCCTGGGAGGAGAGGGCATAGACTCGTCGAAGGTTCCGCAGGATCATGGTAGTCAATATCACCATCAATGACGTACTGTACAGCCAGTCAGCTAGAGTAGTGATCAGTGAGTTTAGTGCACCGATTGTGGTCTTACATAGTACCAGTAAGTGCCTCCCATCTTCAAGCCTCCATCACGACTGGTAGATGAGTGCAGGGTGTCGCCATCGCAGGTGATGTTTTCGAAGGTGTGGCATCCTCGCCATTGACCTGGCCCTGTCTTGCGGTCCCTCTTCAGCTGATATGGTTTCGTGAAATTGTCCCAAGATCCCAAGATCTCGACGGAGAAGGCCGTTGTCGGTACTTGGCTGTCTAGCGTTGAGCTTCCGCATCATGAAGTGGAAGGGATTGCGGGGGGGCTTACAGCATGAAAGTGATGAGTGTAGTGGAGGCCATGACGGCTAGAGAGAGTAACAGAGGGAGAAAGGAGACATGAATGTGTGAGGAAGATATAAATTAAATCCGAGGATAAGAAGTATAGGACCAGCCTGAAGAATGTGAAGAGCGAGTAAAGGCCGTTGAGGGAAAAAGGGAAAAAGGGAAAAAGTTGCTCAAATCTAAAGTATAGCGGAGTTGAGTGGTGGCGTTCAAAAGAAAGGGAAAGCGCGATCTGATCTTACTTACAAGCTTTTTCCTTTGTCGACGCTTCCTTATTTCTAATTCTCCACATCCACCACCATGCGCGATCTAGTGCCAGACACCACGCACTGTGATGCCTCTCGAATCAATGCAAACGTGAAAGACGCTGCCGCCCTTCTTTTGTGGGGCTCCAATTGCCAATTGTTTCTTAGCACGATAATGCTTGGGGCAAGTCGGCCGACGATAATGTTAATCTCAGTACGAGATTCCCCGATCACCTTGAAGCAGATAGCCGCGCAGAGAGTTCAAGATCATCAAGATGCTCCCAAAATCGTCATTCAACCTCCGGGTTCTTGCAGCAATGATTCCTCGGTGGACAGTCCAAAAAGTGAGCAATTACCGATTGGACGAGTCCCTGGCAGTCGCTGCGGGGTTGGAGCCGGTGCTGGAGCTGGAGATCTTTGGGAAGAGCAATTAGTGGGTTCCCAAACCCCAGAGGACCCAGAGGACACAAACCCAGATGTTTATATATTCGGAAGATTGAAATGGGGGTGGGAGAAGAGATGCTGGGAGCGATGGGGTTTGCGCGCATCTTATGCTTGAGCACCCAGCTTTTTGGGTCAGCCACTGAGGGTCTGGGAGAAAGAAAGAGAGCAAAAGAAGGCCAGGAGCTTGACCAGGAAGGTGAAAAGCGGCGCGCTAGGAGCAAATTAATGGGGGCAAATGAATTTCCATTCACGGCGAATCCATTTCCATCTTGAAGCCTAATTGGACCTTCTCCCTCATCACAAAGTCATTCTTGCAATAAACGAATCTCCCCAGACCGAGCAACACCGTTTGTTTCCGCGCCACCCAAAAAGAAGTCGCCACCTTCGCCCCTGCGAATTCATCGGATTTTGGCAAAAAGGCGCATTGCATTGCATTGCATTGCATTATTCATTATTGCATGAGGTTGACTGTGCATGCATGCTGCATGAACGCCAAGACCCGCCAACGCGTGGGAAAGTGGGAGGTTGGGGGATCGCGCGCATCCCTGCCCCTCACCCAACTTCGACCGCTCCCGGGCATCTTCCTAAATCTGGCCAGTCAGGCACTTAAGGGTACAGCGCAATCTCAGCCCAAAGCCTGTTTATTGTTTATTGCGAGACTGTGATCGCCGCATCTGTTGCGGCGTTGAGGCGCATTCCATCGATCCGATCGTCAGGTGCTGCTCATAGAGGAAATCTCGGTATCTTGGTATTTGGCCTGGCACAGCGGCTGCTTTGAACATGGAGAGACAGAGCTAGGGTGCTGAGCAGACTTCTTTACCCAATGAAGAGACCCAGTGGTCAACTTCAGGACGCCCTTCACTCTCGCGAACGGTTCTCTTCAGGCTCATCTCGAGAGAGGATTCTTCGATCAGTACGCAAATCGAATGTAACGTTTCTCGCCACACTCCGGTGTGCGAATAGCGGCCGACCTGGCAATAGGCCTCCGGCTCAGAAGTGACTTGATCCTGTCCTTAGCAAACCACCATCGATATCTTTGCAGAGCAGCCATGACAAGGACGGACACCCCACCCAGAATTTCTCCCTGAACCGACTGAGATGAAAGTTCTTTGGTAATCCTGGTGCTGGTACGCAAGGGGATCCAATGGGAATCCAACGGGGACGGTAGTCCCTTATCTGATGAGGCTGCGAATGCTTTTGTTCCTCGTGACCTAGTGCATGTCTTGGACACGTTGAAGAGAGGTTGAAACAGAGACTTTGTCAAACGATGCGGCTTTTCCCTTGCAGGCGTAGCGTTGTTCCGTATGCACTCTCCTGCATATGTGTCTCGTGAAAATCCTGATTCTCGATTCTTACTTCACCGTCCGCAAAATTCCCATGAGAACGTCCAGTAGTTGTACGAAGCTCTACTGTCAGTCTCTCATTCGCTTACCTCATCCTGTTGAACGCCGTTGCAAATTGAACGCTACAGCGCTCAGACCTGCCATGGCCCACAAATTCTACTGCATCCCCACCCTTGGCTCACCCAGACGAGCTCAAGCAACAGATCCTCGGCTACCTCTCATACGGACCGGAACCGGCTCCCGCGAATCTCCGTCACGCCCATGAGTCGATCTGCAACATCAATTCAGAGCGTGAAGCTCGTAAGTAGCTTCTCGCTGCCGAGGGCGAGCACGAGGACCTTTTCTCGTACCACCGACACGCATGCCTCAAAATCTTACCTGCACGCTGTTTCGCAGACGGGGTCATACGCCAGGCGCTATTGATGGCGTCAAGTTCAACAACTATTACTACTACTACTTGGCTTGCGGTACTCGCGTGAGAGAGTACGGTCCGAGATTGCACGTCATGATCAAGGGCGAGAGCCACAGTGTCTGATCTGTGTGTGCCAAGCTCTTCGTCATGTATGATGATAGTGCAAGGAATAATGCTCTTCATGTCCCGGTGTCACCCTGCATTTGCCACTTCCCACTGAGTTTTGACTGGTGGTGCTAACTTCATGCTACAAAGAGAACGAGTGGCATTCACAGTGATGATTGAGAGCGGTGTGCACAATGCATAGGCAGCCAATGGCAATTAGGTTTTGCCTTGCGATGCTACTATTCACAAATTCCGCGATTGTCAGGCACTAAGAATCCTCGGTCTAGGGCCGATCTCGCTCCAACAGCAGAGATGGGAGATCAAATAGGTAGAAGAAAGAACTGCCTCGGATAGCCATCATCAGTATCATGCCCTTCGTTTGAAACATGTACGGAGAAATCTTGACCCGCATGTCGCCCATGTTCGAATATGTGGGGGGTGCCACATACAGGGACTACCTTAGTATACGGTAAGTCCGTCCTTCGGTTGCCGTTGCCGCCGGGAAGACAAAGTATGATTGGCTGCATTAGCTTTTCCTTGCAAGCTATCCTGACTCTCATCGGCGATAAGAGGTATCTACGTTACAACGCAATGCCGGAAGTGACTCCACTGCTGCAAGTCTAAAGTACAACCAAAACAAAAACTTTCCAAGCGAGAAAATGTTGCCAAGGAGCTACGAGTAGGGTTGTAAAGTAGATGAGAAAGCCCGGTTTTCGAGAGCACGTGCTCGGATGCTAGCGGAAGTAAGATATCTTACCTACTTTACATTATAAGATGGTCCCAGGTTCACATTCGTAATTAATCATCTGCAGAAGGTGACTTCAACTTTTGCTGATCCGTCATGGAATCACGGGAATGTTATCCTGAATTGTATCCGTGCCGCAAAAAGCCGTTGCTAAGAGATGGATTCCGTATTACGGAATACGTCATTTCCCCAGGAAAACGGCACGGATCTCGCGGTTTCTATAAGCTCCACTCTCCGCTCTCCACTCTCCATTCTACATTCTCTTCACCCTCCACATTTCCATACTCGCCTCACCAACCCCAAAATTCAACTCCCATGAAGAGAGCAACCACTCACTCCAACGAGCAGAACTCTTAGACAGACGTTGAAGCAACATCACGTAGCCCATTATGGGGCTCTTGTCGCGATCCAAACATACGGAAAACGCCGATTCGTTGGAGGGCAATGGGAATGCAGGCATCCAGGTATCCCCGGACCCGGAGAAGGAGGCGGGAGTGTACGATGATTCACCCGTCAAGTTCTTGAGCATGCGATCTTTTGCCATGGGTATCTTAGTGTCTATGGGTGGCTTCATTTTTGGCTACGATACCGGTATGAGCTTTTGAGCGAAACCCCAGGGCAGAACGCAAGCTCAACAAACGACTGCAGGTCAAATTTCCGGCTTTCTTCAAATGCAAAACTTTCTCCAACGTTTCGGCGAGGACCAGGGAAACGGCAATTACAGTTTTAGTAACGTCCGCTCTGGGTTGATTGTTGGCCTGGTCAGTCTTTCCCCTTAGATTTACGGTAGATCGTGCTAAGACCTGTCAGCTCTCCATTGGCACATTGGCCGGTGCTCTCGCTGTCGCGCCGATTGCGGATCGCATCGGCCGAAAGTTCTCCATGTGTGTTTGGTGTATCGTCTTTATTATCGGCGTCATCATACAAATGGCCTCGGAGACCTCTTGGGTACAAATCGCTATTGGCAGGTTGGTTGCGGGTGCCGGGGTCGGCGCACTCTCAATTATGGTACCCATGTACACCAGCGAAACCGGTCCTCGACAAGTGCGCGGAGCGCTCGTGAGTACTTACCAGCTTTTCATCACAGCGGGAATCTTCACCGCGGACGCCATCAATTTCGGTACCGAAAAACGCCCCAATTCTGGCTCCTGGCGTATACCCATGGGGGTCGGTTTCATCTGGCCTCTCATCCTCGGCTTAGGAATCCTTTTCTTCCCCGAATCTCCCCGCTACGCCTATCGCAAAGGCCGCGTGGAGGAAGCCAGGACAACAATGGCCAAATTTTACGGGGTCTCCGAAAACCACCGCGAAGTCCAGCGTGAAATCGGCGAAATCAAAGAAAAGCACGATTTAGAAGTCTCCCTCGGCAAACGTCCCTGGATCGAATTGATCACCGGCCCGCGAATGGCCTATCGAACCGCTCTCGGCATCGTCCTACAAGCACTCCAGCAGCTCACAGGCGCCAACTTCTTCTTCTACTACGGCACCACCATCTTCAAGGCCACAGGCATCAAAAACAGCTTCGTGACAGCCATGATCCTCGGCGGTGTCAATTTCGGCATGACCTTCTTCGGTCTCTACGTCGTCGAGCGTTTCGGTCGTCGCAAGGCTCTAATCGTTGGCGGTATCGGCATGACGGTCAATTTCCTTATCTTCGCTTCCGTCGGCGCCTTCGCACTCAATAACGCGGATCCCACCGCCACTCCTGCCGCCGGCACGGCTATGATCGTCTTCGCTTGCCTCTTCATTGCCTTTTATGCCACAACATGGGGTCCCATCATCTGGTGCATCGTTGGCGAGCTCTTCCCGTCCCACTACCGCGCTCGCAGCATGGCATTAGTTACCTCTTCCAACTGGACATGGAACTTCCTCATCGCTTTCTTTACGCCCTTCATCATTGGTGATATTGGATTCAAATACGGATATGTCTTTGCGTCGTGCAATTTCGCGGCCGTGCTGATTGTATATTTCTTCGTCTGCGAGACGCAGGGGAGGACGTTGGAGGAGATTGACACCATGTATATTAGTAAGGTGAAGCCCTGGAAGAGTAGTAAGTGGGTGCCGCCTACCACGGGCGAGGAGGCCGTGGTTGACAGGATGGCTTATGGAGACGGGGTCGCGGACGGTATTGTGAATGGGGGCATGTAGGATCGGATGCCCCGTTTTGTTCCTTCAGGAGAGCAAATCTATACACAGTATAACATTCGGACCTACCTATCTCGAGTACTCCCCTCTCTCCGCCCACATTCCAACACCGAACACCAAGCCACTTCCCCCAGTTCCGTAAGGTGCACATCCAACACAGTCATCCACGGTCCATAAGGCAGGCAGGCAGGCAGGCAGGCCAGCCTTCATTCCTCACCATCAATCAGAGCCTGCCTACCCGTTTTACCATGCATCCACTCCACACCTCCCTCCCTCCCTCCCTATCCACAACCCCCAGGCTTCAGCTAATCATCCACCCATTCCGACACGAGTAGAGTACTCTGTCAAAAGTTCCCAAGATCCTCCCCCCCAAATCATGACCAAAGCCTGCTCGATCATGACCAAAGCCTGCTCAAGCCATCGACGTGGGACTAGTAAGCCGGTGCACGCACTCCGACGAACACCAGTCCAGGACTGGAATCTGGAGGCGATGCATACACATGACATCGGATATGGTCTCGTGATCAGGAAGTCCGAGTCCGAGTCCGAGTTTCCACTTTCTAAGCTATGGTTACGAGACTCCGAGCCTTTGTTCGTTCGGCTCCGTATCACTTTATCAAGCCTTCTTGTGCAAAAGGTCGCACGTACGTACATAGACACACACACACACACACACACACACACACACACACACACATACGAACCCACACACCCACATCCTCCCAAACGGACCCTCCCCCAAATCATCCAGAATCCCCCGGCCCCGTCCCGGGCAACATGGAGACCCCCCCCGCGCGGATTTCGTTTGGGAAGCCTGGATGACTGCGCTTGGATCCGATTTTGCCTCAGAAGTCCGGATGCAGGTGTGGGGATGGATGGCGTTGCGTTTTTCTTTCGCCTTTCTTTCTTTCTTTCTTTCTTTCTTTCTTTCTTTCTTTCTTTCTTTCGGGTCGGCTGAGCGTTCACGTCCACAAGCTTAGACCAGACGACCGAGTCGCTCCACCGTACCGATTTGCCCAGAATAATGTCAAATGAGTCGGTGTCCGGGCTCCGCACGTGATGAAGCCTCTATCGTCCGTCATCGCACCCTTTGCTCACGTACGCCACGGCTATCAATCGGGTTGCCGCTTCGGCCAATTTAAAGCGATCGGTTGTGCTGACTGGGGGTGGGGTGTCATCTTTACCGCATCGGGAATCGGCATCTTGGTTCTTCGTCGGGCAGGGTGAGTTGCGCGGGGGAAACACACGGACATCTGTACGGAGGGTGGGTGTACGGGATGCGGTCAGCTGAGGTGAGTTAGGTAGGTAGCGTAGCTGGGATCCACGGGCCCTTTCGTTCCTTCGCTTTGGCCTGGTTGGGCGCGGATGAGGTTTGTGGTGGTGTTGAGGGCTGAGCGGGATGGTTTCTGTTCGTTGACTGGCGTATGAGTAGGAGAGGGAAGTCTTGGTGTGAGTGAGTTGTGTTTGTAGATGGGTGGGGGGGATAGGGTTTACGGCTGAGCAAGCTGTGCTTGTACCTACCATTGAACGCGCTTATGTTTCGGGGCTGGAGTAGTAGCTGTAGAAGTGTGGCGTGGATATTTCGAGGTTATAGCCTTTGGCTCAGTATCTGGTGAACCGTGCCATCAGGTAACCATCTGTATCCTTCCTTATTCTCCGCGGATCCGTGCTGTTTGTCAACGTAGATACGCCAGACATCAGTTGCTGCTGTTTTTCTTGGCAGTCTATAGAGGTTTTTCCCTCGCCAGTCTCGTGTCGTAGGGTTTTGTACAGATTGAAAGCTACTACCATATACTGTCGCCTAGAAAGTGGGAGTGTCAGGCCTGGAGCTCGCTCGAAGACATCGCCACGGGTTGTTTGTATGCCCCCGTGGTGCCCTCGCTTGGTCTAGCCTCAAATGCCTAGCCGGCAATGACTTTGGGTTGTTCATAGAGAATCAGGAACGTAAACAGCGCTAGTCGGGTAAGAAAATCGGGATTCACCATATTCTTGCGTTCTAGCGACGGAGGAGGAACGACGCAGCTATACTGTCAAGAGGTAGGAAGGACGATTCATCTTCGGTCGATAAGCTGTCATCTTCGCTTATGACCGCTTCCTGATCGTTTCAAAGTCCCCTCGGAAAGTAATGTGTTAGGCTTCGCCGCAAAAACTGCGTCTTACAAAGTAAGGGTCTCGCTGCCGCTTCCCTAGATTCCGCCTTGTAACCTCAAACCTCCTCCACGTCGACTGTTTCTACACGGTGGCAATCCCACGACTCACTGCAAGCTCCCCGCCTGCCATGGCTTCTATTTCAGATGTTCATGACATGCCAAATCTATGAGTACTACCTCTAGAGATCAAGCTCGAAATCATCTCGTTTCCCCATCCTACAACCTTGACAGACCTGCGTCTGTCGCATACATCCTTCGTACACCTCATCTCCAAAGCTGACGTGCAGCGACGCCGGCTTATTCGGACAGAGACGAGTTATTCGTATACTCTTTCCACGCTCGCATTATGCTTGTTTCAAATACTCAAGGTGGTTACCAGCGCATAATTCCAGTGATGACTCAAACACTGGGAAGAAACGCACTGGCGGAATTTCTATGAAGAAAAGGTTCTGTTCGGATTGCGGCGTCGAGAAGAGATTGTGCCCGAAAGACAACCCAGTCCCTATTTGTGGTCGATATAGAGCACCATGTCAGCAGTGCGTGCACTTCTTTCTTGGCCGTGAGAATGAAACGTGTACTCCTGATTGTCCCGAATATGTGCAGCGAAAGGCATTTCGAGATGCCAAGAAGTGGTGATGGAGAAGTCGGCGCCAATGGTAACTCCTTGCTGCAGTAGCATCGTTCCGAGAGATCGATTCAGCAGTGTCACATCATCGGCTCTACAAAAATGCCGTATATCCACATTGACCCTTGCTGAGAGCGCTGAACTTGTTGTCCCTGAGCGTTAGCAAAGGTCACGAAGAGTACTAGACGCCCAGTCCTAACGTATCGGACAACCATTTGCCACCTACTTCAGTGTCAAAAACAATAGACGGCCTACCACCCCTTCCAGCTTAATTTACAGAGCTGAAGCCGCAAATGTCCCGTATCTCACTCATGACAAGTTGCAAAATCTTGCTTGCCTCCGCAAGACGCACACATCGTTTTGGTACATCATTCCCAAGTCGATCATCCATCCAAGTCTTCACCCTTCCTTCTCCGCAGCCAGCTTCTCGACTCTGAGTTGAATCATTCCTGCCTCCTACTACTTCCCCGTTATCCTTGCTCCAGATGCAACGTTATGCTACGCTCCTAGGACTTCCATCCCTGGATGGTGCGATGCCATATTGTCATTGGGGAAGCTGCGCGTACGACAGACTCTGCTACCGCCGCGGATCCAAAGGAACATTCGTGAAGAAGTTGAATAGAGAGAAAAGGACCAGAAACGAGTAGCTTTGCAGCCACGTCCAGTAAAGCGCAGACGCTTCCACCCTCTAGTCTTTGATGACTACTATCTAGACGGATTATGATCCGCTTCGTGAGTAGGTATAGTGCGCCTCATAATCCTTGTATCATCGATGGGAGCTCCGCCTCCGTCTCTGTGAGTAGTTGACTGTGCCCCCCAGTGGTTGCTTTGAGACTAGACGGGATCCTATGAAGCTGGAATGTGCTATGAGGATCTTCGGGAAAGGGCGGTCGGTGAAGACTGTGCGGATGACGGAATCATTGCGAAAAATCGTGTTCTGTGCACTGGCCGTAAGAGCACAAGTGAGAAAGATTGCGAAAACTAGAGAAGGTTTGTATTTAAAGCTTGCATTTGAGGAACCAATATATATCTCCCATTCACGGCCTCCACTTCCCTTGATGTATTTTTGTCACTCCCAAACTGTTCGTCAGCAAGAGCAGTCCGGCTCGTGGTAGCAGCCTCACCTTTTTCCCACTAATATGGAAGAATATATGATATTGAAGATAGCTGTATATTCATAAAACGCATAGGGTCATCGTTCCCCAGTCCCAAAAGATCCTGATTCTGGTAGACGTAGGGGCGGGTTCTCAATGACAAGGTAAGAAAAAGAGGCATTTTAAAATAGCACAAACAGATTTTGAGTCTGAAGCTAGTCCCAATATAGCATTCCTCTTGCTAGCGTGACTCACTTAGCCCTACAGAGCTGGATTTGTAGTTCCTGCTGACGGACAGCAGACCCACCCTCCTACATCTCTCTGTATTCTCCAAAGATCTCATAGTACGGTAAATAGAGTCTCATAAATCGAACCCCATTCTCTCGGGCACCTACTGAGACTACGAAACTAATTCCTCGAATCTACAACACTACAAAGACCATCTGTGACACCAGTCTCGCAAGCTAGAAGAGAAGCCTCTCCCATCTGGCAGCTCAAAGGATGGATTCTTCATCAAAACTCATCGACCAAGCGCTACCGCCTCTCCTCGCATTACCCGTCGAGCTCAAATGGCAGATCATCTCCCACCTCGATCATGATGAATATCCATCGCTGGCATGTTTACGTCGCACACACTCCTCTTTCCTCAATGTAATCCCCAAAGCTCAGATCCGCTCCAAACTGTCTGACACCGAGCTCTCCAACCAACTCCTCAAAACCGAACTAGAATACGCATACCTTTTGCCCGTCGTCCATTACCCTTGCTACATCTGCGCAAGAGTGCTGCCCATATGGGATTTCGCCACCACACCTTGTCGCCGCTCCGACCACCTTGACGATGAACCGTATTGGGGTCGCCGATCTTGCGAGGACTGCTGCATGCTGAAGACGAGTAGCTACAGGAGGTCTTTTATCGAATCGCTCGTTTGGATCGGAACCACGCTCGAGGAACTCCCTACGCCACCCTTACGCCCTCGATTACGTTCAGGCAATGAGACTTCCGTGAAGGTGATGACGGAGGATCTATTTGAGCACATGCGGAACCTCAGGCAGCAGGCGCAGGATCACGGAGCCGAGACCTCGTTGAGGCTAGCGAGGCGTGATTCATAAGTATCCTGGGTTTGAAACGTAGCCTTTGATTGTATCCAGCTCATATCATCGGAAGGGCCAGTAGCGTCGGTACAGCGAACATTAGTGGGCAGTCGAGGGTTATTTGTCGGGCACTCTAATCTTGTATGGAAAAGTGTACAGCATGATGCTGGGCAACCCTAAAGGGAATGAGCCTATCGCAAATAGCGATCTGGAACGCGGATATGAAAGCTTTCGTGAGCAGAACGCAGTCTATTTGCTCATGCGAGAGAAATTCTTCAGTAAATGAGTGCTTAAAACACCACTAACCGCTTGATACTACCTATATTATTACTGCATTCCCGCGAAAATCATTTCGCTCGTTAAAATTCGCAAAATACCGATGAGAAGAAGTGCCATAGTTCAATAGCAGGCTTCCCTCTAGCTCATGCTGTTACGCCTCTCTCAACTATCCACACCCGAAGACTAAGGGTACAACACATCGCACCTCCACCCCCCTCTCGACTGTTCGGAAAACGCCTCATCTTATTTAGCAGACAGGGTTTTTCCTGGAGCATTGCGTCTCTCGATGCCGTCTTGACGCCGAGCAATGGCCCTCTGTTACGTCGAGAGATCCACACGGCTCTCAGCTCTGCAGGATCCGGTCTTCCAGAGACGTGCCTATAGTTTCGTCCGCCTGCATCTAGATCTCTCGGCGTGTATGGGCACTCCATCCTCTTATCTGGAAGATGTCCCATGAAGCCTCCTCGCACAACTCTTCTGCATCCGTAAGAAGAACCCGTTTCACCTGGAACCGGCGGAGTGGGTCCTTGTACGCAGGGATTGCTGGACTCGGAGGCTCCGCTGATGTTCGTATACCGCGAGTTGGGGATCGAAGATAGTCCCTGCAGGCTTGAGGCGGCCGTATTTTCCTTCGCTTTTCGGCTTGCGAACTCGTTGGAAATGGTCACGGCTATCGTGCTCTAGGGACATGACGTGTCTGGCACTGAGGCTAGGATGTGGGAAATAGAGCAGAGCGCATGTGTCGAGCGGCTGCAGATAGTAGGGGCAAGAATCTCCCCTCATTATGTCAATTAGAACACCATCCTTGTCTCGTTTCTCATTCCGATTTTCTCTGCGCCTTGACTTAAAACGCCAACCAGTTCTTCATGTCAAGCCATCATGTTTTTCTGTTCAAAGACAGCGTTGGAAGAGGACTGGTGTTGGTCTGTTCGTTCAGCATGGAGTCTCCATACTGTGACCTGTTGTCAAAGCGGGAACCACGTAGAGCGGCATGACCCTCGCACACTTTTCCATCATTTCGCCGGATCAGGTAGGCCTTGAGGATCATGTTATACGTCCTACGGATACCCCTCGCCTTTCTCGTATTTGTGTTGTGGATACTTCACCTCAGGATGGACCACGAGCGAGAGGTTGAATAGCTTTTTGGCCCTCTTGTTCACAGCGTAGTACCTTGTGCCGAAATTCTTTCCATGGCTTGCACATTTCATCATCTCGCCTTCGATGACCTGAGTTAACGCGTCCGCACGACTGTCATCCTTCAGTACGAGCACGAAATTCAAGAAGACGGGTTCAGGGGGAGCTTCTCGTACTCACCACATCTCATGCAACATCGTAGCGAACATCCCTTCGAGCGGCTGCCTGTACTTGCACAGGATCGTGTCCGCATTCAAGTTTATTGCACATTTGCTATCGCCCAAGTATATGGTGGAGCCCCATGTAGTACACCGATGCTCAGACCAATCTGGCAGCCAGCGGACACAAACGTGACCTCGAAGCCGACCACGGAAGAAGACAATGTCAAGGTCGCAGAATGCTTTGATGATGAGATCAGGACCCCAGGAACCACCACGCCCTGCAGTTATTGCTTTTTGAAGGCGCGCAATGGCCTCCAGTTCCAAATTGCCTGGTTTTCTGCGCGAGGTGTTGTGGTTGTATATGTCCAAACATGCTTGCCTTGGGGAGACGAATGGTCCCTCGTTGCGTTGAGGGAACCATTTCTTTCCACAAGCCTCGCGACCTTCACGGCTGTCTGTCGGGCACTCTCGTCGAGCTAATGCTCCGGTCACATCTAGATCACTTTGTGTGCATTCATAGTCGGTTCCTGAATCTAGGAAGACATGTCTGAACGCATCGTCGTAGCGCCCTTTTGGAGACTTGGGAGAGGCTGCTGCTCTGCTTGGATTCAGAGGAAAGGGTTGCTGGGGAGGAGACTGCTTTGGAGCTGGACGAGGGTCGTCGCCAAGGGCATACTCATGGCGGGGGTATGGCACGTCGTCCCCCTTCAAGTTGAGCAGCTCCTTCGCTCTTTTATTTACAGCATGGATCATCGTGCCGAAATTTTTGCCATGGCCACCAGGTTTACCCGCCTGCCATCCTACAGGGCCAGAGTCCAGAGCTCGAACTTGCTGGTAAGCGTGGCTGTCGTGAGTCAGTAGTGAGCTTGGTTAACTATCTCGAAGACATAAAGCATACCACATTTCATGCAGTAGAGTAGCGAACATCTGATTGAAACACGAATAGGAAACAGGATGAAAGAATATGTTGTCGGCATTCAACTCGATCACACACTTCCCGCCCCCCAGGTAAACAGTGTGTCCTAAGAGGTGTTTTGCGAAGAAGCGATCGGGTTGCCAAGTCAAGCAGACATGTCCTCTGAGCCTGCCGCAGAAAAAAACCTCGTCGAGATCACAGAAAGTCTTGATAGCTAGATCTGGACCCCAAAATTTCTGGCCAGCCAGTTTGAACCCAGTAATCAGACGACTGATGGCCTCACTTTCAGCAACCGACGGCGTTCTTGTCGGATCATTATAGTCAAAGACTTCTTGTGCCGCTATTCTGATATTGCAAAACGGCCCGTTGTTTGCTTGAGCAAACCATGGTCTCTTGTCCTTTGACTTGCGTGCGCTCGAGGCCGTGTACCGGTTGGCACCTCCAGAAGCATCCAGCTCTGTTTGCGTGCACGGATAGGATGTCCCAGTTTCTGAAGTAATTTTGTAGAAGGCCTCCTCGATTAGGTCCTTGGCGCTTCTTTCAACAACCTGGAGTATATCTTGTTCCTGGGATGGGTAGCTAGTGGGTGGACCGGGTAAATCTGGAGGTTTCTTGCTGCTATTGACAGGTTTGGCAGGATCAGAGTCTTGTATGTGAGCCTCCTTGGGAGGCCGTCGATCAGAGCCGTAAGACCGATGTCTTCTTGTGGGATCAGAGGAAGATTGGTACGACTCCGATCCATGCGCCACTATTTTGCTCGTTCCGCGAGCACGCGAAAAGTGGCCCATGGATTCCCGTGTAGAGTACTGCTGTTAAAATTCGAAGATGAGAGAATATTTTAGGGGGCGTGTATTGGTAGAGATCCCGTGGTAGGCCGGAAAAGGCGAAGGTGTAGTTCTAATATTTGTAGAGAAGATGAGAAGCAGCACAGAAGAACCCGTAGTAATTGAGACCAGAAGTGCCAAGGATTTGCTACCATGTCAGGCGAAACCTGCCTCCTGAGTCTCATTGGCTGCCAAATGCCGTGAAACGGATAAATGAAACAAATCACCATTACTCAGCAAATAACACTTTCTCACTTTCAATCTCGCTGAGCAGTGTAGGCCAATCGTTTGAAAACCATTGCCTGTCTCAGCTCTCCGAAAAGTAGGTCTCTGCTACATTCGAGAAACCAATCGAATGACCGCGATGCAGGCGGCAACTGCCAGCTATGGAAGAATGAGTAGATGGGGAAGTAGATAGGGAGTCTTAACCGGTCTGGAAGGAAGAGAAGTCGGATGGCGCAGCTAAGGAGACAATTCGAGCCAATTTGTGTTTGATTCGTCAAGCAGCCACAAAACAGACCTCGTTGTTTGTTTTTCAGCATGCACGCTTTCGCCGTGCCAACGAAACGGCACGTCAAACTTTGCCCCGTATTGAGAATGACCATTTTGTCTGTTGTGGTTAGGAAGAGTGGAATCTGTCATGACAAAAGAGTGATTCTGTAGAAAATTGCAGTCCCAATGAACCCAAGGACGCCCGTCAGTAGTAGCATCGAGCAACTCCACAGAACTACCTTCTTCGAGTTCATGAAAAAGAATAAGCATCGAAACCCTGGCCTCTATGCATCGCTCCCTGGTGTATCTCCCTCCATGCTCTTTCGTGTACTGCCCAAATTTTGGTGCCAAAATGTAGGCCGTGCGCGTTTTCTTCCCTATTGGGCTTTGCAACCCGAATGATTTCATAAGCATGGCTGCCACTTGTTAGCATAAAAAAGACATAGGGTATCCCAAGGTAGTCCCTTCTGAGGCTACTTACCACATTTCGTGCAGCATGGTGCGCCACATCTCCTTCCAGGTGGTCAGTTGGGTACTAGCAAATATAGTGTTGGTAATACCAGGGTATGCAGTTACTGCTATAATGAGACTTATCACTAGATATGGTATTCTTAATAATGTCTAAGGAAGAAGGATATCTATGTATAGAGAATGCCTTCATATACCCATGACTAGACCGAATGGGTACTAGTGGTAGCGAGTGTTAAGTCGTTCCAACACTGGCAAAAAAAAAAATAAGGCTATTCACATATTATATTCCTTCTCCGTAACTCCTATAACCGTAATTACTCCCCTACTATAGTGGGCGTAGATCCGATTATGCTAGGCGTATTTCTAGTAGCACTGCGCTAAGACGGCTTCCTATTAATCAGTATCAGTGTCTTATCTTTTTATCTAGTCTTTTAAATCTAGTTCTAGATAATTCGTATTTACTAGACGTTATAGTGCGTTATATCCCTTATCCTTTATTATTAAATTAGCTGGATTCTTATCTCCTCTAATTTATAGGATCTCGGTGATTTTCCGTCGTTTATACGACTGTTTTAGATATAGAATGTCTATCATTAGTCTTTTCTCTTATATTATCTTTAGCTTAATAAGATATTCGTATAGAGATTTCGAGTCTATATATATAGAAAGAGGTATCTTCCCCTAAGAAGTATTAGAGAAGATTTAATCTAGAGTGGATTTTATAATAGTTGTAACGTCGAATCCTAGGATAATACGTAAAGTTCGGAGGCTAATACGCTTTTAGTGACTCGGCGGCATTTAATCGATTGCTAATAAATGATATTAGCCTTATTTTAAGCGTTAGCTAGGGCTATTATATAGCCGATTTGGGAAGAGAGGTCTTTATTGTTGGTGAATGACGAATCCGTAAAAGCCACGATTCTTAGAGACGTTATATCTAACTTAACGAATATAAGGCCTCTTTCTTTCATTTACTATAAAAGATAGCGATTTAGATATTAAGCATCCTCGTATATAGATTCTATAATCTAGGCGGTATATAATAGGGCGAATGCCGCTTATAACTGTGATATAGTAGCGATATATGCTCCTCGTGCTCGTTAGACGACGTACTATTCTTTCATAAACGATATCGTAAGTAATTAGATCTTCTTCGCTTATCTGAGTTAACTAATTCTTATATTATCCTCGAGAGTAATAACGAATTCATTAAATTCGAGAGGCTATTTCGAAGTGAGTCTCTCGATATTAGCCAGTAGTCCAGCGGCGTATAATTCTCGTAATTCCATATCTATAAACTCGGTGGTACCGGCGATAAGAGAGTCATCGATTTATAAGTTAATAATTGCTATTATATCGTTATTAAATAGTAGACAAGTGTCGAATATAAACGAGGTTATTCCCAGCTTCTCTATATAGTATTTATAATATATCTAAAACTAGTAGATACCGGACTTAGCAATTTCATAGAGGAGGAGAATAATACGGAGTATTATTCTCGATAATAATCTCATTTCAGCTAAGGCTAAAATAAAGATATCTCTAGCTAATTCGAATTGAGATTATATGTATATCTAAGTAATATCGCGTAGATATAGAGATAACTATGAGATAACTAATGACAAAGCGATAATAAGTCGTTGACTAGTCCGTTAAATGGTAGAAGCCTAAGTGAGAATCCCATGCTTCTCCGAGTTATTAAATACTTATACTACTAATCGCGACTTCTCGAAGGCTTTCTCGATACCCTTATTCTTGATTTAGTCCATAAAACGACTATTAAATATTCGTGCTTCTGCGGGAATATCTTCGGTCTTTATAATCTCAAATACACCCTTTTCAAGTAGTCCATTTAGTTCTTTTTACCGGAATGCCTGAAAGTTCAGTAAAGGTAAATGTGGTATGAACTTAGATATATAGATCGTGATATTAGTAGAGTCTCGAAAACGGGCGAGAATATATCGTTGTTAAGGAGGGTTATAACGTAGTGAAGCGTCCTGAGAAGAATCTTGATGGTCTTAATTATCGTTATTTTCGTATTGAGTATCGTCTAACTATGGAGATTCTTGTTTGAGGGACTCGGAAGACTCGATTGAGATGTCTATTTCTTCTAAATATGGCTTGACGATAGTAATTCGAAAGTCGTAGAACTATTAGATAATTCGACGGTGTATGTCTCTCGAGAAGTAGCTAGCAATTTGTATGGCCTAGTCTACTTCTTTTAATGCGTTCTCCATATTAATACCGAGGAATTAACTGGAGTATTATATATTCTTATTGTCTGGGGGCCGTTCCGCCGATGTAGAGCGTTATTGACTTGTCTCTTAGCGTGGAGTTTTGTAATTTCAGTTATTGCTATAGTAATAGCTTTTATCCTCTCAGTAGTAGACAGAGTTAGTGTATTGTTATTCGTGATATAAGAGAAGATTCTAAAAATTAATAATGTGGGAATAATACCGTTATATCCGGCTGTATCGTTGATAGCCTTAATAGTTATTTATAGACGAATCTCCTTCTTAATACCTTAATTCTCTAGTTCCGTAGTAATTATCGAATAGACTCATCTTAATAGAGTATAATATCGTTCTATTAGGCCGATAGAATTAGCGGTCTTAACTAGTACATATTTCGTTTAAATGCTTAGAGTTCTAGCGTTTTACTTAAACTCGGTACTATTAAAGTTAGTTCTAGCGTCGTGGACAATAATATCTAAAGGTTCGATATATATATCTATTCAGTATAGTCTAAGTATATCCCATATATGAGAAGCAGTTATATTCGTTAGCCATCGGGCGACCTAAAATAAAGTTTTCTTATTAATAACTTATAGAATTAGGCTATCGTTAATATAGAGAACATCGATAATAATTATATAGTTAAAATAAATATTATTCTTATTCTTAAATAAGAATTTAAAACGGCTTAGAGATCGAGAGTACTTCTAATAGAGTATATAGAACTTAATAATTTATTTAAGTATATAACGATATTCGGAGTCGTCGTAGCTAGCTTTCTCTAGAGTTCGAATAAGTCTATTAACTAAGGGATAATCGAATTAATAATATAGTTAATATAACTCGATATTAATTAAGTAATTAACTAATATAGAACTCTATATTAAGAATAAATATTCGTAAAAGCGGATAATTAGGACCGTAGATCTATTTCTTAAAATAACTTAGTTTTTGAGATTATTTAGATAGATCCCTAGCCTATCTATATCTTAAATATATAGTAGAAATAAGATATTAGTTTATATCACGTGGAAATCGACTCGGTTAATAGGCGAATTTACTATAAGTTTTCTAATTAATACTGCTATCCTAATTCTAAATTAAGTAGTAATACTATTAGCAGTAATATTTAATTATATATCAAATTCCCTTATATAGACTTCTACTTAACCGTATCCAGTAATAGATATACGTGCGGCTTCGGTATCTAGCATAATATTATAGAACTACTTTAAGGTATATCGGCTGATACTGAGAAAGCTGCTAGACTTAGTAATATTGTAGTATATAGAATAACTAAAAAACTTTAAGTAATATGCTTAGACTTAGTTCGATATAACTGAAAGTAATCGTAATAAAGTTTTCGGCCCCTTTAAGTTATTATTTTAAATATCGAGAGTTAAGGCCTTAAGATCCTCGATCTCGTTCTTTTAAACTTTAAACTCTTAAATATAGAAGTTATATCGCTTGTTAATGGAGTCAATAAACCGCTTAGCGAACTTATTTCGAGACTTTTAGCGTTCCTTATCGATATACTTAATTAACTAGCAGCCTATCTTCCCATAGATAAAGCACCGCTTTTTCTAAAAGCTATTTATCTGCGAGAACGATCTGCTGTAATTATTCTGATTTAAAGGTCGATTAATATAATACTTTCGATTAGTAAAAGTATATTACAGGCCTAAGTAACTCGAATCTCTTAGCTTTATAGCCTCTTCGTAATTCTCGATTATAATATAGATATTATTAATTAGCCCCGCAATTATAGTCGTTTGTTATAGGATTATAATATTACACGTAGAGATATTGCTATAAGAGGTGACTATCTTATTTCGAAGTGCTGTATCTAATTGAAATTCGTAATTCAGCCCTCTTTGAATTTGACGGAGTTATTAAATCATCTTATTAAAGATAGTCCCTTTATTCTTTTCGAGACTAGCTCGAAATAAGCCTCTTAGGTTAATGCTATTTTACTCACGAAGTATAAGATAACGGTGTTCTTCTCCCTCGAAATGGCCCTAAAATCGATCGAAGAGTTGTTGAATGGTAAGGCTGATCCCTTGATAGCTAGAGTAGTAGTACTCCAGTGCCATAGATTTCAACATAGTTGGGAATACTATTTAAAGAATCTGCTGGGGGATCTCGGCTCTCTTGTAAAGATCTATGAAAATCATGAATTTGTAGCTGAGACTCTCGGTAGGGCTTTTATCGTACTTCTCCTCGCTAGTATATAATTTGGCCAATATAGTGAGTTCCTTGCTATGGCTATAGTTTTGTTCGGTATCGAAGTCTTAAATGACTTGGTAAGGCGAGGGTAGTAGGTGTGGGACTCGGTAATTTGGGCCGTAAGCTGGTGTTAGAAGGAGAATTGGAGCAGGATTCTCCGGTTGATAAGGCGGTTGCGGGGGGAGAGGAATAGTGTTCTCCGGTCGATAAGGCTGTTGTTCCTGCATTGATTGAAACGGTTGCTGAGGGTAGTAATGAGATGGTTTTGGTGGGGACGGTCTTCGTCGTCTGGTGGCCAGGATCTTTCCTTGAGGATAGTAATGAGATGGTTTTGGTGGGGGACGGTCTTCGTCGTCTGGTGGCCATGGGATCTCTTCCTTGATTACGTCCGCTAATTCTTTGGTTATCGAGAGTTCTCTTCCTTTCTTGATATAGGCTTTATTGGCCCGTAGGCAATCTCGTAGGCTGGTAATGACGTCCTTGCTAAGAACCTCGAAGTCCTCTCTGATGTATAGGGCAAAGTCGTCAGCAAAGACGTTAGAGAGTGTGCTAAATTTGTGTATTTTGTATTGTTGTACCCTTTAACGGACGAATTTCTCGAGTTCCTCTTTGGTGTCTGGTGGCTTGGCTTCTTATAGTTCCTCTAGCTCACTCGTAGTTATAGGTGGAGAGTTAGTAGCCATTTTGGTGTTTATTTTGGTGTGTGTTATGTGTTAATGTGGTGTGAAGCCTAGTGGTGTTTGGTGTTTTCTGGGTGTTTTCTCTGCTGGGTAGGGGTCGTAGGAATTATAGAAATTGTAGTTCTATTCAATCGAATCGTTATAATGAGCGGAATCGATTGAGTAATATAGAACCGTGTAAAGTACCGCGGCGATATCGGGACGGACTTTCTTTAAGAGTATGGCCTTGCTAATCTGTGTACTAGTATTGAAGTATACTGATTAGTGTTGGTAATACCTGGGTATGCAGTTACTGCTATAATGAGACTTATTACTAGATATGATAGTCTTAATGATGTCTAAGGAAGAAGGATATCTATGTACAGAGAATGCCTTCATATACCCATGACTAGACCGAATGAGTACTAGTGGTAGCGAGTGTTGAGTCGTTCCAACATATAGCATCGACGTTCAGATGTATGACAGCTTTTCCGCCGCCTAGAGGATTTGTCAAGCCGAAGGTCAGGCTGCGTGGGAGTGGCGGAGGAAAGTAGGAAGCGGTTTTCCACTGGACGTAGACATGGCCTCGAAGAAACCCATCAAAGAACACAAGATCCAGGTCACAAAAAGCTTTGATAATGAGATCAGGGCTCCACTCCCGGCGGCGAGCGACAACTTCAAGTACGATGTTTTCAAGGCGGATAACAGCATCGTACTCTTCAAAGCTGAGGTTCCTTCCTAGGGCGTTATGGGCGAAGACATCGCGAGATGCTTGCATGGCGCTTACGTAGCTCCTTTGAGACTGACTGCTGAGAGTGGTCGCATCACGCAGTTCATTTTCAGTACATGGATAGGCTGTCCCACGGTTTAGTCGAACGGGCTGGAGGGCTAGGGTGCGTAGTTCTGCTCGAGACTCTGAGCTGGAATGATCTGCGAAATAAGGGGTGCGTGGTCTATGGACGGGCATGGCTGCGTGAATATCAGGGTGTGCCTGGATGGTAACAACTGTGGTTGGATTCGGGAATCAAGAATAAATAGAATGGAAGACAGATTCTAGCATGAAGTTAGGAACCGCGCAATTAGGTAGAACCACGACAGAAAGGACATCCCGCAGTATTGCTACTTTGGCCACATACTTGACAACGCTAACACATAGTGCTATGCCCCAACATCACATCATCTGAGCTTGGGGCCCAGGTTTTGACGCACTGTTTTACGTAGTTCCAGTAATGGTCCCTATCGCATCGGAAGGTGGGATCTCGTGGCGCCTAGGGAGTGACGAGTTCTTTCTGGCCCAGAAAGGATTCCTTTCGACTGCAGTCCGGCATGGCCTGCGTTCAGATTCAACGTACTCTCGCAGCGGCCCTGGTGATCCGTGGACGAAAGCAAAGCCGTAGGAGCGTAAGCCAATCTTCCCTGCATTTTGGGTCTGCTCGTACTCATAGTGAGCTGTTATTGTGTTAATGGTCGAGAGGGTCACGGTCATGGGATGATGAGAAGGGCATTCTGGTCCAATAGATGGATTTCTATGTCTCAACCGGCCCACAGCAGATCAGTATGGTGGCCTGATAGGTTCTGAGTACCATCATCCCGCTCCTGCTTGATTGGCTTTGATCGCCCAAGATGCGCAGTGAGCTTGACCATGTCGCAATTTCCAAGGAGGGGATTTCTGCAGATGCTTTGATCAGATACAAGAGCCGATAGGCTCGGCACTGGGCAGGTCTTCGTGTGTTGGAGGAGTCCATATCTCGCGCAGTCCCATCTCAAGACGACCGACCAGTAATTGAGGCGGGAAGCATACTATCAGATGACAGCGGAAACGAAGAAACTATCTTTAACACATTTCGGTTCCAGCCGAAGGTTGTGCAGCTCATTTCACGTTGCATCGTGTGAATGTGTTAATGTTCAAACACTAGAGAGCCTCTTGGCCAGCTGATCCTAGGGCGTAAGCGGTTATAGGGTACCATGATTCGGATCTGGGCTGAACACCCTAACACGTGATTGCGGCTCCTTAGAGAAAATTGGGCGACGACGGCCTCCGTTACTGGTCCTTTTCATGAGTCGTTCACTACACGGAGAAAAGTATCATTTACTGCGTGATGTGACTTATCATAAGCCGAGCAGGCAGCTTCCTTCATAAAGATTGCATTGTTATCAGGGGAAGTGGGGCTGCTTGGTATCACAGAAGATCTCCAAGCTCTGATGACGAAGCCGTGCGACATAGACTTGCTTAGGAGCAACACTACGCTTCGGCTGAAGAGTTTGGCCTTCCGATACTCTCTGTCTGGTCTTTCCGGAACGTGCGCGGAAATAAGTATGGAAGCCACAGTCATGATGAACAGCCGACCTTGAACTGTCTGATCCAACGCCTTGTAAGATATCTGAACGCCGTATCTACAGCTAATGTTCAAACGACCTTCGCCAAATCTCCAATTGCTCGGTTCTCGCACTGAGGCACACTCACAGTATCGATTTGCCGTTGCTGAGACGAAGCAAAGTAGCTCGAAGCGACATTGAAGGTTACAGATACTCGGCATCTAGCTCAATTCACCAAAACAGATGACGCGCCCTCTGAGTACACTCTACCTTTACTGATATCTGCAACGATCAAGCGCCAAGCTGATTACCTACACCGAGCCGTTTGACAGACACGGAATATCTCACATGGCCACACATTGAGAAGGGACGCAAGACTCTGTCTACCGCTCGCTCTGGATCTCAAATTGAAGCAGCATCATGCCTCCTACCTTCAGACATTACACCCAACATCCTACCAAACACTCGTCACACCTCCCTCGTCATCCCTGAACCTGCGCTATCCTGGGGGGCTGCGCAGGGCAAGTTTACTGGACAACACCCTATCTTGACAAGCACCCCAACAAGTCCTTCTACCTCAATAACTTTTTTATCACATTCGCGTCATATGGTGCTTGACGGATCAGGATACCTTCAGAACAGATCCAAAGGGACATAGTCCGGAGGCGAGCATACTACAGCCGCGTGAGCTATGGTGATGGGCGAGTGAATGAACAGAGAGATATCCTCAGGGAGTGGGTGGCGAATAGAGGCATGGTGATGTGTCCTACACTCATTCGTTCAAATAAACATGGTGATACGCTGAGCACTAGCAACAACCTACATTGTACACCTGCGGGAACTCCACTCACATACAGCGATCCCACGAAGTAAGATCTGGAGAAGCTGGCGAACAAGAAATGTCTAAATGGTGAGCAGCACCAAAGAGCCAAAGTAAGTGGTTGCTGGGCGCCAGAAATTGCGAGGCTGACGGCAAAGTTGAGAAGATTTATTTAGGGTCCTATCCTTCGATATTGGACTTTAGCAGACTGATGATCAACTTTCCTCCGAGGTCTGTGAGGAAATTATAGGGCGATAATAGTACAAGAAGTCTGGACCAGGGACCTCTATGGTAATCGAAGTTTGTCATGATTATTGGGCATGCAGCCGAGGAAACCCAAGCTCCGGGATTATACAATTGGTTGCAGCAGGATGCTGCGGCAGTATCGAGAGTGTCAGATGGGGCAGACCTGTCGCGGCGTCTACCAACCATTTTCGGATAACGAATGGCATGGAGGGCATGTTTGAAGGCAATTTTATAGATTTGAGGGCGAGGCCTTCTCTGGCTGCTCTTGTAGGGATCAATGTGTGTTGAGACAGCGCACGCAGGTGTTTGATATACAATTGACATGCAAACGCGCAAGAGCGGCATCGATTCCAGATTACCGAGGTGGGAGTTGAGTGTCAAAGGGCATGGAGGATTTGAGCCAGATGTTTTAGATGTGGTATAGAGCTCAGCAAGTTGCTACCGATTCTCTCGAACGAGTTTTAACCACGTTCCACGGATAGTGCATGAGAAAAGCAAGATCTGACAGGCTCATCAAGATCTGGAGAAGCTAGTAGCCCTACAAGGCTGGGGTCGCGACGCCAAAAGTCGCCCCCAATTGCTGTGTCGCGATGTACATCTTTCTGCAATGTCATAGCGTACCGTTCTCTGCGTCAATGCTGCTCCACCAATGATCAAGAATGATCTGTAACTCTTGACCAAGCTCTCCGGCTGTGGCCGCCAATTACACGTTTTTCCTTCAACACACTATACGAAACCTCAAAAAGATGTTGGAGAGAATTCGCCCCTCGGTATGTTATATTTCGACGCTTTTCAGGGGGCCTCGGGGCTTGGGCAATGTCGGGTATGACAAGGCCTGTACGGAGTATGCGGTAGGCCCACTGACTGACCCACTTTTCAAGTGGTCCCGGGATATTGTGAGTAAATCTCTGAGGAATCAGTCTCCGAGCAGGAACGATGGCCGTCCGAATCAGCATGCTACGTGCAATGGCCATTGTTAGTGCTACCGGTTTGTTACTTTCTTCCCATGACTACTCAGATTGTTCAAGCAACATCAAAACGGTACTGACGTATGATGTAACGCAGTGTAGGTCTCCTTTGCCCCTGGCAAGAAAAGTGTCACAAACTCATTAAATGTAGGCCGTAGGCGGTATGACGACCGCCGTTCTTGGCGCGGGAGGTAGGTCTATCATTCGGGTGAATTTCCTCTCGTACTAAAATCCATTCATTCTTCGGCACAAAAGGCCTTCCCTTTATCATCAGCGCCGCTCTCGCTCTTGGTGGCGGCATGGCGGTGTACTATGGTTCATGCCTCAATCAAGCACTGCTAGCACTAGATAATTATCCCAGTCTCATGCTCCTACATTTAGGTGGGAAATATCCAACGCATAGGTGGAACATGGGCCGCGTGAGGGCTCTTTTAGACGGAAGGGATCATGGGTGGATTAGGAAGAGTATGCTTGTCACTGCCTGGCAGAGTGCTGGGCCGGGGTTAGATGTGAGTAGCCTGTATCGTAGAAGCTGGGTCGAGCAGCTGGCTGATTCTCTTGCAGGAGGTCCACGCTCAGAAAGAGAATGCGATTGTAGCGGGTATTGTTCAGCAGACAACCCGCAAGTCTGGGGTAGAAGAAAATGATTTGATCTGATTGCTCAGCATTTGTACCCTCTCATCAATCGTGAGGGATAAACACGAAACAGAAGCGCATATTTCGCATATCGCTTGCGTTTCGACATAGTTCAATTGTCCATCCGCTATCTCGACCTTCAAAACATCCGCCAGACGAAGATGAGATTCTGCAGACTCCTATTCTCCAGCTGGAATGTCAGTGGAAGCCTCGCTTGTCATGAAGATATCGTTTCTTTGTTTCCTCGCCCTGTCTACTCTATCATTCAGCCGAGCTCTAACAGCCGCAACTGCTCTCACCCCAGGCAGTGATTCCTCCACTCCCATCGCTCCAACGGCTGGAATGAGCAATTCTACGCTCGGCATCCCTATACCACCGCAAAGCTTTGGCCTGACGTACGAGATAGGAGGGCCCAAGCTTCGCATAACGTCATGTCTAGTGAACACCGTAGCCGCGCTAAAGGAACTAGCACTTAGAGACTGGGACGACAAGATTATTGACGGGACAGAATACAAGCTTGACGACTATCCAGAAGTAAGGATTATTATCACAACTCCGAAGCGCAAACGCAACGTACAAGTGCGCTTCGTGTTGTGGGCTGCCTGCCTAGGAGTCTACGACATGATTTCGAAGAAGAAGTTCGAGTTTGCGCAATTTGAGATGTCGTGGGAGAGACAAGTGCTTGGATGGGTGCAAGTCGTCAACCATCCAACCAGTGCAAGCTTAACAACAGAAGAAGGGCAGGTCAACGGGACTCTAGATGTGGGGAATATATCAGCGACTTTGCTAAGTACGGACCGCACAATCGGACTAGAGCCCATCAGCATCACGGATGTCGTCACCATGGACAACGCAAATGATCCAGCCGAAGCGCGCCTGAATGTGACCATCACTCCTTACGGCGACACCCTCGGCGTCTACGACGTCTTCGTCCCGATCATGAGTGGATTGACCGACATGGCGCAGTTCCCCAGCACTCACCAGGTTGCTGGTTTGATCATAGGTCTCGAAGGCTTCAAAGGTTTCATCTGCATTGTGCCTGCAATACCCTTGCGTACTAGCCCACCATTCATGGAGTATGCGTGGCTGATTAGAGCGATTGCACGGATTCCGACCTACATGCTGGAGAAGGGTCGCTTCGGCGAGGTCAATATTAGAATTGAGGTTGATGGAGTAGGTGTGGGCTTCGGCAGGCTAAGTACGAGGCCAGACTGCGATCCTGATGCAATTCTCCCGGCATCAGTCTCTGTATCAGAGAGCTAAAGAGCTATGGATTTATGAGGATGAGAACAAGGGTAATCGACACCTTCCTAGGTAACCACGTACATGAGTGCGAGCAGATGATGAGGAGTCAAAGCTGATACATGGTATTGTGAGTCGTAGGAACCCCATTATAGATCAGGCATCCTTCTCCAAGAGTTTTGACTCCGTGGTCGTCAGCCATTGATCTAACGAAACGCCAGTAGTTTTGTACCGCAGTACACAATTCAATTGCCCGTCTTATTTCGTTAGGCATTGCTCAGTACTTGCCACAGCGCTATTACTGTCAATCTCGTTTGCCGCCCACGTGAGCGGTCAATCGCGTTCCAAACCTGCTTCATTGCCAGCGAAGTACAGGTACCATTGTTATCAAGTTCTTGCTGGGAGAATGGCAGGAAATCTCATATGTTTGACTCCTTTAGTGGGACGATTTCACAATGTTACCATATACATATATAACAATGGTTGGCGTTCGTGGCTTCTGGTGATAGTCAAGCCCACTCGTAGTCTGGGCTTGGCCTCTTAGCTAATTCGTTTCTCTCTTTTGCTTCATTATTCACTCATATTCTCGCAAAATTATTTTCGACCTTCACAGACTCACATCGTGCTCCGCAAACTTTAATACCTTAACTCGTCACTTCCTTGTATCACTTTCAGAGTCTATCTTCTCACTGCTCCTGCAAAATAACGTTCACTCATCAACATCATCTATTTCGAATATTTCTCTACCCCTAGGCTTCCGTAAACCTTGAAAGAAAGTGAGCATGTTCCGAACTCCTTACTACGAAGGATGGGAGGAGGATATCATCTGGCAGTTAGCGGAGCTCTTCGAGTCTGCGATTGGAGCTCCAAAGATCCTCGACGCCCGGCGAGCTCTTGCAAGTTACCCACCTGTCCAGATCATCTACGCGACGCCTCGATTCTCCCAGTGCCGAGACCTCGTGGACTGGAACAGCGTGCGTCCAGAGCTGGTATGTACTTCTGGACATCAGAGCTGCTTGTGTGGAGATCTGGACTACATCCGAGCTAATGCATACCTTAGATGCACCTCTTTGAGAACCACGGAGATGTTTACCTCGAGTTCGGTGGGCACGACGAGTATCGAAACATCTGGTTCCATTGCTTGAGGGTAAGTACGCCCTTCTGCTATGGCTTGGTATTCATGGCTCACGTAAAGCAGAAGCATAACGTGATCCGTGGCGGCAGGGTTCAGAAACAGTTGGCAGCCATATTTCTCGTCACTGGGTCTTCACAGGTATGCTTGCCACTTCATGATGCGAAACAGAGACTGACGTCGAGGCAAGCCAAGAAGCAGGCTGTAAAGTCTATGGCAGATGGGTATGGAATAAGGCAATCGCGTCTAGTATTTGGAATGCTTTGCGAAATCAGAATCGGAATGAGGACGGGCAAACGCAATCCATTGTAGAGGCGGAAGTTATCAGATAGTCAAACCAGGACACAGTTGCTAGATTACACGAATTATGGGGTTCAATGCAATCAAATTATACGCCAGACAGATCCAGTGCAGAGGACGGGTCTGAAAATGGGTCCTAGTTGAATCAGTCAACAATATAGGTCTATCAGAAGAACGCTGATGTCTATCGCATTGAAGGCCCAATCTGGTTGTTAGCAAGTTAGCAACGCATCAACGTAACGTAGTGGTAACGGCAGCGCCCACTGCGTTACGCAGTGGAAAAGGTGAGGCCAATCTCAGAATACTGCGGTGCAACGAGACAAACCCTTTTCATGCGAGCTCGCAAGAAACGAATGGCTCAGATGGATGAGTGCCGTGCAAAGACTTTGTATTATAGGAACGCATACCTGTTGTCCATCGATCGCATCGACCTAGCAATGAACGCTGGAGTTGTTGATACGGTTCAGGAATGCTCTGGGAAGCTCACGACAAACGGGGACGTTCAAAGCAGAACAGAAATCACTTATTATGGTAGGTTTCTCCACATCTGTCCTTGTAGAAAGGCTCAATACGAAAGGTTGAATGGTCACTAGACAATCAGCTTTTCGTAGAATGGTACGAAGTTTTGTCATCCACGGGTTTGATCCTCGAATCATTGACATCAAGCTCTTGCTAACAAAATCCTCACTCTGCTCGAACGAAGCCTTCGCTCTTCAGCTCGAATCGTGTACTAATATCACCAGTTTTAAGCTGGATGAGGCCACAGTCAGGTCATGGACTCGGAAGATTGGTAGTGCTGATAAGACGACTACTCTTTGTCCTCTTTTTCCGTCTTCTCATCCTATTTTTTTCAAGTTGACAAGCACCGCGCTCTGTTGTGGATGAAACTCGAGGTGCATGGCGTTCTCGTCTTCACACCACACTGCACTGCCCAAAGTCTGCTCTAACACGCCTGCAGCCTACTCGTACCCTGAAATATCATCCTCATGAATCTCACAGTGCATGTCTAGGTACATATCACGGTCCCGATCCGGCTATGATTGATCCGTGAAGGTCGTCATCATTGTGGGCGTCCGGGTCAGCGCTCACAGCGATCGCCAACGTCACCTTCTGCAAGGAGACGAGGGTTGTGATGGCCGTAAAAATATCAGTTTCGTAATCGAAAGCAGGTCCAAAGTCAAGGCGAATCCTGCATGTCTTCAGATTGTTCATGGAGGCGCGAAAGCGCGGCAGCCATGTGTTCAAATAACCGATACAAGAAGTATCGTGGTATTTGACGGTTTGTACCCGGAGCTCAAGATTTTGTATGATACTCCAAGGCACTCGGCTCGGACAGATGTCAAATGGCAAGTAGCAGTTGAATGCGAGACGGCAAACAGCATGTTCGCAGGACTTGTCGAACGCTTCCTTGTTAATGGCTCCAGAGGTGCGGAGGACGGCCAATTGGCCTCGCTCTATGAGGAAGCGGTAGATTTTGAGTCGTAGTTCGGTAGGTATGACGATGAGCGTGCCGAATGGTGTAGGTGTAGGGAAACTTCGAACCTACGGTTGATACATCTCGTTGCCATGTTCTCCTCCAGCAGTGGAAGCTGATGTCGCCACATGAAGCATTGAACTCGCAGAGGATGAAGACGTTCTAATTTGTTTAGCGTTGGGACTGGTGTGAAGCATTCAAGGAAGATGGCATGTCGGAAGTATCCGGAAAGGGGATGCTATTACTCAAGTGTTGATAGATTCGTGTTGGGAGTGAATTTTCAAGCGAGACATATCCTACATGCACGTAACGCATGACGATGCTGCATGCCCCCTTCATGCATGAAAGGGGAAAAGTTCGGGTAATATCTCATGCTGGCGACTTTGATACGAAAGTGCGGCTAATAGATTGTAATCGTACGCTGCTTGCACGCAACTGTCAGCAGAGACAGAGAAGCAAATCCCCTGCAATCATTGCCGGGAAGCAAAAAGCGAAAAGTATATGATCCATCTCCAAAGTACTCCGAGAACACGCAATGTTAGTCCTTTTGTAAACGCGTTTCCACTACTGCGCCCGTTCTGCTTCCTCCTTCTTCGCTCTCCTCTTCTCCCTCCTCCTTCGAAGCCTCTCTTCTCGGTGGCTATCAGTTTCATTGGCCAGATACTTTCGATACTCGGCTTTTCGGTGGCCTTCTGGCTGCCTTGCCCGCCATTGGTGCTGATACGCAGCCAAGTATTCTCTTCTCTCCTGTCGCTGGCTGTCAGCCCCACCGGCTTGATATTTCTTGTGAGCCGGATTCTTTTTCGACTTGCGGATAGATGCAGCAGGCTTGTCGGTACCGGGAGCACTGATTTTGGCCAAGGTCAAAGCAGCCTCGATATCGTCCATAGTCAGATTGATGCCCGCTTGGGTATTGATTAAGGATAGGACGGCTTTCAGGTCTTCCTCACTTAGAGACTCGATGGCGTCAGCGGTAGCTGCGGTAAACGAAGTAGCAGTCATACCGTTGGGTTTTACTGAGTCGTAAGGAGCCTCTCTTTGGTGTCGTAGCTCTGCTGTAGTGGCTGGTAGGTTTTAGTACTATCGTGGGTTGGAAAAATCAGAGAACGTCAGAGAACGTAAAACAGGAGGAGCTTTTGGTGCAATTTGGAAGATCCGGGAGTGTATAGTCGATAGGAACCAACCACTGTTGACGCAGGGTTCTTATTCATTTCTCTGGACGCAACAATGAACCCGAAGACGCGAGAATTTCACGCACAATGAACCCAGACTTTGCCAGTGTTCGCAAAAGTGTTACACATGGGAGACCATACTGTGTCTGGCCCTCTGTGGGCTAGCATCCCTTTCAGAACTCAATGCATTGTGTCTCAAGATTGGGCTTGTTTGTGTAATCGATGACTAGGGGTGCTCCTACCAGGTTGCGATGCTAAGATGGGCAACCGGCTCGTCAGGTGGATGAATTCTGAGTGTATTTGGTAAATGTTACGATTGAGAGATGGATGAAATGCGGGAGAGCGAAGTTTGAGGTCTCTTCCAAAGGCATGCTAACCACGCTTTCCACTTTCGCGACGCCCGTATGTTGTATTGACGTCTTACTCGCTTTGAGGCCTAGTCTTAGCGACTTCCGAGATTTCTTCTGTCCGTAGTAAGATGAGGTCGTTCCCACGTCTCATTTCCACCCCAAACTGAGGAAGTTCCTAATCCTCATGAGTCGCGGAGCCCATCTATGTGGAAGAGGATTTTTCCCGTGTATTTGATTTCTCAAGCTTCAACCCCTTTAGAGTGTTCTTCCTATCTCTCAGGTACAAACTCCAGTTTTGGTCGCTGGACTCCCAAATCTCCATTTCGCCCCGCCGCTTTTCCAACAGCCGTTTGTTCCCTTCAAGCGCTGTGTCAGCGCGCTCAACCATAATCCGAAGCTGGTGGGCTTTGCGCTCTTTTCGTTTCTTTTCTTCCTCCTCAGTCATCACAGACTTCTTGATGCACCCCTCCAGGTCTGACCACTTCTGTGTGTAGTCCATTGCTGCGACCGAGTGATTGGCGATACCCGAAATATTATGTCAGGCAGGCGTTGATTGCAGATGGATCGGATGTTGAGAGTATGTTGCAGTAAAAATGGCTCGGGCATGGATTATACGTATCCTTTGCTGTGCAACAAAGAGCGAGAATGTGCGAGACTGCGCACAATGACCCAGGGCCTTGGTCATTGTTCTAATTGTTGCCCATAGTTGGGAACCCTTTGTCTAGTCGTCCGTGAAGAGGTTATTGTTACTCTGAGATCAATGCCTTTGTGTCCTGAGATTGGGTGTCTTGTCGTAGAAGGCAGATGTCGTCTGGTTATTGCAGATGAGTTGATTGTCTTCCGGATTTTCAACACGTGCGAGCCCCAGACAAATACGGCGATGTACTCCATATTCACCGACCGTGAAGAATTCGGGTCTTTCACGTTCGCATAAGTCCCGAGCCCCTAACGGAGTATGGTGTCTTGACTAGAGCCGTTGGCGTGGGGAATTCAAAGAACGTTTGAAGCTTTAGCGGTGGTACTCGAGTTGAGTGCTTCATCCGAGACGAAAATGCCGTCTATGCGATTGCGACCTGGCACATCTGGTGATGGCTTTACCATTAGCGCAGCAGGAGTACCTACACTGTAGGTAAGATTGCAACATAGTAACAGCAGAGCAGGATAATCATAAAGTCTGCTTACGACGTTACAAGTATCTTCATATTCTAGAAACCCAATCAGACTCATCTGATTAATATGAGGTGAAAGAGCTCATTCTGTCGCGATTTGCCCCGTTGTTCTTCTGTACAAAAGGATAAGAAACATCCATTATGATCCCGTACGTTACCGGACAAACTCATGCAACGCTCATGAAAGCTTGATAGAAGGCGAACTGTACCCAATCTCTAGTTCACCTTCGGTAGCCACCACTTTGTTGATCGAGTACAGCTCGAGCCATCCTCTCGCAGTACTTGAAAGTTCCGTGATTTCCATGGTCATCTCCTCGAATTTTCGCTTCGTCCTGGCAATGTCGCTTTTATAGCCAGAGAACTGCTTTTCACTGCTCGTACGACGCGAGGCGACGTCGTAATGTTGCCTCAAGATCCCGTTATCCCATCGGTCCTTACGTTCCACCACCGTAGCGTTTTAGTCCTCACCATCCTCATCATACCGGCCGGCGTAGGAACTCTGCGCTCATCATCGTCGATCTCCTCGAGATCTTTCTGATCTGTGAGGAATTCTGGGAACCTTGAACTCTCCCATTCCGGTACTACATGGATCGTCTCCCAATCTATGATACCTGTGATTTCGTAAGTGTCGGGATTAACTGAGATCTTTGCGAGGCTCAGATTGTGATGATAGAGAACGTAGGGAGAAACGTTTTCGGCAGCTGGGAAGACCCAAGGTAGCACGTCTCGATAGTCGCTAGATAACTTTTCTATCTCCGGAGCTTCTCCATCGCAGTCACTGCCCCAGTCGTCATCACCGAAATCTGCGTGATTCGTCGATGCCTTAACCAAGGGACCAGTCTTCATCCAGCTCATTTGAAGCCACTGCCATCCACTCACGTGAAGCTCTGAATGGCCTTCATTTCCCAGGCAAGTACCGGTGACAATAGAGAAAGAAGAGTGGGTCAAGCAGCGGGCCAACGATATAGCGATCCTGTTCGCACCATTCACCTGTCGTGGAGTCTTCTGACTTCTCAGCAAAGATCTTCGTTTGGGTGTGATCAACATCGTTTGCCGATGTAGTGCTCAGAGTTCCCATGTCTAGTTCCAGAGGAGAATGTTGCTTTTGTGCGACTACGTCGGCTAGCTCCACAACTATGCCTTCGCTAGCTAGTCGCTCATGCTAATCACCGTCTTTTTCATGGTTGCTTCTTGAGGCATTCAATAGGCTATCGATCGAAAGACTATGGGCTAGTGAGGCAGCTTTAGACTGCTTTTCAGGATCTGGATGTCTTTTACGACCCTTGAAGTAGAGGTTGCCGACGCGGTCGAATTTGTAATCTCGCAACTGCCCTAGGAGCGCTGCGAGCGCGGTGACAATCTCGAGTTTACAACTTCTATCTTTTCCAGAAGTATCCACTCGAACCCCAAGTCGATTGCCGCCGATGAATCCCAAGAAATGACACGGGGAACGGGATTGCTCATATTTTTCATAAGGTAAGACAGGACCTCTGCTTCACTCTCGACCCTGTAGTGCGGTACGAGAGGCAGAGACACGCAGAGCAGATGACTCGTAGAATATCCAGAATACAGTATAGCCGGCCTTGTTGAAGCCACCTTGAGCAAAGATTTGACCCTCAAGCCCGTCGAGGTTCAGAGTGTCTAGCAGTTCGGAAGCAAGGTGTTTAACTGCGAGCGACTTGATGATGATGATGGTATCTGGTTCTGTGAGCCAGAGGGCGCTTCGATTGTAGTAGCCGCCAGTCCATTTCAAGGAGTTCGGTCGCGGTGACAAAGCTGGAGTGTACCAGTGTAAAAATAAAGGATGTGTTAGTTGAAGTGAAGCCTGAAGGTGATGGCTTTGAGATTACAGATTTAGTCTTTGGGGGTATTCGGCTTTTAAGTACCGGGAACTTGTGAAGCAACGCGGTATGAGGTGGATGCTTCAACGGAGTGTTGCGCCATGTTGACATGTGATTTTGTTCCTTCCGTGTGTTGCGTTTACGTTGTTTGTCAACTTGTTATCAGCGTTGGTCCCAGTTCTGGATTCTGGCTTGGCGGTAGGATAATATAGCAAACGTCGTGCATAAAGGGCGAAACCCTTTGATGAGACTATGGAAGTCCTGAGCAGCGCCCCAAAAACGTGATGGTTTTCGCCAAATTCCCCTCAAAACTGTCATACATCTACGGCAAAAGCCCTCTATAGATTTACAGAAGCCCCACAGTTCGGACGCAGTATCATAAAAAAGCGATAGCGATAATTTCCACGGACCCTTCCTGAAAACTCGTTATTCGATCTGTAAGGAATTTTCTTGGTACGTTTAATCTTACCTATTCAATATCCTCCAACAAAAAGAATCATCTCGTTTGAATTGATATCCATACGAAAATAATGCGCAAATGAAAAGAAAGAGAGGAATCTCCTATTGTGAATTGAGAGTCTCTCCATGCATGACTTTGCCACTTTCTCTTCCCTGATTATCACATGCAGAATGACAGAGCCTGGAAATACAAGATCATCGGGGCAGAATCCAATTTGCATGATGTATTGGAATATTATCCCTGATAGTAGCGGCCATAGTAAGCTTTCTTAGACATGGACCGAGAAGGATTTAGCTGGAAAAAAGCGCAGCATTGAACGCTTTAGCTACTCGTAGTTCTTGCCTACCCTAGCCACGCCGGGATGCGGCTGCCATGATACACGTATGGCAATAGTCTCCACGGAGGCGTTCTTCCATGATGGATTATCTCCCCACGAATATTCTCTGAACGTAAGAGTAAGCCATGCTCCCATGACAAAGTTCGGCTCGCGAAGGAGGCTTTGGAAAAATTGGTTGTGAGAACATCACTGGGTAAGATCTTAGCCCCTCTGCTTGTTCCCGGGCGAATATCAATCGGGATCTTGTACCCTCTCCCTCTTGGGCTCCATGGCCACGAAACTAATGTGTAGGCAGTCGTGGATTACGTTTCAGGCCCTCGCCAAACGTTGCCCAAGCTCTGGACATTTTGCAATTCCTTACGAACACGTGTCTTCTGCTCGGTTCCACCTCGGGCTCACAGCCCACCATCGAGGCGGACTCGATCTCTACCACCACGCAGCACTCACCTGCCACATCTCCCACGCCGTAATAGTGAACTCCTAACCCGAGCTCGATCGGCCTCAGGCGGGTAATTTGCCCTGCATGGAGTGAGGCGTCAGTGTCTGCGAGGAGGAGTCGATATGTGGCGCGTGTAAGTGGTAGAGATTGGAGTTCGTTAGGACGGCCTCTATATGCGAATTTGACTTGCAATTCCTAGGATCGCGATCGGGGATTGTCATAGCATGCGCGACGTATGACATTTCCTTGAGGCATCTAGGCAGTCAACGTAGCTCAGCTAGCTTCCTGAGCGGTACGAGCTCCTCCGTGCAAGCGCTCTAAAATGGTTGGCTGTCCCAAAAAGCTTGACGGTATCCTGAACACCAAATCTGCATGAATAACGAAAAGTATGAGTACAAATCGACTGCGGGGTACATGTTTGGACCTTGGACGTCACCAAAGTTACCAGCTAGGAGCAAGGGTGGAAATGCACAAATAGCTGCGATGGCACGTCCAGGACGATGTGATCGTTCATAGAGTTGTCCTTGTATAGCATCATCTTCCTACAGGGTATCTCTACTTACATCAACCATAGCCACACAAAGGCAACATGATGCCTTTAGTCTCCGCCTTCTTGCTGATCGCTTTGTCCGTCGCCGCAGTCAAAGCCACAAACATCACCGGTGACCCTACCAACCTCGCCAATTGGCCCCCATGTGCTGTCAGCAAGATTCATCCCCGACCTAACTATCATGTGTCAACTAAAATACCCTTGCGAACAGCAAAAATGCATCCCTCTCGGCCTCACAGCCCCAGCTTCCTGCAACAGCCTCTCAAACTTAACCTGCATCTGCCAAAATCCAACCTTCAGCGTCTCGATTGCCGGCTGCGAAAGAACTTCATGCAGCACCGACGAGCTCAAGCGTAATCAAGCTCCATCTCAGCAGAATCAAAAGCCTCAATCACTGATAATTATCTCCAGAGATTGAGAACCTAAGCATCCCCCTCTGCGCCCCTGTTGGCGGCCAACCTGCAAGCGTCTTATCAGCCATAAGCTCCTATTATGTCACTGCCTCACTGACGGCATCTGGCTTGCCGACATACCCAGCTGATGCCACGGCGAGCACAGCTGTGAGTGCCGTCCTGGCGACTGCTACTCCGCAGCCTAATTTTGGGAATCCAACCAACATCTTGACTTATCCGCTGTGTGCTGTAAGTGTATAATAGGATGATTCCCATACCTCCTCTTTATTCACCTCTCTCTTCTTGCCTTCACAGTGCGGCCGCTAAAAACTGGAATAGCAAACCTGCGCGAATGAAAGCGTCATCAATGCCGGTTGCGATACCAGCAACGTCGACTGTGCTTGCGGGACTGTGTATCGTAGTATAACAGCAGCTTGCGAGGAAATTAGCTGTAGTGCCGGAGATAGGGCGAGTAAGGAACCCCCGGATCAAACTTTCGCTGTGCCATTCCATGTAGTAGTATTACTGATTCCAAGCCAAAAGCCACATCTCTCCTAGCCCAAGAACTCTGCGGTCCCGTCTACCACAACATGTCCTCTCTCGGTTCGGCGGTCTCGTCAGCCATTGCATCAGCGACGTCTGTCGCCGCAGCTGTTGCGTCCAAGGACCCGACGAAGAGTGAAAGCTACCCGCTATGTGCCGTAAGTCATCCTGCCTCTCGTCCGTGCTAACAAAGTGTAGCCAGCTTTAGCAGAATTAGATCCAAGAAGCTGACAACGATCACCAATCAGCAAAAATGCCAAAATACATCCATTCCCTCTTCCGGCTGCGGCAGCCTTTCAAATCAGACCTGCATCTGCAACTCGTCGAGCCTTAGCGACCTCAATTCCTGTGAATCAAAGACGTGCAGTGCCTCTGACTTTCAAAGTATGATGAACTCCTATTTCTTCTGTTCCTTTCGGCTCGAGCAAGCTACATCGATCCCCAAGTACTAATCCTTTGCCGGGGTAGTCACCTCGGATCTCTCATACACCCTCTGCAACCCCGTCGGCGGCATCGGGAATAACGTGTCCAATGCGTCGTATGTCGCTACGGCTAGCACGCCTGCGCCGACTGTCTTTACTGGAGGTGCGGCTGCCGTGGTGAAGAGGTTGGTTGGCTGGAGTGTGGTTGGGCTAGTTGGGGCGCTAGGCTGGCAGGTTTTGTTGTGACGTTGCCATGCTCGAGCGGCGCTGGCCCCATTTACCTGCTCTCGCCCGCCTTGAGTAGGCAGCAGCTGTTGTGGTAACTGGACGTAATAATCGATGATTCCCAGGCAGCATGCCATGATACGTCTAGGTATGAAACAACGATAATGACCTTGGCTTCTGGAATGTCATGGCCAGAACACTCCACGACCAGCAACTGACGGTGCATCGGATCCATCTATGAACTCCTTTATGATTCTTCCCTTTTCCAGAACTCCTTCTCTCCTCGAACAATCGCTTGCATTCATTCACGCGGTCTTCTTCGATGACGTAGATGGGTCCGTCCAAGTCTATGTCCACAACTATGCACCTGATGAAGTCAAAGACTACACCATCGCTTTGAGATAATGGTGTGAATCACATCGTAATATCGAGGAAGGATGGAGCATGTGGCTCCCAAATTTACCAGTCTTTAGCGAGGCCGCGCGCTAGTCCGAAGCGATCTTGTCAGATAATATTGACCAATCAATCATATCGTTGAAATCCTTGGCATTTCGGATATTGGAGACCTAGAATCAACCTCCTTCCCATCCCATCTTCCTACCACAGTCAAGATCACAAAGTTTCCTACAAAACGCGTCAGAACCAAGATGTTTTACTCAGAGAAAATCCCATTGGTCAGGATGGCGATACTAGACTACTCCTTAGCGCACAGAAGGATTTTGGTGTATAGTATAAATAGTACGCGCCGCTTTGCCTCACTGCCTGCTGTACTGCTACTACCGAGGTACGCAATTTCGGGTCCTTCTTTGACCAGCTAGCTGTGCAAACTCTCAGCTCTTCTTCCTTCACTGCTCTTCTTTCTCTTTTACCATGTCCTCTGCGCTCTCGGTCGGTTGGGCTCTGAGTTGGTGTGATGGCTTTCCTTTGGAGTCTGCGCTTGGTGCTTTCCTCACTCATGACCGCCCAAGTAGGATTTACATCAGGTTGGTTGACCCTTTTTCGCCGTGAACCCATCGAATCCGAAATGCCAGCTGCGATCAGATTATTGGTGTTCCTCTTCTTTAATGGACACAAACGCGGCTGGCTGTTTCTCTTTCTTGCCCTGCTTTTTTACGAGAATTTCTTTTCTGGTGCCATTTGCATGCCGATATGTTCGAGGCGTACAAAGTTTTCGAGATCTATATGCTGACCGATTTCGTGCGTCTTAGCGATGACGAAGCCATTCCCTACAAACACGACTTACATAGCCAATTCAACTCACGCTCTGTATTCACAGACGAGCGCTTGGGTGAACCCTTGGGCTTCAGGCCCATGCTACGCTCCTGGAACCGTTGCTTCAACATTCTGCTCATGTTCAAAGTTATATAATGCTCTTGCGGAATTGCAGACAGTGACCACGACTGGGACTCCCCCCGGCGGCGGTTCTGTTTGGACGGACACCTTTACGATGTCCACCATCACAGAACAGTCGTACGAACCTCCAATGGAGTGCTGCTCGAAGACTTGCGAAATTTATGCTTCCAGCGTCCAAATAATATACTGGCATGTGGATCTTAATAGTATGAATTCATCTGTTACTGCTGCACCAGTGTCGAGTCACTACAGTACTGTTGCCGGCAACTTCACATTGCAAGTTCCACCCTGATCATCTCTCGGCATCTTCTAACGGTTCTACAGCATCTCTCCTTCGGTCTATGTAGCCTACCACGGTCTGAATGCCCATTACGACTGCGGCTACTTCTCGAGCTTCACGACAGGTGCTATTTACGATACCACAATTGCCTACCCATCAGATGCGCTCTCAACTTATGTTGGTCCGTTGTGGATGCAAGCGCAGACAGGCCCAGAGCCAGCCTCATTGTTCCAAGCCATCAATTACACAGAATTTCAGGAGTACGAAGCTAACACTGCAAACGAGGGTTACTCAAAAAACCTCAAAATTCCGAGTGACCTGGGAGGGATTGATCCAGCATGGAGCACGTGCACTCCTGGCATGTATGGGTCCTGGGATCCCCCTCGAGTACTAACTGCGGCGCGGAATATGGTAGCTCCAACGCCCGCACAGCCGGACTTGGACCCATCAGCGACCGCAGCTCCAGCGGCTGGGATAGCTCCGACACATATTCCAGCTTCGCCCACACCACCTCCTAAAGGCTCTGCGAATGGACCATTGCAAACGAATCCTCCGACTGCGTCAGCAGATCTCGTTTCTGAATCAAAAGAAACGCAATCGGATGGAAACAATGATCCAGCTTGGTCCGTTGGCCAGGCAGAGAATGCTTCAAAGGGTGGCAATGTTGGAGAGAGCCCAACGCCAGCCCCAAAGCCAAGCCAAGATTCCGGTCCAGTAGACCAACAAGACAACTCCCAAAAATCTCCGCCAAATCAAAGTTCACATGGAGCCTCCAACAATTCTCCGCATGGCGGTGGCAGTGGTGGCGACAACAACAACAATAACAATAAAGCAGGAGCCCCAAGTTTGAACTTCGATCCGCAAGACTCAAGTCACAGTCCCCAAAGTTCTCTGAGGGTCGCTGAGTTGCCTTTGCCAATTATTTCAGTAGTGCTTGCCTCGCCAACCCCACTGATTGTTGGCGGCAGTACCATCGAAAAAGCCTTGAACGGTGGAGCTGCCATTGGAAAATCGACGTATACAGCAGGCTATGAAGGGCAGATTGCCAATATGCCAATTTCGGTTGGGGTAGACAAGATTGTAATAGGCAGTAGCACACATGCACTTCCGACTTCGACACCTGTCCTTGTTGGCGGACAGTTGATGGTCAAAGCTGCAAACGGGGGTGTGATTATAGGTACATCCACGTACCCGCCTGGCAGTCAGGCGCAGATTTCGGGCAAAGTTCTGTCCGTGGGGTCCGATAGTGTTGTCGTGGGGGGCACTTCATATGCCATTCCAACCCCTGGCACGGCTGATACAGTCTTCATCGACAGCCAATCTGTCAGCAGAGCGCCCAATGGCGGCGCGATATTCAAAAGCGGTGCCATCAGCCTTGGAAGTCAAAGTGACATTGATGGCCATGCCATATCGGTCGGGTCTTCTACCATCGTTGTCGACGGCACATCTTACGCTCTTCCAAGTAGCGCTGGAGCAATCCTGCAATCCCCACGCCCGCAATCTAACGTACCGATCACCCTTACCAACGGTGTCATTCTCACCCCAGGCGGAAACGCAGCAACAATATCTGGGACTACGTATGCCATTCCGTCCGATGACAGTGTGCTCGTCGTAGACGGTCAACTTGTCCCTTTCCCCACACAAACCGCTTTGCAATCAGTCTTCACGGTAGGAGGTCAGATCTTTACCGCTGCACCGACTGGATTTGCCATTGGTGGACAGAGCGTGACGCTCGATGGGACTGCAGCGACGCTTGATGGAACTGTGGTCTCGCTGGGACCTTCGGGGGTACAGGTTGGGTCGAAGACGATCCCGTTGACGAGCGCGCAGACAACTGAGGCGGGATTGGGTGGATTGATCATGAGTGCTTTTGGCAGTGGTGGCGAGCCTGGAGCGACCGTGGGAGCTGGCAATGGGTCGAGCGTTGTGGCATTCACAGGGGGAAGCAGCAGGGTGGAAAGAAGATTAGGGATTGTCCTTTTGGGACTCTGGGTATGGTCATGGGAGCCATTACACTACTAGTGTAACCAATGGAGGGTTCTGCGGTGCATAATGGGTATATATTGTGTGTATATTGACTTGTATATATTGATGGAAAAAGCGATGATCGAGGCTATGATATAGGGTTAAGCCCTAATCTCGATGGTCTCTTGAATGTCAAATGATTGGTCGGACGCGGCCGTTCCCGATCAGGATACCTAAAGTACCTTAAGGTACATAAGGTATCCCGGGATTCAGCCCTCACCGGCCAAGACAACTTGGACCCCAGGCTCCAGCGAGTAGATAGCCGGTTACCCGACTTGAGCTTCGCCACAAGTGAAGTATTACAGTGTCACGTATGCTGACGGCACCAGGAATGATGCGCAAAAGCATGCCCGGAGTTTTATCTGGGTCGCCACGGTAGCACATAGTTTATTGTTGCCAGCTGCATGATAAGAAGTCAAGTATGAAACGTCTCGAGCTGGAGCCTGGCCTGACCGCGTCGACCAGTCCCTTGTATGATGACGGAACCAATACGATCCAGTGACGTTCTCTACAAAATTTTGGATGTCTTGCAGCGCATCGAAGTGAAGCTGGAAGGGCACGAAGATCGGTTCAAGAGCTTGGAATACCACACGCAGATCAGCAATGGAGGGAGAAAAGCAGAAGGACTCGGTGGCAACGCCGATACCTCAAGCGAGACTTCTCGGACTGCAGAGATATTCAACACCTCTGCCGAAAACTTGCGGTCTCCGAGGAAGGGGACACCTACGAGCGATGACTTGCCAGAAGACATCAGCACTGCGCTCAAAATTCCCTATAGTCAATGGAGCATCAACCAATTAGACCGCTTCTTCAACCTATCCCTTTCAAATTTACTTGAAGCCCGTCTCGGGGACTGCTGGAAGATGCCCGACGATGACCGTCTACCCCTGAAATTTTTCAAAACCAATATTCTGAAGAGCAGTGGTCCTTTCGGAGTACCGATAGACAGCTACCCTACATCCAGACAACCTGTTGAGCGGGATCTTGAATTTCTTTGTCAGTTCGACAATGAATTGAGGGCCCACCCAGGCAATGATTTCATGGTGGTTGATTTCGACGCGGCGGACGGCACGAGACTATACAGGCTAGGTGAACAGGCTTTTGGATCAGAGCTACAAGTCGAAGCGCAAGGCTCAAAGATTGCGCCATGGTCGAGGTTGATGTAGGTCGCAAAGATTTCGCCCTCGGTGGCTTTCGCTGACTTGTTCTAGATTGTATCAAGGGGCTACTACTGGCGAAAGCATCTACCCGACCGAAAAGAGGGCCCCGCGACAGCCTATACCATACTTTACGAGCACAGACAAGATACTGGGATTATGGGATCACTTGGATTACCACTTGCAGACCAAGCGGAGAGGTACCACAACGAATCCCTATGCAAACGCTTGGAACGGTTTTCACACCAACTTTTACGAAATACGCGAAGTCACAGAATGGCAGGTCAAGGAGTTTTGGAAGCATGGTCCGCTATACGGACATCCTCTCGGCTGGCATTTCCGCAAATGCGCTTACACGGTGAGCTGATGTTTCTATGTCGAATGTCATTGAAGCACTGACTAACCACCTTGACCAGATATACTCGCCAGTGGCTGTGGATGCGGTACAACATCCTGATCATGATCTTAGCAAGACAAACCAATATTGGACTTTGCTTGTGCTTGCGCCAGATCGCTTCTTCAACGACAAAAATACATCCTTTCCTATGGGTCCTTCATCGCCTGGCAGAGCACAAGCCTTAGGCTACGCCCTGGGTAGACTCACTCAGCCGGGCGCTGAGCTGAATCTTATTGGTCAAGGACTAGAGAGAATAACTGATCGTTGGGCGGAGTTTCTATCCTACTTTGACTATATACTTGATGGTGGCGACTCTCTGATGAAGCCAGCAGAGCACGACAACCTACTATTCGATGATGGCGCGTTCTCGAGGTCAAGACGTTACTTCTGGGCCATCGACTGCTTGTCCGAGTTCGAACTCAGTATCACGGACAACATCACCCAATGGGAGCTGTATAAGGCTGCTCGACTACCTTGGGTGAAAGATCTGCCCGAGCATGACCAGCGTCAATTAGCTTTTGCGGAAAGGCAGTACCGCGTTTTGCAGAACCAACGGGAATCGTTTAGGCAAAAGCTTGCATCGACGAAAGCCTTGAGGGACGCTGTATGTACCTTAGCTTCATATATGGGGCTGAAGCTAACAAGTACCAAGCTGTTTAACGCTAGCGCTGTAATCGAAAGTAGGGCGTCAACAAGGCTGGGTGAGAATGTCAAGCTGCTCACATTCGTCAGCATCTTCTTTCTTCCGCTTGCATTCACCACCGTAAGTCTGTCTTTCTCAATTCGTGCCTGCTCCATACAATGTCGGACTCTGGGCCACGAAGTACATGTCAAGGCGTGCAGAAGATACGAGCCGTTTTCGTACTGATAAAGCTTTAGTCTCTTTGGAGCGTTAACGATCAGTTCTCCATGACAGCACTCATATACGTTGTAATAATAGTCGCGTTAGTGACGTATTTCATCATGTTTAACATCAACAGCTTGGCTCAAGGCTTTGGCCGGGTATACGACAACAAGAAAAAGTATATTGTACGCGCAATGAAACGTGACCGCAAGCAAGCCTGGAAGCAGCGCGGTCAAAGATTCGAGGTCTTCCGTCCGAAGCATGAGAGTCCAGAGCCGTCTGAGTGGTACATACCGTTCTACGCCCTACTGCATCCTGCAGTCGCGTTAGGTTTGGATCGCAGGGAAGGATTAACTAACAGCCGTCCGACGACTGAAATTGAGAAAGTATATGAACCGTCAAAGGGTGGTCTTGCTAGACTGTTTGGAAGACGGAAACGCCCGACCGAAGAGGAGGTGAACGATCAGCCTTGGGTCATTGAATAGACTATGGGTAATATGCCACAACGACATGAAAGAAGCTGTTCCAGATACGACCGCATCCAGACATTCACTGGGAGCATCCTTTTTCAGCAAGAGCATTTCTGGTGTGTTGCCAGCTATGGACGGACGAGGCCTATCGCTGAGAGCCACGTCGGTGGGACTTCCGATGCGCAGCAGAAGTATGAGCTGAATACACAAGAGCTAAGCCGCAGCGGGCTCGGCTGTGAGTACAAGCCACGAGTGGGGTGGGCGCATAAGCGACGAGCATGTCGCTGTACAATTCGCGCACTGGCACGTGGAGGTCGCACAATGAAAGCCGTTGAAATTCTGGCACGCACGTTTGGACAAGGCTACAGTCAGCCTATCTATCCTAGGTTTTTTACTGCCTTGATGTTATACTCAGGCTTCTAGATTGCCGAATTCTGATTCGATGACTTCTCGAACGGTTGTGGTTATGATTGTGGCGCAGCAAGGTCTACCCACGAGGTCGCAAGACTGCTCCCAAAAAGCCTTGCTGCGGATGCTACCCTCCATTCTCGATAGGCGCTGGCTCAAGACGTTGTTGAGTTGGCCAGTATAGATTATGGGGTCTATGTGCTGTTGTAGGAAGTGTGCGACGTCTAATCTCGAGTGCGAATCCTTTCATGAGCTTCACGCATCGTTCAGTTGATCTCTGTCTCTGCGTTGCCAACGTGTCCAGCGCCAAAGTCGGCCCGCCACCATCCAATCAACACCTCGACGTCTCAACGATGACCTCCCCAACCTCCAGCCCTGTCTACCCTAGCCCAACACACATACTAGGAGCCAAACCCCCTGGCTACGTCGAAGCGACTGTACTAGAGGCACAACCCACAGATTCCGACGCTTCTTTACCAGTGTACTCACCACCCAGGCCATCTGTGCCATGGCCTGGACAGTCCGAAGCCGCTCTCTTCAATGTCGAGCGTACTATCCGACGAGCTCGCCTTGGCGAACGAAGAAACAGAACGCTAGCTTGCTTTATGCTGTTGGCGTGTTTGCTCATTGCGATATTCATCGTGGTGGTGATCATTGAGGTCGTTGGTCATCTGGATCAGTGAGAGGACTCGAAACGGGTTTCGGGTGCTGCAACACGACAGAACCTACATTCGAAGACTCTGACCTTGTCGAAGGAACCCCACAAGCTGGTCATCCCGCCTTTTTTCTCTCGAGAACTGCAACGAAGATTTCTCGAATCCACCATCCTAAAACAGATCATTTCTTTACTCCCGACCATCCATAATAGCTTCATCGAATCCACGCCGAGTCGACGACAAAAGAGGAAGCATTGGGCGACGCAATGCCGAAGTCAGGCCTTCCGCGACCATCTGTGGACCGTCGCGATAATTCTTCATGTGTTGATAGACCGCAGTCGCGACAATCCAATTCCAATACGATATGCAATCAGACCTCTTTTTCACAACAAGCAGCGTTCTGGACTTTGATTGCGCCAAGTACTACCGCAATGCTGCACAAGGGCTTTGTTTCAAGCTAAAGGATTCCAGGCTGAGAATCCTAGGGCTGAGATATTTGGGGCAAAGGATCGTGAGTGGTGGCTTAGCCGAAGCTCGAAACAGCCAGGAGAACGATGACTATCAATAGTGAGGCTTATGTTGAGCGATATTAATTTTACCGTATTCATTGCTGACTCTACATCCGTCATTCTGTTATATACCTGTCATGCTTACGCCTGATTTCCTTCTCCAGATATTTCTTCGCATTGCAATCCATAAATTTTGATATCCTCAACGCCCGCGAGAATCTTTCCTCGTCACAACTCAACATTGAATTACCTACCCTCGCCCCCATTCTTCTCAAACCCACCATGGCAATCTTCCCCCTCCCCCCCGGCCTCGCCGCCCGCCTCAACATCCCGCCAACCTACCGAACCGCGACCGAAGACACCGCACCACCCGCTTACATCGCGCCCCTGAACCGCATCTCCACCTTCCGCCCCGAGTCAATCCCGCTCCCCCCGTCCCCCGCACCAGCACCATCAACGCAACAAATCCCACCCCCGGAATACTCCCCCTCGGTCTACTCGCAGCAACGCCTCTCGCACCACCTACCCGACCCGGACCCCGCCGCCCTGGGCTTCCCCAGCTCGCCCCGACGGCCGTCCGCGGGTAAAGTGGAGCAGCAGCATGCGGGTCACTTCAAGGAGAGCTGGACGGATCTTTCGATGCGGGTGGATCTGGAAGCTGGTCGGGAGGGGGCGAAGGGGGAGCCTGGGAAGAGAAGTGTTTTCAGGCTGTATCCGCCGGTCAAGGAGGGGGAGGTGGAGCGGCTGTATTGGAAGAGGGCGGTGGTGGCGTTGGGGATTTCGATGGTGGTTGCGGTGGTGGTGGTGGTGGCGGTGTGTGTGGGGAGGAGGTCGTGATGGAGTAGGTAAAAGAGGGGGGTGGTGATTGGGACAGGTGTTTGGATTCTGGTCTTCGGGTACGGCGAGAGGTACTTGTTGCGTGCACGTCGTCAGTGATGTACATATGAAAGCGTGGCGTTGAGGGCGTTCCGTTCGGTATGGGAGGGCCAGGATTATTTGGCGTTTGTGTAGGACTGTCTTTCTTCTCAATGTAAAAATAATCACCTTTCGAATCCAAGATCCGATTGTTCAGTCGGTCCAGTATTGCTGCCATCCGGGATTCAGATTCGAGTAGGATCGCTTGCCTTCGACATCTGCGTCGGACGTTTTGAAAACCAGATCGTTCGTTCCTCCCCTCGGTAGTTGTCAGGGAGCCGGTAACTCAGTCGCGGTCCGTCACGGAAGCGGTGTGGTCGGTCCAGCAAGGCTGCTGCTCTCACGGCCGAGAACCGCTCCATCGATCGAACCTGTTTCTGTCAAGCCCCACGGTACCAATTCTCGAGTATCGAATCCTTGTGCCAAACCAGAAGAGTCGGGATCGATTGGGTCAACGTAGCGTCATAGGACGTCTCCTACGACCTTTTGGTGACTCTCTTGGCCATCGGTCCTTTACCCGTAGACGGACGGCAAGCTTGTCGTAGACCACACAACCTAGAACATTCGTTAATGTGACGATGAAAATACAGTTCACCGCCCAATGATGTTAAAACTCGCAATAGAGTGGCGGAGAGTGAGTTGTCAGCCGTCTCGATGGCCACTTCTGGCTTTGTAGCGCGGTCCCTGATTCCTATTTCTCGAGATGATTTAAACCTATGCTAGGTAGTGGCCGATCTTGACCAATAGAAGTATTCGTGGGATAGGAGGGAGATGAGATTGATGGGATGAAACACAAAATTTGGGACCAAACTGGGGTCAATCAAATGTTACCAAGAGATAGATGAAGCTTGTTTCGATAGTAGGAGTTCGCTTTGGAGTGGAGCCGGCTAGGCTCTGAAATCTGTGGAGCGACAAGGGGACACGGATGGCAGATTCGTAAACCTGCAACTATTGCCGCAAACGTACAAGAGCTGGACGATTCAGGTACCCCTCAAGTCATAATGCTAGGCGTGATCTCCACCCAGCCCCAATGTCACTATTGCCTACACCTTCCTTACAGCCTCAATCAAACCCTCGACCTCCTTACCGAGGCTGTGGAATTTGACAATCTCCAAACCCACAGATCCTAGCAGCTCCTTCCACTGCGTCTGCGTACGTTCAATCCCAGAAAGCACGATTATCATCTGGATGTCCATGAGAGCCGGGAGGAGGGGACTGCCGGTATCGGGCAAGACCCAGTCATTGATCAGGATCTTGGAATAGCCTGGCTCCATGGCAGCGACAGTGTTGCTAAGGAGCTCGCGACATTTGTCGTCAGACCAGTCGTGGCAGATGGAGCGAAAGTAGTAAGCTCGAGCTCCTGTAGACTTCAGTCTCTGGGTACAGCTTTCATGACAAACGTAAAGTCTCCAGTCGAGTGCTTACCTTTGACTGGCTGCTCAGTAAAGAAGTCATACTTCATTCGAACGATATCTGGATGGAGCTCTATGACATTATCAATGACGGAAGGCTGGTCCTGTAGCACTAGACGTCCGGTCTGATCCGGGAAGCGATCTTTGAACGTCTGGATGTCGTATCCAAAGCCACCAGCGACGTCCACAAGCAGGGCAGAATCATGATGCTCTTCTTTGGCTCCTTTAAAGAGCGACTCTTCAATGGGGAATATCTCGAACCATTGAGCCCTGCCAGCACGCCAACCCTCCAGCATCGTAAGAAAGTTGTTGATCTTTGCAGGATTCTGCATCAACCATGGGAAGAATTGTAGCTCAGTGTTTTCAGCGTGTTGGAAAACGCCCATAGGACCTTCGGGATTCTTGTAATCAGTCTGAGCGAGGAACTCCGGCATCTTATTGCAACAAAGGGCCCCCTCATCGTGCCTGCAGTAGAAATTCAGCTCCTGTACAGAAGTTCGGGTGGGTGCAAGACTAACAGGAATTTGAAGCCTCCCGATAGCGCGGGGATGGCCAATGCTTTGGAGACGGCCCCGGCTACGTAAGTCTCATATCCAGTCTCGATGACCATATGCGTGGCAGCCAATGGCCTCAGGATGCGGACTGGAGAAAATGAGCTGCCAAAATCCAGGACAACATTGAAATATTACCAATAAGCAGCTTGTCACCGCCAGTGATACTCGCCAGCTCGGTGGCTGTCATGGGGCTTTCGCTCTTGTTCAGAGCATCAATCAAACCCATTTCAATGGCAGTTCTGATAGAGGCACTCAGATTTGGCTTATCGTTGGCAGAACAATGAGTAACTTGTGCTCAATGTAAGGTCGAAGAGATGAAGGGATGTACCTGTAAGAGGAGCTTCCAAAGAGTCTCGGAAGCGGTCTCGAGCATGACTGTCGCTTGCTGACTCACACCAAGAAGTCTCTGGCGTGCTGGTTCATCGTTGGCTACATCTTTTGATAAAGCTTGGAGCTCTTTCTCAACAGCATCGATGCGAGCTTGGACGCTCATTTTTGCTTTGTGGGAAAATAACGAATCGACTCTGCTTACGAAGACGTAGATATAAGGTAAGGAAAGTGGAAAGCAAAGAGACACAAGCAGTAGAGAAGCGATTTCTATGCTTTCTATGTGCCCCAAATCTAACAAAGCAGAGAGACGGGGTAGATCAGGGCGGATACAGATTCGTGACGAATAGAAGTACGCCACTCGTCGTTACCTGCCTCAAGGCTCCCCGGCCGTCCTCCGCAGCCGACAGTTGGGTCTCTCATTATGCGATCAGACCGATGTTACGTTGGTAGAGAGATAAACAGACCGATGTAACTCTGACCGGCGCTGACAAAGAAAAGACTGGTCTTGAGCTTCTTGGATTCAGCCCTACACATCTTCCGGCTGACTTCGGGCCTACTTGTACTGTAGCCCTGTTCAGATACGCAAACCCTGTTCAGATACGCACCCTCGGCATGCCTTTCAAGTCGTCAACATGTTTTCACGATGATAATTGAGGCATGCTGCCTCTCTATCTACCGTGCCTTGAGCAGCTGCCCCTGCGCAGATCTTCCATAAACCGCATTTCCCAACCAGGATGTACCACCTAGCCAAAAGCGTGTACTTTTGGGCCACGTCTAAAGAAGGTATGTATCCCCCCCCTCCTTCCCTCCACAGCGCAATCAATTCCACTGGAACCCCTCGTCTTCCCCCACCATCATCCCCGCCCCCTTCCCTTCCGCTAACAGGACGCGTCCAGAGTACTCCATCCTGCTCCTCGGCCTCGACAACGCCGGCAAAACCACCCTCCTCTCCACCATCAAATCCCTCTACAACGACCACCCGGCGCCCGCCAAACCCACCGTCCCCACCGTCGGCCAAAACGTCGCCACCGTCTCCCTCGACGACATGTACCTCCAGATCTGGGACGTGGGCGGCCAGCACGCCCTGCGGTCCATGTGGACGAGCTACTACCCCGTCTGCCACGCCATCGTCTTCGTCGTCGACGGCTGCGACATCGGCGACGATCTCGGCGGCGGCGGCGGTGAGGGGGCGGGACCGGTCGGGCGGCTGGAGGAGTGCCGGCGGACGCTCGAGTCGGTGCTGTCGCATCCGAGCACGGCGTCCATCCCGCTGCTGGTGCTGGCGAACAAGCAGGATCGGGAGGACTGCGTGGAGACGGTGCGGATCAAGGAGGGGCTCGTGCGGAGGGTGTTTGAGGGCGAGAGGGGCGGTGGCGTGAGGGACAGTCGGGTGTTGCCGGTCAGTGCGCTGAAGGGGGAGGGGGTGAGGGAGGCGGTGGAGTGGGTTCGGAGCCGGGTGAGGTGGAATAAGGAGGGGAGGGGGCCGGTGATGCGCTAGGGTGCGGTTCTGGTCGGGCGGCTTGTGGATGAGGATCTCCATCGCACCGTCGAGAGGGGGAAAGCGTCGGTGTGATAGAGGTCTTTTGGATAATGTGTTATTTATGATACAAATAGATAACGACCCCAAAACACAGATTTGAGCTGCCTTTGCAGTCATTACCCCTATATAATTACATTGAAAGAACGGATAGAACGTTCATTCACAGAGGAATCAATGACACGCCGCCCTGCTCCTCGCCAAATTGTTCATGGTCGCTGAACTGTAGACAACAAAAGAATAATTTCTCAAGATAGCGTCGTAAAGTCTGACTCCAGACCACATACCCAGAGAAGACCCTCCTCTACGGAGTACCTTGCGCTCTCATCCGGGCAAAGTCAATGGCTCAGGATACCGCCTTATCAATTGGCTCATGATTGTAGGTGCGCCGGCAACCGGGCTTCGGTTCATGAAGGGGGCCTACGGAGCCAGTAGTTCCAGCACTAGTATCTCGGTGCCTCCAGCTCCCCTATTGTCTGCCTTGGCACCGGAACGCTATCCTTTTCATGCACCTTCACATCACCCGGCATCTCCGACCACCCCGGTTTACTTGTAGCATATCCCGGGGCGTTTGGATGAGGCGTCGCAAGATTCTGATCGCCTGGATGAGATATGCCATTTTCCGTTCGTCTTGTACTTGAATTTCTCCGCCGTCGGAGCATGAAGAAGCCAGCAGCAGCGGCGATCAAGGCCAGAACTCCCAGTGCCACTCCAACTCCCAGGCCTATCTTTGCGCCTTGACTGAGGCCATTGCTCCCGCTAGCTTCTGCACCGGCTGTAGATTCGGGAGAAGTTGTGGAAGACGCTGTCGATTGTGCATTCGTGCTGGCGCTCGGACCGGTATCCGCAGTCGATGAAGTTCCGGTGTTCTGGCTCCAAGTCACAGGCTTAGCGTTGCTTTCAACGGCGACATTGAAAGTTCCACTCAGGGCGTACGGAGGTCCCAACCCTACGGCTGGCTGGCGGGAGAGCTCAAAGTGGCAGCTGAACGGGTCGAGCGCATAGTTGAGGGGAAAGTCCAGACTACCTGTTGCAGGCGCTGTTTGGTTGTAGACTGTTATGTGGGTGTTAGGTCTCGAATGTTGGGGCAAAAAGAAAACAGGAGTGGGCCATACGTTCGCCTAGCACTGGAGAAGAGGAATTGCCATTGGTGACACCGCAGTAGAGATGGAGCCATGGTGTGGAAAAGTCCGACGTCCAGGAGGCGTTCAATGTGTCGAGGTAGTTAAAAGTGGGGGTTGTGCTAGGATCTGGATACAGCCAGGTGCCGTTGGCACCAGAGTCCGCGCTTGCTATTCTCGCAATGATAGCGACCGAAGAGATCAGAGCACAATGCGGAGACAGAGAAAACCGCATCCTTGAAGAAGTGAAAGATATGCAGATGTTGGTGGAAAGCGAAGGGAGTCATGGAGTCAGATCAAAACGTTGAGATCGGCGCTCTTGGCATGTGAGGCTGAGATGTCTAAAACCTGAAGGATCCCGCCGCCTGCGCCCGAAGGCAGTGTCTTCGAGCAAGCGAGCCACTTGCAACATGCCAGACAGGTGGTGGAATGGCACGATTCTGTCGTGCCAAAATCTGACTGGCTACCTTTCATATTTCTTACACGATTATTGAATATTGATACTCGAATGTAGGTAAAGTAGCCAGTTGACGACGTTAGAGGAGGCGCGCGGCTCTCAAAAACCACGCCTCGAGCAGAATCGGATTTCGGGTCAGACTTGTGTGGGACAAGGAGCTTTCGAGATCTGGGCAGAAGATGAGATCCCGGCTCGTATAGAAAGTGTACATTTTACACCACTCCTCAAGTCTAACATCACCGGCCCGAGTTGGTGCGGGCTGGGCGATGACAGGACGCGATGAGGAGAAGAATCTCATTGGTGCGTCCTTGCTAGCTACCGCTCTGTGGTGTTGCTTGATCTGCATAAAATTCGGCGGGAAAGGATCAAGGATGAAGGCAATGTCGCGATTTTGTCCCGCAATCTCTGCAATTTGCCTCCTAGTCTGATAAGGGTGATCCTGGTCGGAAAAGGAGTGAATGACAGCAGGGTAACTTGAATTTATGCCAGAATGATGCCAAGTGACGCGTGCCCAAGCTCGGTCGAGTTGGTGTCTTGGTGACGAGACTTCCCCTACGGATCGGTACCCGAAGATTGCCGAGGCTTGGCACTTTTGGTAGCACCAGTCCAGTCCAGGCATGAATGGTATCAGATACGTCGCCAAGCAACCCTTAAGGGAAACTGTAAGTTGCTATGCTGCAGTCTCGAGACCCGAGGACTGGGTGCTTGTAGTAGGTTGGTGCTACAATATAAATGGCAAGTGCCAACGGTGATGACCACAGGCACTGTCTTATCAGTTGAGACTATTCATGCATAAATTCAGATAAGAGTGCATGCGGTCCAACGTCTTTGGACCCGAATGACCGTGCATGAGGGGGATTCAGCAGATCTTCCGCTATCCAGTCATAAATGCATGAATGGGTCCCGACACTGCAGCTTCAGGGTAGAGAAAATTTATTGGTTGAAGTGCCCCCCGCATTTATGGATGATGTTCAATGTATGGAGTACATACAGATGAGAAATGTCATAATGCGGGAGTGGCGGATAGCAAATATGCGTACATGGTAGCTTTAGGTAGGTATATGAAGTCTAAGGTATGGATGGATGAAAGGAAGGTGAGACACTGAGGTATAGGAATTGCAGGAAAGACCTCCGACTTCTAGACCCTCACCGAATCTTGCGGCTACCGCGCGCGAGAGAAGCATCACGACCACCAAAAGCTTTATGAGAGGCTTCATGAAGTGGACCCTGTGAGCCAGGAGATATTTGCATCGTGGAGGCGAGGGACAAAGTATCAAGATTTGAGATCTTAGCTTCCTTGATGCGAAATTGAGCCAACAAGGGTTGCTCTCCTGTACTCTAGGTAGGTACCAGTCGTCTGTAGCAGTTGTCGAGATTGCTTGTTTCGAAAGATGGTGCCAATTAGTGGTGGGTGGGGGGGGGAAGCTTGCATAAGTTTTGTACGCGGACGGTCTGTGCGGCTCAGACTCACTGTAGGCTAGAGACAGTGGGGTATAAAATGAAAAAATCAAAATCAAAATCACAATAAAAATAACAGCGGTTTGAAGAATTCTGTGTAAGCAAGCTGAGGCCTCCAACAGGGTCATAATCCTGCAGGCTGTACATGACATTTTTACTAGATAGGTAGATCCATCGGGAGTTTCATGTACGGGAGAAGAGAATTGTCGAGGTGTGGACAGTGGCTTGCAGGTCTGAGGTATCAAAGGCTGTACTTGCTGTAAATGAGGCCAACGAGCGAAAGTTGTGCGCCAAATGGAAAACGCGTCTTACCACTTTAAAGCAAGATTCACCATACTTGAAGCAGTCTAATCCCTGTCCATGCTGTGCTCTCAATCCCGGCACCGCCAATCAGCGATTCCTACAACCGACCCATGACTTTGGGCGCCCTGTTATTTTGCTTCAACTTCTCTCAATCTCTACCGACTTATCTTGCTCTCCTCATATCTGACAGACGTGACGTGCAAGTCATTCAACGCTGACAGCGACTTCATCCTCCACACTTTGCTCCTTTCCTGCTCCTAATTCGCGTTTTCCATTCCAGTTCCAATTCTGTTTTCCGCTACGGGTAACTCGTAACCGTAATCTGTACGCTCCAGGGGTACCAACTAATTCAACCCTCCTCCACCATCTCTACGAATACCTCAAACAACTTCTCGACTTGCCAATCAGCTAGTCGAGATGATGAATGAATGATTGAGTCTTCTTCCTGTCCGAAGAGCAATTCATCTCGCCCATTCCTTGCCCTTTGCCTGGCCTGGCACATACCTCAACGATTTTTAATCTACCGCCGAAGAACACGGTACAGTCAGTATCTTTTTCATTCTTTTGACCAACCAAACGGCCTCATCGACCTTCACGACCTTCACGATCACGGCCGCTTCCATCCACGCCTTATCATAGTAGTCTCATGTCTTGCTATAACACAACGCTCCTTCAGTGATCACTTTGCCACCGCTCGTGTACGTGCAGCCTCACCCAGAGAAATTATTCGAACCCCCTTGAAGCACATTCCCGACTTCCATTTCCACAATTGCACAGCGTCTACATGACTTGAGACTTCAAAGAGTATTTGGCTCGACAACTAGACTGCCATTGCTGACGCCTGCTCGTGTCTCAGACATATTCGACGACCCGTCCCCTTATTCACAACCAAATCCTCTACTCCTCAGCCAAGATACCTCTACATCGTCCTGTCAAGCTTTCATTGCTGTCATAGAGATCTCGAACGTCGATACGGGTGTTGTACATGATGGCTGCTATGGTGCAGGCTTATCCTTCGCCAACATCGACGATGACGATGCTCCAAACGCGCCCTTCATCTTCGGAAGCGTTTCAGAGTGGGTCACAAGGCCAGCAACATCAACGAAACTCCCAAATGCCTAGAAACATCTACAACACTTCGGTCGGTGGAATGGCAGCTGGGAGCTATAGAGGACATACATCGACCTCGCCGGTGTCCCCATATGGCTTCTCCGGTCCATCACTACTGCCTAACGGTTCCAATCCACTCCGGCAGCACCCTACAGCTGTACCACCTCCACGGCTTGAGTACAGAACGGCATCTGCACCATCAGTACCTCTTGCTCAGCAAGCGTCACAACAGAGCCCGTCCATTTCTAATCGACCTCGCCCACCAGTAATCACCACAGCCTCCACACCATTGAGTGCTCCTAATAGCAACAACTCACGCCAGCAGACCCTCTCCGACGGCAACGCTTCAGCCATTACCTCTGTTCCGCCACAACTGGCCTCTAGGCCTCTCTCCACGGCTGATCTCAGCCTTCCGCCTTTACAAACAGCTTCTTATGCCACTGTGGCCAAATCGTCGCCAGATCGCTATCGACGGAATCACCGGCGTGCGGAGACATCCGGACCATTGACCACATCTAATCAAGGCCAAGGTGGATCTGCAATGCCGTCGGGTTCGGGCATGGCAACTGTCGGTCACCTCTATACACATCCTACACAGACAAGCAGTACTCCATCTTTAACATCGTACCCATCGTACCGTGGAGCTCAAACCGCTTCATCGCCTACAGTGAATGACTACAACGTTGGAGCACCGCCAAGGCTCGCTAGTAAAGATGATCTGAATTTGCAAAGGGAGCGCCAAGCTTCGGCAGACCTGGCAAAGAGATACCGAAGAAGGAGCATCAGCAGCATGGAAGCTAAAGACTTTGCAATCCCACTGTCAGAAGCAGGGCCACCGCAGCAACAAGGCCCGACAAAGTCTTATGCAGCAATGCTTGCTGGTCCATCACCACAGGAACGGAAGGAAGTTCGAACAACACCTGCAGTGGAGAGACCGACCTCATCCCATGGTCGTAGTGGCAGCAATGAGAGTTCTGTTTCGGGTCGCTCTGCCCCGAAGTCATCAGGGGCTAAGCGATTCGAACTACCATCTTCTGCTCCTACCACAGCACAAGAAGCTACTCCGATTGCAAGGAACGAAGCCAAGGTCGTAACCATCCCTGCGCGAGGATCGTCTGAAGCAAACAAGAGGCTCACCAGCCCTTCACCTCTTTCGAAGCCGATGGCAACGAGCCCTGAGGTGCCCTCCTCCGAGCATACTTTTGCCGCTCCAGAACCACTGCTGCCAGCGGCACCGATCGTCGCCCAAACTAGCACGACTCCCACTGGAATACCTCAGAGTGCTGCAGCCCAGCACTTGGCTGCGCTCAATAAGAAAGAGGGAAAGAAGGAAGGCAAATCGTCGAGGTTACGGCGAGCCTTTTCTTTTGGTAGTGCGGCTGAACTTCGAAAGGCATCTGCCGAGAACAGTGCTGCCGCTGCCTCAAATGAGCGTGCTAAGCTACGGAAAGATCGTTACGCGGACGAACAAGAAGCTCTGCAAGCAGCTGAGATTCAGAAACAAGAGGCAGCTGGCCTTGGAGAAGGCATCTATTCCGGGCAAGGGCATTTTTTCACTGGATCGACAGACAACTTGTCGATATCCTCGACTGCTTCTTCAGCATCAGTAATGATCAGAAAAATGGGCAAGGGCATGAAAAAAGGCTCTCGCTCGTTGGTCGGGTTGTTCAGGCCAAAGTCTGTTGTGGGCGTACCCGCTGCAGATTCGGCTGTGCCAGAAGTCAGCATGGCTCAAGTTTCGATGGTAACAGTCGAGGCTGAGCGAGAGAAGGTCAATGTCAACGCCGACCCACATGACCAAGCTGGAGGTGGTACTGGATTTCCAAAATTGGAGAGAAACTCTATGGATGCTGCACACATGGCTTCAGAGCCGAGGACCTCCTTCAGTGACCGACCAGGCAGTTCACGACCGGACAGCTCACGGGGAAGGCGTAGCCTCGTTGGGGGAGAAGAGGAGCGTGCAAAGGTTTTGGCGGCGGTCAAGAAAGGCATCCTGAAACGTAAGCTCAAGCTCTACCATTCCAATAAAACATACAGAAAATCGCTGACATGTCATCGGCAGGCACGGACTCAGGCCAGGCTTCTCCTGTCGCAAGACCTGTTGATACAAAGACCCCCGACTTCAATCTCCCTCAGATTCCTCACTTTAACGACAGTCCTCACTCTAGCGCTCCAACCACGCCCATCGATGAACATGCTCCACGGTCCGGACACAGAAAGACCGATTCAGTCAATATAGAAGGAGAAGAGTATTTTCTGTCTTTAGCGAACTTCACCAGTAGCGATTCGAAAAGCTTGCCCGGCACGCCACGCAGTCTTGCGGCCCGCAATATCAGCTTCAGCCCTCGCATACAATTCCACGACACCTGGCCACCAGGGGAGTATGATAGACGAGGTGAGATTGCTACATGCAATCGCTTGACGCCCCTCCTTGCTCAACAGATCAAGGAGGAGCTGAACACCTTCAAGATGGTATGTATCCTTAGCATGCTGATCATTTGCCATTGCTTACCTTACTTCAGGAAATGGAAGTACACGCCGAGTCTAAAGTCTACACACACTTCTTCTGATGAATGCATCACCTCTGGCACGGTTTTTCGAGCATGCTATTCGTATTCCTGAGGTTGGAACGCACTCGTCTGTTCCGTGCAATCACCACTTGACCTTTCATACAGCAACCAGGGCGACACTTTATATCTAGATGAGAACCGAAGGCCAATGTCACGTAATGCCACACAACAACCTCCACGTCCTCCACTTCGCAAGGACCGGGCTGGTCACGGCTCCTTGCTCTAAGATCAGCCATCTAAGGTCTGACGACTCCACACTATACACCTTTCCATCTCTCTACCCTATGCATCGATACGACATGCACTGGAGTTCGGATCATAGATTTGGTCGAAGCTACCGGCGGTACACTACCATATTCGCTCGTCGCTCTCGCACCAAAAGCTCGCTCGCATCTTTTCCTTTTTCTATCGAGCGTTTAGGGAATGCATAAGGTCTCCTCAATTCTTCTCGAAGCAAGCAAGCAAGTCAGGTCGTGTTATTACAGGGAAAGGTATTGAAATGAAGCAAGCGAGCTAGCGTGTCTTTGACATGTGAGAGTTTCACATTTACATTTAGGGTGACGAGATGCGATGGTCCTTCAGGTCCGGAAGTAGGGAAGGAATTAATGGAAATGAAACATGACTTTTGAGCAATCCAACAAGCGTGCCAGAACGATTCGATTGTCATTTCTATGCCTGCAGTTTGCGAGTACGGGGCCACACTCGTGATTGCAAGTCCGGTCGTCTCGTGGGGAACGATCTTTCCTCGATGCACTCGTTACTGCTACAAGGATCCTCATTCGCCGCCAGATCCGGTTCACTTTCACCTACCATGAGCAAACCCTCCCCACCTTTCCCTCTCCCCTTCCTCTCCTTTCTTGCAAATACCCTCTTCCACCTCCCTTCACTCGACGCAGACTCCCCCTCCACATCCATTTGCCCTATCAACTGCCGTCCCTGTCCCCTACACCCCCCAACCCCCGCTATGCTACGAGAAGATGCCCGTCCCCATGCGCAGCGGCTTGGTTTTTCCTCTCCCTTACAATTTTCCAATCTAGGGGGTTCATGCTGTTCGGGTGCCCGTCCTACCTTTTCTCGGCTGGATCTCTCGTGTGTGTCTTTTTTTTTTTTTTTTGGGGGGGGGGGGGGAGAGGATGAGGTGGGCGGTTTGTGCACTGGGGTTTGAGATTGGGAGATGTGGCGGGCTCGCTCGGTGGATGGTGATGGGGGTGGGGTTGGGGGTGGGGTTGGGGGGCCAGAGGTACGGATTTTGCTTTTTGCGGTCACTGATCGGTTCTGCAGGCATGCGCTATTTGGAGCACGCGGTAGAGGGAGGGGAGAGAGAGAGAGAGAGGAGAGAGGTTGGGATGGATCGGGGCCGGAGGGGGTAATGTCGTCGTGTCGTTCTGGCGGGCGGATGAGCTGAGGTTTGCGGGATGGGATGGTCGCGGGTTGGGGGGGTCGGAGAGGGTGAGGTTGGGTGTGTGAGTAGGGGTTTGTCTGTTTGGGAGGGATGGTTGGGTCTATGGATTACCGGTTGGGGGGGAGGGATTTAGGGATGCAGGTCTTCCCGGGTCGAATCACGTTGCGGAAGTAGAGAAATGGAGTCGTTCCAGCGCCGTGGTCTTCAGGATGATTCCAGTCTGCTATAGTCTTCTGCGCCCTCAATCCCCTGTGGAGCCATCCCAGACCGCTGACCTCTACTTATCCAAGCGCTTCTCAATCTCCACGACCTTGTTGTATATCTGACGCTGAGTCGTCGTCATGGTGTTCCAATTCAGGGCCATCTGCTTCCCGGCTTTCTCACCCGCCGCTACAATCGCCGGCGCTATATAGTAGAGAAAATAAAGCAAAGCGCCGCCGTTCGTAACCCACCCCGCATAATCCGCCCAGCTCGGCATACGGACGCGAGATGAGTGTTTCATCCACGCCTCATCCTGCTTATCGAGATATAGCAGCAGGAGTTCGCGATCGTTCAGATCGCTGTAGCGGTGATAGGCTTCGCTGACGCGCTGCTCGACGGGCTTCGCGCTGCCGGATGGCCAGAGGGAGAGGGAGGCACGTCGGGCACGCTGGGGTTCGGCAAGGGGGGTTGTGTTGAGGAGGAGAGGGCGTCTGGTTGCGTTTCCAGTGATGCGTGGGAGAGACGGGCTGCCTGGAGCGAGACGATGAAGGTTCGAGAGCTGAGATGAGCCACCGTGAGTGAAGAGGCGCGATTTTGTCTCGTACGCCTTTCTGAAGGGAGAGGTGGGAAAGTTGGCGCGACTGAGCATGGTGAATAGGAGAAGCGGCTTAGATATGGTGGATGGCAGTACTATTGACTTTATTGTTATTGAACCTGAAATTTAATGGACTTGGGTTCGAGGCAGAGAGATATAAGAAGGCGAAGTCAAGGGTGCGGTATGCAAGGGAACGCGTGAGATATGCATGTCTCGGCGCTTCCGATGCCCTCAATGATGGCATGAAATGCGCGGTCTTATTGTCGTCAGTGAAGCCAGTGCCCCAAAATTTTACAGTCACTGGATCGACGCATCCGAGTTAAGTAGCTTAGAGGCAGAGATAGCGGTGACACATGTTCCAAGCAGCTTCCGTGGAGCCTCTGCTGAGATGAGGCTTTTCCTAGAATCTCCAGAGACCAAGGATCAGAATGATGTACTCAATCTTCATCAGATGTCATCGCAAAGTCTTGAAAAGGCTTGATTGGAGAATGAGGCGACTTTCAGGAGTTACTGAGCGTACCTTGGGCAAACTTGTGTCCGTGGCGGATCTGCTTTAGGGCTCAGCTGCTGTAATGCGAGTGGACTGACTGTTGTCAAACGTGGACATTCGACCTTTGGACACGCGGAGGGTGCAATGAAATCAATATCTCTGATTTTCTGTGGGATGAAGCACGTCGGGGATCATGGTAGAGTCCACGTAGTTCCAGTTCGAGCGCCTCCGATGGGCAAACCACCTCCTTGTGGATTGCAGGTTGCAGCTGAAGGTTATTGAAATCATCTCCACATCCAAAATTGCATTCGACCAGCTGTTCGATGATGCTATAATACCTTAGGCCTAGATCTATATAGTATGATCGGGATAGTCTCCTAGCGATGAAGAACTCGGTGTAACTTTCTTGGCCGTTGATGAGATTGGTGGGTTGCTACAAGCTTGCTAAAGCTGATGAGTAGCCGAATCCAAGGAAGACAACGGCGAGACTAAATAGCAGACTATTCCGGGCGAATTTGGGCAAGGGATCAGTGTAAGTGTTTGGTGGTTGTCCGGTTTGGCCTCTGACCTTCACGCTGAGATGGGGTGACGCAGTCCATTCCCATGCCTGGAGCAACTGCATGCTCTCCGGTCCGAAAAAGTACACGCTGTCGCTCCTCCAAGACATACTGAGCCAAGGTGTTGCATGGTACTGAAGTACTGCGATTGCTAGTGTCTTCGCAAGACAAATCGGTCGGTGGAGAAAAGTTTGGCCAGTTGCGTTTTGCTTTGACATAGATGATATAAGCTGGCTAAGCGTGGTAGTACAGCGATGCTGAGAGCAAGATACGGGCGGAGAGGGATACACGAAGGTTTTGCAGCTTCCTGTCTGCTCCATCAAGCCCACAAATGATCGAATTGACCACGAACAATACAGGATCACCCTGATCTGCGCAGCTGGCTACGATCAGACCACTGAAAGCAAAGTGGAACCCAATCTGTGAGCTTTGTCACAATCCAAGGGTGCTTGTACAGATTCGACGCAGAACTGTGCTTGGTATTCAATGTCTGGAGTACTGTTAAGCTCCGCTCCAGTCGCGATGATCCTGCGAAATTGAAAAGGAAATTTTTGCCGACACGAGCTCTCCAATCCTTATCCCCAATGGAATTTTTACGTCTGAGTTGCCATGTCATTGGCCGGTGCCCTGTTCAGATTGCTGGGTTCTAACTGGCGTTCCGGGTCGATAGATGCCCCAAGCTCCTCGATCTCCAGCACTATTCCTTTCGGCCGTGTTCCTGTGATCCGAAAATGTTCCATACTGCGCTGGGTCCATTCTCGCTTGCTTGGGACCGCAAGTCATCTGAAGCATTTGATGAAGGTGAAGGGACATTCAAGGACAGGATCTCCGTCGGGCCTGCGAAGGGGAGGGAGAGTGCTGGGCTCCAGTGTACGATCAGGATCTGGAAGGGAAAAGACGGGCACTCTTCTCGGGCACCCCAAGCAGGAAGCTAGGCAGGGTCTGGCCTCGGTTCAGAGCATCCGTGGAATACATATCGAATGGAAGGAACAAATCTCCGCTCTCACGGCGCGGCATGTAGTGGTCAGGGCTAACCTAGACACGATACCACAAGTTGAGAAGGTTGCGACTGGATTTCCCCAGATTCGAGGATGATCTGCGTTATAACTGTTCTTATTTGACTGTCATAAAGTAGTGAGGAAGGCTTCTAGAGTCTTTGTCGGTACCTATACTATATTAGCAAACCGATCGGTTTCTACACCAAGTATACTGCCTTCTTAGAGCCTTCTTAGAACCTTGAGGCCACCACGCAGAAGTAAAGTATGTCACCGTAATTTTTATTGCATTGGTGAAGACATTTGTTGCTACGCCGAAAGTCATTGCCATTTCGCACTCAGCCTTCTTCAAGATCGATGAAATCTGAACATCTATGATTGTACTATTCTTTCCCTATTCGTTATGGACTTGCATGTGCTTCGTATTAAACGCTGGCAAAGACAATGTCGCAGCAGCGACCAAACATCTCCCCTAACTTAGAAAGTGATTTCGGTCAAGTTTAAGCCAGACTTCACCGGCAAACGAGACTAAAATGACAGTCAACAGCCTTGTTGCGAGACTTTGCTTGTTTGAGTCAGTCGTGCGGCGCAACAGAGAGCGGTATGAGACACAGCAAACAGTCCGGTACAAGAACGTTCGAAAAGTGCAATTGAGCTATGATACCAAAGACAGCATCAGCCTCGAGGGATAACACGATCTTCGAACAGCAAGTTCTATGGTCAAGGACACCGTCGGCCTGGCCGGTGGGCACGGACGTCTTTAGCAAGCAGAGTTGCATCAATCCGGATGAAAGTATTCGGCTAAGGAAATTGCGTCAGCTTCGCAGGATTTGTTGGTCTCGTCAGTGGTCACGGCTTGATTCAGAAAGCCGCTCTGTGTCGATATCAAAGCAGCTCATCGGGACCGAAAGTTGACCTGGGTCTCGAAGGATGGCTTCGGTCTCGTGAGATGAAGTCATCTCGTGATGGGCTTTTGCTCTGAGGAGAATCGTATCAGCCCCGAAGGTCGATCTCGGTCTCGAAGGACGGACTCGGTCTCGTGAGAGAAAAATCACCCTCGAGATGGGTTTTCGGGTTGTGGAGAATGGCATCAGCCATAAAAGGTACGTAAAGCCTCAAAGGAAAACATGGTCCCGAAGTGGAAGGTCAAATTAGAAGGATTACATCGGTCTCGGCTATGGAGGCTTCTCAGTTTCAGATTTCCCAGTCCCAGTGCCAGTTACAATTGAGAGGATTTCAACACCGTTCATTATTGATGAGTATTTGAAGGTAGAACCAGTCGTGGTTGTGCAGAATCTGGAGTCTTGATAACGATGCGCAAGCGCATGCAGGGCTGAAGAATGCCAAGTTTCACTAACGTCTGACCAGCTCTTGGTGAAGTTTCAGATATTTTTGTCTCCGATGCGAGCACGCTAGTGTATGATACGGTATTGCGCTAGAATTCAGGGGCTGGAACGGCACCTGCCTGGCGAACAGACTAAAGTAGAGTAGCAACCGACCGCGTAAGCACGGGATTCTGACTCTACGAGATTACGGTACGAGAACAGCAAAGACTAAGTAAGGATAGCCGGCCTACTTTTCTTTACCTTATTAAATACGAACTGCACTATGTTTAATCTGACCCTAATATTTCCTGTGCCTCTCTTGGCGTTGGCGCATTTGCCGACTGCTGCTACGACTTGTCGCTACCTGGGAAGCAGTGCCAAAAAAAGCACTCTTTCGCCTATACCAACATCTCTCTAATACTCTACCTACCTATCCTATTCTTCTGTCTGTCTTTATACTTGCCCCTCAATGTTTCAATCTCACTCCTTTCTACATTGGATCTATTGTACTGTCATTTGCAGACAATAATGTTGCGCTCATCTTTGTCAAGTACTGTGGCGGGATGGAGTCCCGCCTATGCTGCCGCACTCGCTCTCGTCGCAATCCAGGTTGGTATTGGAATAGTTTATAAGATAGCGCAGAAGGGTGGAAGGTTAGTACTTCCAGAATGGAACAATCGTGTGAGCGGCCTGCTGACCAGCCCACAGCTATACCTTTTCAACCTCATCCTCCATCACCATATCCGAGTTCCTCAAATGTGCCTTATCAACATTCCTGTTCTACCGAGAATGCCGGAGGCGGCATGCTGCTAGGGGTTTTGCGTACCAGGTGGCAGCAGCCACGCCGGAGCGATTATCGCTGGAAGAGAAGGATGACTCGAGGACTTTCAGTGAGACATCTACTTTGGAGGAGGGAAAAGAAGGAAGCGAGGACCATGTCAAGATCCCACTGTCGCCAGACGCTAGAGGGGGAGAATTGACACTGGAGGAGTTCTGGAATTATTGCAAAAATGAAGTGCCTATGGATACCAAATACGGCTTTTTCACGCTGGCTCTGCTATATGCTTTGATCAACAATACGGTATGCAACCTACAGGCAATATTAGTGACCGAGAAGGAGCGTCTTCTGACGTTGTGATATGCAGATATTCGTGGCCTACAAGCTCGCAGATCCCGGAACCATTCAACTCTTAAAGTCCGGAATCACATTGGTCACAGCGCTGGTCATGCTCTTTGCTCTCGGAACCAGGATTGTCAAACTCCAATGGATCGCCATAATTATACAGGCAGGTGCCCCACAAGCATTCACAGAATCATCCACTAACGGAGCGACAGATCTGTGGCCTCATGGTGACCCAGTATCACCCTGACACTGGTGCCTCATATCCACTCTCAACCTATACGCTACTCATCTTTCAGACATTTCTCAGTGCATCCGCGGGTGTCTATAATCAGAGCCTTTGTAAGAGGGGAACTGCGTCTTTGCACGGGGATAACCAGACTCTGTACGCCTCAGGAGCCGCCATCAACCTAGTCATCCACATCATCATGAAGATCATGAAGCCGGACGAACCGTCCTTCTTCACCGGCTACAACAGCATTGGAGCCATCATGGTGGTGCTCAGCAATGTCTTCATTGGCCTTGCGATCACTGCAGTTTACAAGTACGCGGATGCGATCATTAAATGCTTCGCTACTGCTGTATCAACAGGAATCCTTCTATATCTCTCCCCTATCCTGTTCGGGGCTGAGATGTCTTTTTTGGTTCTGCCGGGGACTCTTGTTGTCTTTATCTCTACGTGGCTCTATATGGAAGCTGCACCACCAAAACCATCGCCAAATTCAGTTCCGGAGCAGACTCCTCCAACAATGTTAAGCCAAGCCTCTGAAAGGGTTTCCGCAAAGGCACGTCTTCTCTAATGACTACACCATACTTAAACCTGATAGATACTGACTGCGCGATTTCAGCATTGGAACCGCCATATCACCACCGGCTTCTCCACCTTCTTAACGATCATCATTATCGTTTGGCTCTCACTTGGCAACTCACACATGCCTGACAAGGGTGCGTCCAAGGCACCAGAAGTGGATGCCCTCAATTCCAATTCGACTGTAACAAAGTTGGAATCACCTTTTAAGAACAGCATGGCCTTCATTCGAATCAACGGAGATCGCCCGGAGCGAATACCGACGGTAATGGGCTACGAACCCTTCTTCCGAGAGACACACATCAGCATGCCAAATCTCACTCCCAATAAGCACCAGTTAAACCTTACCCACGACTCCTTCGAGCAAACTTTCACCGCATACAAGGCCCTTGGAGACACCATGAAGCTGATACTGGACGCACCTGCTAACGACAGCGCCTCCAAAATAGACGGCATCTTTTTCTTCCATTTCGACATTTGGCTCGACCCCATGGCTTTTGCTCACGAGGACTTTGAGAACATATGGCTCCCTGACATGGAGGGCCCGAGATACCTCTGCATGACCGAGAAAACCAGGGACAAGATCATGGGCGACTGGTTCTGGTTTGACCGAGGAGCCCAACACCCAGCCATCGACGCCGCCCGCGAAGTCCACGACCGCTTCGGCCAGGATTTCAGAATGAAAGGCGACGAGTTCTGCGCCGGCTGGGCAGATCTCTACTACATTCCCCGCCGCTTTTTCGCTGAATGGATCATTCTCTCCACAATCTACGCTTCCCACGATGTCTTTCACGAAATAGCAGTTGCAAGCATGGCGCGCATTATCGATGTTTCTCGACGCAGTCACCCGACGCTGCCTGTTATGACCCATTTCGGAGACTGCTGGGGTGGATGCTGCAGTGGGTATCCAGAAGGGCCGGAGATCCTGTGGAAAAGGTGTGGGCATCATCTGAACTATCTGAACCAGGAGCATGTGAAGACGCAGTATGGGCGCTTAGAGCGGGAAGCTAAGATGCTGGGGAGTAACATTACGGAGATAGTGAGGGGCAAAGAAGATGACCGGAGGATGTTGAAGGAGTTGGGAGGTCTGATGGAGGCTGTGGGTGGGGACACAGGGACTGACGACTCGTGGTCGAAACACTGGTGATCGCAATGGGGAACTGCTCACCCGCCGGTCGGACCATTAGGCACGATGAACCAGGCCGACAAGGGAACGAACGAAATAAAGCCCCAGAAGACAAAGCCGGGCCTGCAATCCAGCAAGCAAACCTCCAGTCAGAACGGAGGGCTGTCTTCAAAACAGCACGACGGCCTCGTTCTTCGAACCGACACTCGCTTGTCAGAGAGGACATGGCTTTCGCCAGAGGAGGCCGCGGTCAAGGACCCGCGTGCCGATCTCATATATATCTTTGTGTATATATGTATTTATTTATTCTTTATATAGGGATGGAGCGGGGGCAATGTAGAACCAGCGGCGGCGTCTCTGTGGATATACTCTGGCGGGGTATATATTTTCATTTCTACACTTAGCGACGGGAGTATTTAGATTTTGAGCAATGGGAATTGAATAACAAGCTTCACTTCTTCGGTCTTCGTGCATGGCGTTGCGTATCTTGCTTGTGTTCGGTTTACTCTGTGTAGTCTAAAGAAGGCGGTCAGGCTTTCATAATTTTCCGAGGCGTGATTCCTGTGCCTATAGTTCACCCAGCGCATTCAAAGTACACGAGATGGAACAACGTAATGTAAAATACATACAAGTATCTATCGAAGAAGTAAATACTAACAGCAACACCGAGCTCACGGAGCTGTAAAATAGTAATACATCGGAAGTAGATCCATCTATATAACAACCTTGGTATATTCCCCATCCATCTTCAGACCGTCTGGCTAACACAATAACAGAAGCATACGATCACAAAGACAGCATATGTGGCAAATCCTCCGCATTCCGCGGTATATTCACACACTCCGCCGACGGGTACGGATTCGTTGGTGCATAATCGTTGATGACCACCCGACTCGCATGCAGCATGCCAAATAAAACCTGATCGTACTTAACCCCGTATTGATCCAACTGTTTCACTGTTGCGTCCCTGAATTTCTCTAACCTTGATGTAACGAGGATAATTCTGACTCTGCCGGTTGCATGCAGCTTGTTCAGATGGTCGACGTTCTTCGTCAAAGGGGCCGTGGTGCCCCAGGTGGGAACGAAGTATTGACCACTATTCTTCATGAGCGTGCCGTCAATGTCGACGAAGAGCGTTTTGAAGCTATCGCAGTAGGCGCGCCAAGAAGGGAGGGTGCCCCAGTCCTCGTAATTTGCAGCTGGGATCGAGAAGAAAGGGGCGCCGGTTGCCATTTTCAGCCAAATCACATCCGAGACCGCTAGCTCAACGCCCTTGGTGGCTGACGCCATGATCTGGTATTTCCTCGCCTGAGCGACACGGGAAAGGAAGTCTTGGGCGGATTTCCACGCATAGCCGCCGATGCAGAAGGTATTACTGACCATCATTTTCTCGACGATGCTTGTGAGTTGGCCTGTTTGGGAGTTGACGGCTACATAGCCTTTGGACGCAACGTTGGATACGCCTGATTCGGTTTCACGCGTTATTTCAAGGGTAGCTACGCCGTCGACTGCTGGGACGGGACATTTGAATTGGTTGTCGCAGTCTTTGAGAAAGATGGGGCCGGTTACTCTGGCGGCGTTCAGGATGCATTCAATGGTTTGGGTTTGATCGACTGTTTCTTCTGCTATTACCACAATGGAGACTTTGATTTCTTGAAGACGTGGTACACCGTCTTCGAAGATTTTGAGAATTGCGTCTACGTCTCCACCGCAGTATTTGTCTACATGCTCCTTTAGCAGTCCGATGACGACATGGTTGACGTGGGTCAGGTCCAAAGCTCCCAGTGCATCGACGACCATCAGACAGCCGCTGGGCTGGGTGAGCATCCATTTGGGCTTCACGCCTGGAAATCGAGAAGAACGGCCGGCGGAGGGAACAACGAGAGTGACTGGGTCGCTCTCTGCGCTAGATTCACCGTTCGATTCGACACCGTTTGTGTGTACGCCATTGGTATGGGCACCGTTTTTGACAACGCCGTTCGAGTAATGCAAAGGAGGGCGTACTGTAACTTCCGAGGTAGGCTGAGCAGCGACGTCCCCTATAGCCTCAATCGGCAGGAAGCTAGTCGGCCAATCCTTGATCTTTGGATCTGAAGGCACTGGTAAGACTTTTATGACGCCTTCCACCTCTTGTAGCTCCTTCTGCAACTTCTCGAGGGCGACGACCTGGATGACACCTACGGCATAGAATCGTTGCCTTGCAGCCTCCTTGCCATTCACCCATCTTTCTGACAACCTCTTGTAGATTCCGTCGATGACAATAAAGGTGTTGTTGATGAAGCGTACGCGGCTGTGCTTTGGGTTCTGAACAGACTTATCCCAGAGAGTCGTAGCAAGTAGGTTGGCGAGGAAGGACGCCACAGCTGACAACGGGGACGTCTGCTTGCCGTCACCGACTGCTTTCGAGGAAGGTAAGTCCGGGAAGAAGAGGGTCCGGTTCTCCAGGTCCACGCCCACATGCTTCGGAGAGTAGTGGTCTTCGTCTATCGGGAGAAGAGGAATCCAGACATCATGGGCGTGTTGGGGGAATTGGCCGAAGCGTTGTGTAAGGTATGTGGACAGGCGAATTGAGCGGTATGGGTCACTGCGGGCCAGGAGAGCGTCGAAGTGGTCGCTCACGGAATTGATGTACCAATTGAGTTCGGGGAGGGAACAACGCTCGAGGAAGCGTTCATAGGGCGTCAAATTCGGCGGAGAGGCCAGTATAGAGTCCATGATCGCTGCGGCTGTATCGTTGTTAAGGATGACCAGCGGAGGAGGGCAGCTCGGCGCAGTGACTTGTCAAGGAGGGGGGTCCTCTGTGAGTGTTGTCGCTATGTGAAGGTGGTAGCTGAGGGATGTCAGCATAGACTTGTCGTCGGCAACATTGTGTGAAGTCAGTGTCGACTTCGGACGAACAAATCCTCAAGACCAAGACAGGTAAGCGAAAGCGAATGATGATTTAAAAAAGGGGTGAATGGGAGCTGCCGAAGCGTGGCGTAAGGTATGTCCAGATTTCGGACTTCAGTCGCATGGCTTCACACTAGTACAGTATTACGGAGCTAAGTTCTCGTACTGTAAACCGCACATACCCAACCCGCATACCCGCAACTGCAAGGGCAGGAGTGGCAGCTGGCAACGGTTCTAACGAGCCAATACGGAGCGGTTCTCGGCACGCGAAAATACGGAAGTCTCGCACTCTGTGCGAGCGCAATTCAAGTGACCCACCTACATACTCTTTTAATCATTTTGATTATTGCTGCTTCCATCTTCTGCTGATAAGTCAACATTTGCAGTTTCGGCCACCGACTCACTTTTTCCAACAAGCATTCCAAAAGGAGAAGGAGCCACGCGGCCAAGAGGAAGTCAGACGACTCAGCCAAGGCCTAATTTTAGAAGTCTGATCATCCCATCTTCTTGCCGTTGCGCCGCCTCCAACAATTACGGGTCTGTTATATTACACTTCCAATTTCTTAGGTATCACAATTACAACGTGCTCTTCAGACTGAAACGTTTGATAATAATGATCGGGCTGGAACAGGGGCCAGGATGTTCGGGAGTTCTTGCTTACCCGTTCTGCGATGCAGATCCTGGCGTTCCTGGCTTCTTCACATCCTCTAGCATTTGAACGTCTCTTTTCTTTTTTCCTTTTTTGTCCATGTGCATTGAACATACCCTCAAAAGGTTCCTCGGCCGAAAGTATATAGGACTTTGTATATATCTTTTTGCTCCATATACTGCAGTGATCAGCTTGCAGTTGCTTCCTACTTATCTCATATTTGACTGCTATTTAACATCCTCACGACCACTTGGATGACGGCGCATCTATCAAAAGGCTACATTATAGGTGCCTTGGAAAGCTACTGACGACCGGAGAATTATGACACCCGCAATAATGTCAGATAATGGAGACGTCTTGGGACATTTCAATCAATCTTCCCCACACGAATGGTCGATCCCTACCCATCACAAGTTTCCGCTCAAGAAAATCCCCGAGCCATTACAAATCGACTCCATACCTCCCTATGAAAGCAGTTCTGATCAAGCCGAGTTGGAGGCACAAACGCCGACGGCCCACAAACCCACACTTAAGGGCGTGGGGAAATCGGATTGTGAAGTCAAGATCGTGAGCATCTCCGAATGCGAGAGCGAGATCCCACCCGAAGCCTTCGCCGATAAGAACAGTCGTATGCATGCTGCCTAGCTTGACTCGGGAGCGCTGGAGCTGATACCCTGTGCATAGTCTGGACAAGCGATGCCATGCAGGATATCTTCGCCAATGCGCGCACACTCACACCAACGAATGGGGACTCGTATTCCGTCTTGGGCTCTCGCGCAGCTCAGGCCCGAAAAGCACATCGAAGACCCTTCCTTGCGCGGAGAGGAAACTCGTCGGCGCCCCGTCTGGCTCGTCAGCCTACACGTCCAACAGGACCCAGCAAATATGTCAGTGGGGCAACGATCCGTCGCCTGACGTCCGACAAATGGGCAGTCCGAAAACAAGCCTTCAGTGGTGGAAAGCAAGACGGGTCCAGACTGCTCAAGCAGATCCAGAAACAGCTCATCTTCTCTGCAACCTGTCGGACAAGCCATATGAATGCCACAATTAGTACTCCGGAAATATACGGACTCAAAGTGCCTCGGGCGGGTGAGGAGTCAAATATAATTGTGGACATGGAGTACATACCCTTCCACGATGTTGCTTTTATCATGCTGGAGCAAGACAAGGCCGTCAACGAGTGGCTGATCAATGCAGCAATTTCTGTCGTCGACTATGAACTAACGAATAGCTCAAGCGTTCCGCTGAAGGAGGTTATGCCAGAGTTTCACAAGAAGGCCGACAGCATTAAGAAAGCTATGACAAAGTCGCATTTGCTGTCCGAGGAGGAAATAAAGAACACCAGCGAGCAGATCGATGCTCTTCTCCAGCACTACGACGGGTTACCAGATCTGCATATACCCGTAGGGACGTGTCACGGGGATCTGACTTTGCAGAACATGCTTGTAGATCCCATTAATCGCGAGCTTTGCGTTTTTGATTTCTTAGATTGCTTTGTTGTAAGTCAACTTCGCGTTGTCGCTCCTGCTATTGTGTGCGCAGTCTCTAGCCATGGACTTTATGCCAGCCCAGCGTTACTGACCCGTCCTTTTTGTTTTCTTTAGGAATCGCCGTTGCAAGATCTCGCCAAGCTGCTGCAAGATGTGCGCCATCAATGGTTCTTTACACAGGTCGAGATACCTGACGGAAAAGAGGCTCGAGCTGTAGCCACCCTGGCTTTCTTTTATGACAAAATCCGCTCAGACTATGAATTTTACGAATTTTGGGAAGCCTTGGCGCTCTTCGAGTTCATGTGCCTCGCACGCATCCTACCATACATGACCAATGACAGAGAAAAGCATTGTATTCTCCACGGTCTGCAGAGAATTGGCGAAGATCTGAAATCTTTGAACACACCATTAGTGGAAAGTTCCAGTGATAGCTATGATTCCGAGCCAGAAAATTTCGACGCGATACCAAATGATAAGACCACGGTCATTGTCCCTGCTCTGGGCCCTGACTTGGCCCAAGTGTTTTTTGACGGCCAGACCAAGCTTCTGACGGTCAATGTAAGTTGGCAATACTTTTGGTAGATAGGAAGAAGTTGGCTAACCAATTCTCTTGTGCTGCAGCCCAACGGTCGGCCACTAATAGTGGACTGCGTCTCGAGTCTCGGAACCGACAAAGTCTCTCGCATAATCATCGCAGTACCAAAGTCACTAATACTACAACACTGCGATAGCCCCGCCGCATTTGAGAAGCTTTTTGACGCTTTAGGACCCGACAAACGCAGCAAACTTGAGTTCTTCTATTCCGAGCAAAAGACAAGAGATGTCATCGACACCGTGACTGCAGTAGTACAAGAACGCAACGTCTCCGGCTCGATCTTCGTCAAAGATGCCAACAATAACTTCGCCCACTCTGTCGACGCAGGAAACTACACCGCCTTCCTCTCCATCGTCAAAGAAGAAAACCCAATCCGCAGCTCCAACCCTCGTTCTCACCACCGCTCCTACTCGAAGGGCGACCTCCGCCCACTCCAAAAGCGCGATCTCCGCCCGGACCTCATTGACGCGACGAAGAAATCCTACGTCTCCTTCTCCTACGATAACATCGTCTCCAACATCTCCCACGCCTCCTTCGTGTCCTCCCAATTCTGCTGCGGCGGCTACGGATTCCTATCTGCCTCCGACTTCCTAGCATCTGCAGAGAGACTGCGCACCGCGCTGCAAGCGGCCGACATCGAACTCTCGCCCGGGAAAAGCGGGCTCAAAATCATCGACGTGATCTGGGAGATGATCTGCCAGGGGCATCTGTTCTTCGGCGCCAAAGTATCCGAATACGACGACTGGGGCTCCCTCGCCGCCTGGACGGCCTACAAAGGCACCTACACCACCCACTGGGTCGACATGGCGCACCTGGAGCGTGTCCTCCAACGTCCGGATCCGAGCGCCGGCTTGCAGGACATCCTCGACAACCCGAGGAGGAGCATCATCTTCTACACGAGCAAGGGCGAGGCGCACGTGGGTCAGGTGAGGGAAACGGTGGAGCGGGTCGGGGGCGGCGCGACGGGGAAGAGGCTGCAGATGCTGCATAGTATCGTCAGTCCGCATTTGATGGGCGTGGAGAGCGATTTGAGGGATTTGGGTCTTTGATCGTTGTACGATTGTGGTTTTGGATGGGTAGGGTGTGTGTTTTTGGATGTCCTGGGGAAGAGGGAAGGAGAGGTTTGTGTGAGGCGGTGTTTACCGTTGGGTTTTCGGGGGAGCTTTGGATACCCGGCTCAGGGCGTTATATACTGGATGTATTCATGGGTTTGGAAAGGGGGTTTGGTGTCGTTTCTCGGAGTGTAGTCACGCGATTTACTACACTGTGTTGTACTCTACCATCTACACTTTGTCTAGAATCAACGGTAAAGAAAGGGTTTCGTATGTCGTGCGTAGAATGTAAAACTATCGGAGTCATACCGACTTTGCGAAAAGCTGACATGCGGGCGGGGTTGAGTTGCTGTTGCAGGCAAAGTCCGTAGTATACACACGTCTATTCTAGCTTCCCTACGAACGAATCACAATCCGAGTGACGGATGACACGCCCAAGGACGAGTGTCCTGGATGGAAAGAGGGAGACACTCATAATCCCAGCATGCCCCAGCAGCGACGAACGCCGTCTCATCCACACACCATACTCTGTTTCGGCATTTCCCTCCTTGCCAACCCATCTTCTGCGTCAACTCTTTCTCTCTCCGTCATCTCAGCCCGTTCTCCCTCTGGATGCTCAGACACGTTCTTCCCTTCCGCTTCTAATCTCTTCTTTTCAACGACGGCCTCCGCCTCCAACCGCCGCTTGTCCTTCTTACTCATCGTCAGACTGCCCTTGTCCAGCGCTTCCTTCAACAGCGGTCTCACGTACGGCTGGCACACCCACCAGGGCCGCTTGCAGGCTTTGACCGTCGCGACGGAGCTCGAGTCTTTGTTCGGGTTCTCTTCTTCTTCTTCTTGTTCCTTCTCATGCGAATGGAGGTCGGCATCTTCGTATTTGGCGGGATCGGCCTCGTAGTCTAGGAGGCCTTCCTTGACGGCAGCTTCCACCATCTGCAACACGTTTTCGAAGGCTGGTATGTCGCCTGCGCGAGACTTGCCTAGTGCGTCGCGGATGTGGTGGTGCTTTGCGACGAGGGGGCGGAGGAGGTGGAAGAGGTGGGGTTGCATGGCGAGGAGGTTCGGTGAGGTGGTTCTTTGCTGCTTGTTGTCGCGCTTTTGCTTTTTGGTTGGGGGCTGGCCATCGGTGTCTTCGCTGGCAGGGCCGTGGAGGGTGGTTGGGGAATCTTCGACGGGAGGGTCGGAGGGGAGGAAGAGGGGGTTTCGCTTCGGTGTAGGCTTTTCGAGAACGTATTGATAGAGGATGTCCATGTACCTCCGGAAGACAGCGTCCATACGGTAGCCACCCTTCCCGTTTCTGCCTCTCCAATATTCTCGAGTCTCTGAGCCAGAACGTGGTGGCTTGGCAAATATTGTCGGGTCGTATAAATTCCCCTCTGCACTCATGACTCCGTCGGCGCCCGTCTCTTCAAGGCATCTATAGATATCCTCGTGCCGTAGGATGTTGCCGTTTGCAAAGATGACTGTCTCCGGAGGTAGCCTTTCCCTCAGATACCGCAGCACAGACCAGTCCGCCAAGCCTGTCTTGTGTCCCTTCTGATCTCTATGCCGTCCATGCACCGTGATAACGCTTGCGCCAGCTGATAGTATCATCTGGGCATATCCTAGCGTCTTCTCCTTCGACTCCAGTATGCGCATCTTTACCGTGACTGGTATGTCCAGATTCATATGTAGCTTGTGAATCAACTTGTAGATCAAGTCCCAATCCTCCTGCAAGAACGCCCCATAGTTTCCCCTCTTCGCGATGCCCTGCGGACAGCCCAAGTTAAGATCAATGGCGTCGCAAAAGGGCTCAACGTAGCGTGCAGCTTGAAGGAGGTCATCTGGATCATTGGCGCAGAACTGGACGAAAAGTGGGCGGTCAACTGTAGGGCGGCCGTCGAGGTACAGGTCTGCTGAGGGTTGTTCAATATCGTTCTTTGGGGGAGTGGCAAGCCCTGATCTCGTTGGCTGGAAATGATGGTCTCGGAATTTCGGTGTCTCGGTGAACATGCGTGAGTGGATCATAGGGGTATAAGCTAGGAGGTCTTTCGAGGCTTCAGGGCTCATGAAGGATCTGGTGAGCATGCGCCATGCCTAGTGAGCCTTGTCAGTGCCGCCAGCGACAGGAGAGGCGAATGAAATAGCATACGAACTCTGACTGGTCCACCATTGGCGCCAGAACCATCCTCGGGCTACCCAAGTTTTGATAGAAAGCTCGACCCGTCAGCTTCCGCCTTTTCGCTGGCGATGGAGGATTGGTAGACGCTGGCGTTGGGGGCTCGTTGGCCATGGATTTAATCTGGGTGCTGGTCATGCTTGCTATGAATCTTGACCAGAAAGACAATCCGTAGCGTGCTTTAGGTGAGTATGCAGGCCGAAAGGCTCGGCGCAGAATGACACCCAGTCCGAGGTAATGGTGGTCCTGGGACAGCCACTGCATTTGCTTATGGAGAGAGGAATTTCTGTGAGGCGCCAAAAGGTTGGCCTGCAAACTCCGGTTCACTAACCCCGGGGCAGGCAGCCTAAGAAGAGCTACTCGTAAAGGCTGACAGGTCAATCATCGATAGTCATACTCTGTCATGCTTCATTCCAAGCTGCCAATGAATCTAAGCTACACAGCTATGCTGCTCTTGATCGACCAATAGCATCGTTCTGGTACTCTCCTCTGTCGCAAGCCTGGTTACGGGGCTCTGGCCCATTAGCAAGGCGAGTTGTATTGCCTGCTCTGGTCAATACTTCGAGCTCAAAATCTGCACGGCGCTCTTCGGGCCCTTCAAAGTGAACAAATAATTCTTCACATAACTCCTGCGACGCTGGAATTTGAAGACGTCCTGCCCGGCAGACTGCCAGAATGTCGTTATCTTCTACCACCAGAGCTCGCTCTTAGGCGTCTAACAATGAGGTGCTTGTAGTGTGAATCATAATGCCTTTGAGACATGAGGCGAACATTTCGTTACTGTGATGCCAGTTTGTGTGAACAGCAGCCATTCGAGGCGCTGTTCACCGCTCCTAGAAATGCGCCCTCTCTTTTGCTAATCCTTACCGACCGTGCTGCTCTCACATCTAGATTCTAGAGGCTAAATGTCTATGATGCTTCAACGATGGAATGTCAACGCCCACGAAATTGGCATCTTGGAGCGGCTCAACGCCTCCAAATACTGACAAGATCGACGTCTAACAACAAATTTTCATTCTCAAATGCTCAACTCGAACGACTCTCACGCTACACTCTCAGATGTCTCCGGCTTGACGTTGACTTGGGACCGGTATGACAGACTCAAAAATCTGATCGCTCCGCCTGCTATTTTGCCACTGTCATCCTGATCGGATTCATCACCTTTTGGGTAGTCATGCACCTTGTCGCTGTTGTCTAACTGCTTTAAGGTAGCGTTCATCTTTGGATGATTCGACGGCATGGCAGCCCCTACTCTTGGGCTGTTAGAGTCTGCTGCGATCTCATGGAAGGCTGTTAAATGGCGGAATTAGAAACGGTCAACTATAGGTGGCCACGAGCAAACCAAATGTAAGGATGTATTACTCGGAAATCTCTTCATATAGGTGATAGCCACGTGCAGGGACTTACAGCTGCGGCTAGATGATATGCTGGCTGTAAATCTCCCATGTTGGGGGTGACGATGCCATGGTGACATGATCACTAAACAAGTTTGTCGCCACTACTGTCTGTCTCTTTTGAAGGTTTGGACGACGGACCGGTTTTTGAAAGCCCTACAGCCGCAAATGTACTTTTTCCCTTCCGTTTTTTCTTCTGTTCTTCTATGATTCCTACGCGCCTGTCGATACTCGTACTTACCGCCAGTGGCTATAGGTGGTCTTTCTACCCTCACAGACAGCATCAAACGCGACTGAAAACAAATCCTTCTTATTCACTTCTAGTTCAGTAGCCTATCGTTATCAATACTGTGTAATAGTGCGTTTTGACACCTGCTCTCGAGTCTTCTAGAATAGATTTCTACCATCGTTTAGCGAGATTCGTTTTGCAACTTCTCGTAACCGCGTTCCACAAAGCTGGACAGCATGGGCGATACTATTCTTGAAGCAGCGGAGATGGATCCGACATGGTGGCTGAAATTCTCGCTATCACACCTTTTCGCTTCCTCAATCTGCTTTCTGAGCTACGCCTTGCAATCTATCCCCAGGTTCTGTTTACCGATGAGCCTCTGCACTGGATAAGACCAGATCTTACATCAGAACACACATCTTATTCATCCCCTGCTGCGTTTCTAACAAACTTGCTACGCGCGAGAAAAAGTTGGCTTACAGCAACAACACGGCCTGCAGTGAGCGCATACATCTCAACAACACGAACAACAAGAACAACATCATCAACAGCACTTCTGTTTACCTGCAAGACAATCTATCACGAAGCCATAGAGCACTTCTACCGGAACAACATCTTCGTAATCCGGGCTATGACAGTCGGCTTCCAGCCATTCCTGCGACACCAACCGTTTCTTTTGCTCGTTCAGCGGCTGTGTATCCAGTTGAGAGACCCTTACGACCCTTCCGCCATGAACGTCGATGACCTTAACAGCCTTGTCGATGCCACCGTCAGCTCTTGCCTGTAAGATACTATCGACTGTTGTCCCGACCTCAAGAGTCTCACCATCTGCGGCATTCCAGGTTCGGCGCAGGCGTTTTGTCAGGTATGGCTATACCCACGAGGCGCATTCACCACTAAAATAGACGACTCATTTAACTGACTTCCTCCAGTGTGTCTATGCTTCCATCATCTCATGCCTTCGAGTTGTCGTGGTAAGTAATGACGTCTCTATGATTGGCACTCTGGCTTTTGATGGGAGACATGGAGAGGAATGGTCGCCGGCGTTGAGAGATGATGGATAAGCTTGTGGGAGGTATAGCATGATCATTCGAAAGCGTGTTTCCTGGCTTTGTTCAGACGTTTTTTTTAAAATAACTATGTGGGATCGTGCTCGTCATCCTCATGTACCAACGTACTGGAACTCCTCTTCGAGTCGTTATCACATCCATGCAACACGCTGTATCAAGAGCACTCCGCAAAAAACACAGTCGAAGAAGATGAGTACATGAAAACAGCCACCGTGCTTTCAACAGGGAGGTGAGGAAACATGCCTGGTATTAAGGAGGCCTGATCGCCTTCAGCTGGCAGTGCGTTGAGTTCAAGCGGTTAGAAGTCTAAGGAAAGTTCAGTCATCAACCAACTGTGAGCAGCCCGGAGAAAGAGGTGTAGCATGGCTTAAAGTGTATGTGCATTGCCGTCGGTGAGTGATAGAGAGTCTCATAATATTCACTATTGGTCGCTGGCTTGGCAAGGGTCGTCCTTCTATTGCATCGAGTCCCAATGTCTTGATACAAAAGCGAAACGTATCATAGAAGAACGCGTATAGGGAGCGAGGCATCAAGTTATCATAGCTTAAACCATATATCCGGGTTTGTGAGAGAGATCACCTAACCTCTTCAGAAGCAGAATGCGAGCATCTGCTGTCATGTTTGCGAACGATCGCTACCCCATGCCAAAAAAAATCCCCTCCGTGATGTCTTAAGGGCAACAACGCGACTACAGTCTGATGTGTCTTCTCATCGCCCACAAATTATCTATGAAAAGTGCATTGGGTTATCGATGTTTTCCAACATTGGTCTGCGTTCTGACGCACAGTGGTTGCCACGCCAAACCCTTCTCGACTGGTTGCATGCTCGGCCTCGATCCTACTGCAAGTCACCTGCGGTATTGCCGCGTGTGGTGGGGTCCCTGCCCTCGCCATCAACAGCCAGCTGCCACGCAACATCTTTCCAGCTCCGCATTGTAGCGAACCGTTCTACAAGGAATGGCCCCGCATTAGTCATTGCAAATCATGGTTAGCCCCTCCCACCTGCTTACTCTTTCCTGTCACTGACCAGGCGAGATAAGCCGTTGCGACAGCTTTACTCCGCCGAGGATGTTGACAAGGAATCCCAGGTCGAGTAATTTTCTCCATACGCCTGCACTCACATCGTCGCTAATTCAATTCAGCATTATAGCTGTACACGGTCTCAACCCGCGTAGCAAAGATGATGAGGAACACGCCTGGGACACGTGGAGAACGCCCGCAGGCGACGACGGGCGAATTTGGCTGAAAGACGATCTACCCAAGAGATACACTAGCCAGGCTCGTATATTCCTCTGGGTCTACAACTCGACGCTGGTATATGGAAAAGACAGAGGCCAGTTCATCGACAAAGCGAACGACCTGCTAGAGGCATTGCGAATTGAGCGCCGGCAAGACCCTGATCGGCCCTTGATATTCCTAGCTCATAGTCTTGGAGGTATATTGGTGCAGCAGGTAGGTCGCTCGGTTTCTTCGGGCTCTGTAGCTCAAGGAACTTACTAATCTTTTCGCTATTGTGGCATAGGCTCTCGTGAACGCCCACAACAATCCGAGATACACACGAATTCGCACTTCGACGACCGGTCTCGTATTCTTTGGCACACCGCACGATGGTGGCAATAAATCTCTGGTGGCGCTGGGATCAGCCGCTGCCCGCGTAGCTTCTACACTGCATTTGCAATCTTCGAACGCTGTCATCGAAACACTGAAAAGCGGCTCGTTGTTCACGGACCTCCTCGGTGAACAATGGAGGCATCAGCTCGAATCGTATCAACTGGTTTCTTTCTGGGAAGGCATTGGCAATACTGTCCCTAAGAAGAGCGCAACTTTTGGGCTCTCTGGAACCAGAGAGAACATCATTGAGCTCAACGCAGAACACAGTGACTTGTGCCGCTTCGGTGGAAGCAGGCGAGACCAAGACAACTTCAAGCTTGTTGCAAGTAACATTCAGGACTTGTATGACGCTGCGCTTGAGAGAAGTGAGTCCGTCGATGTTTCTTCTAGAGCGGAGCAAAGCCGTGAAGCAGCTGACGATCCCCGAGGGATTGATCAGGATCTGAAAAAAAGATTTGCGTCTTTGTCTGCCCCGTCTTGACAGATATTTTGCTTTCAACATAGAAACGAACAGATTTGCTCATAGCTTTTCAATTACTCGACTCCTTTGTCTCGCTCCTCGCCCTTCACTTTTAACATGATCAAGCAGCTGACGAAGTCTACGCTCAGCCCATGTTTCTCTCGCAAATGATTCCAAACACCTGCAAGGACAGGAACAATTCCAATTGGTGTTCTCCCTCGCTGCCGCTCCCGAAATTGATTATTTTGTTGGCCGAGCTAGCAATCTTGCATCGATTGAGTCGGTGCTTCTTCCTTTCACTGCTGCAGAGCGAAAGGTTGTAGTACTTCATGGATTAGGAGGCATTGGAAAATCGCAGCTCGCCATTGAGTTCGCAAAGAAGCATCGAGATGACTATTCTGCAATACTCTGGCTCAATGGGAAGACGGAGGACACATTGAAACAGAGCTTCGCCACCAATGCCAGACGGTTGCCCAAGGAACACCTTAACCAAGAGCTTCTTAATGAATCACAGAATGAAGAAGTTCTCAATGCTATCCTACGTGAAATGAAAACATGGTTAGGCCTCCGAGGGAACGACAAGTGGTTACTGATCTACGACAACGTCGACAACCCTAAAATTTCCGACAACAAGAGACAGCACGCTTATGATGTTCGATCGTATTTCCCCGAGGCTCACCAAGGCTCGATTCTCGTGACAACACGCTGGAAAACTCTGAGAATAGGACGCCCCATAGAAGTCACAAAATTATCAGAAGATGAGGAGAGTGTTTCACTTCTAGTCCAAACTTCAGGTAGATCCATCGAGGAAGGTAACTTTCCAGCGATAATTTTTGCCAAGCCCACGCTTACTTTGAAAACAGATCCCAGAACCAAGGATTTGATAAGGAAACTTGATGGCCTTCCACTTGCGTTGGCGACTGCTGGTGGTTATCTGGGGCTGACTGGTATACCTGTATCAGCGTATCTTGACCACTACGAAGCATCGTGGCTTGAGCTTCAGCGGACAAGCCCTTCACTCCCTTCTTACGAGGATCAGACAATATACTCGACTTGGAATCTTTCGTACATCTGTATACGCAAAGAGAATAAGTCAGCAGCGAAGCTCCTTGAGCTCTGGGCGTACTTTGACAACCGAGACCTGTGGTATGATCTGCTAAAAGCTGGAGAGGATGAGGCTCCCGACTGGTTTCTCGATATAATCGGCACAAAGTTGGCTTTCAACTCTGCAATAGGGAAATTGCGGAAGCATGCCCTAATTGAGAAGTTGACAGAGTCTGACGGATATTCAATGCACCATTGCGTACACGCCTGGGTGAAGACCTTCTGGTGTACGCCTGTTGAGGGTCAGAATGTGAAGTTAGCCCTTACTTGTGTTGGAGAAACTTTCCCTTTCAACCCAGCACCAGGTGATTGGATAACACAGCAGCGTTTATCTTTACACTTTGAAAGATGCTTACAGATACTGCCTCAATGGGTCAACAAGAGCAAAGACTCCAGAAAAAGCGAGGATTGTATTTCCACCTTCTTTTGCAGTCTAGGTCGCCTTTACCATGATCAAGGCAAGCTGACGGAGGCTGAATCGATGTACCTGCGGGCTTTGGCTGGCTACGAGAAAAATTCCAATCACAGATATATATTTCCCACGGTCAACATTCTAGGCATCCTTTATGGGGATCAAGGCAAGCTGACGGAGGCTGGTATGATGTATCAGCGGGCTTTGGCTGGCTATGAAAAAGCTTTTGGATCGAGATCATTCTTCTACATTAGACACGGTTAACAATCTGGGTATTCTTTATAGAAAACAAGGCAAGCTAACGGAGGCTGAATCGATGTATCAACGGGCTTTGGCTGGCTATGAAAAAGCTTTTGGACGAGATCATATATCTACATTAGACACGGTCAACAATCTAGGTGTTCTCTATGATTATCAAGGCAATCTGACGGGGGCTGAGTCGATGTATCAACGGGCTTTGGCTGGCTATGAAAAAGCTCTTGGACGAGATCACAACTCTACATTAGAAACGGTCAACAATCTAGGTGTTCTCTATCATGATCAAGGCAATCTGACGGAGGCTGAATCGATGTATCAGCGGGCTTTGGCTGGCTATGAAAGATCTCTTGGACGAGATCACAACTCTACATTAAAAACGGTCAACAATCTAGGTGTTCTCTATCATGATCAAGGCAATCTGACGGAGGCTGAATCGATGTATCAGCGGGCTTTGGCTGGCTATGAAAGATCTCTTGGACGAGATCATATATCCACATTAAAGACGATCAACAATCTAGGTGTTCTTTATGGTCGCCAAGGCAATCTGACGGGGGCTGAGTCGATGTATCAGCGGGCTTTGGCTGGCTACGAAAAAGCTCTTGGACGAGATCACACGTCTACATTAAACACGGTCAGCAATCTAGGTAGTCTTTATCGAGATCAAGGCAATCTGACGGGGGCTGAGTCGATGTATCAGCGGGTCTTACTCAGCTATACCAAAAATCCTCCCACGAATCCCAAGGCGCAACTAGACCTGTTCTACAACATGGGTTGGTCATCTCGAGATACGCAAAACTTTGACAGAGCAAAAGATTTCTTCAGTCGAGCTCATGAGGGCTGCGAAAAGCTCTTGGGATCTCAACATGCTGAAACGATTGACGCGTTGGAAGAGCTCAATGCAGAGATTGAGCGAGACTCGCGAAGAACCGAGAGGTCAGATGGAGAGGGAGAGTCCATGGAGACGGATTGATGTTGTCCGCTTGGTCACCGCGACGAAGCCATTGGATGGCTCTCATATCAGTGCGTTGGACCATTGACATCCTTGAAGGAGCTTGAAGTGGGGGATCTGAGGGAAGGATTCAGGAGGCCAAATATTGCGGAGAGTGGGACTGCAGATAATATTGCAATCAAGATACAACTTTCTGTTTGCGGAGTCCTACCAGTGAAGCCCTAATGATCCACATCTCCTACTTCCAGGAAAGCACTAAGACGTTGCCCGATGTAATCCTTCCCTTTCCATCCACGGATGCATGATTGTCGCTGACGCTCAAATTCATGCATTATCTCCTTTACGCGCGAAATCTCATCTGAACTACTTCTCAGAAGATAATGTGCAATCCTTACCACAGGCGTTTGGACTCTGATGGAGTCGTTGGGATGCTAGCGGAGTAATACCCTTGCTGGCTATCGATACAACCATCTCATGGTATATCTCGGAGGAAATTCCGTCCACAGAATTAAATCGTAGCCGAAGCAACCCGTTCGACTGCTTTGCGTATCAAACTCGATATGTGGCTAGTTTCTCCCTCTTTGTACCACTGCCGTCCTTTCCCTTCCTCTCTAAACGCAGCCCGTGGCATGATACGAAGAAATGGAGCAACTCATACAGGTTTTCTCGCCGGTCTCTTTCTCTCCAAACAACATTTATTGCTTAGAAAGTAATTTCTGACATCAATGTTCCCAAGGCGCAGCCTGATCATGAGTATAGCCTAGTCGGATAAGAAGGATGAACCCTTTTACGATGGGACAGAGCACTTGAGCTTAAGTCCTCGCATCATTAATTGAGAGCAGTAAAGTCCCTTTTAGAACCTCTTCGGCTTAAAAACGCTGCCCAAATGTATAATTATGTAGTGATTGTGATTGTAAAAAAGTGACAATCACCCACCAGACTCGCACAGTCTGTCGGCCTACGATATATGATAGGATCACTGATTTGTGGACGAGGACGACGGCAATGGTTCACACTCACGAAAGGAGGGCGCTTTCGATATCGGCTCGTAAACATGGGAGTCTCGGAAATTGCGGAACAGGGTATTGGATGGCTTGCGCCCAGGCTATGTTGCAAAAAGCTATAATTGCAGCATTCAGGCCTAGAGAGCAAATGTCGATGAAAGGACAGTTGGTAGAGTAAAAATGAAGATTCGTGGAGGTTTTGTTAGAATCAATTGCCAAGCATTTGCGCCCCAAGGACGAGAACAGTCAAGACAACACAGTGAGCCTGCGACAAGGGCAGCAAACGATACGAACTCTTCGATGAGCAAGCCGGCAACAGGCCAGGTAGAGCCCAGGAAGCTCTACAGGACGTAGGCAAAAAGATATCCTACAGTGCCCAAGCGGAAGCTCTGCGCGAAATGGGCTAGGAAACCCTACGAATGAGGTAGGCAGGAGATCCTGCAGTGAGTAGGCAGAGAGAAGTGCTATAGTGCCCATGTACGGAAGCGCTGTAAGTGAAGTATGCGCGGAATCTCTACGAGTGAAGGAGCCTCGTAAGCCCTAGGGGAGGTAGGCTGGGATGTCCTATGGGGGGATGGTCGACGAGTGCAAGAAAAGCGAAGAGAAAGAAGAGATCTAGGTTGGGTGTTTAGATACGCTCGACCGGCGCCAGAGATTCACAAACCCGCAGAGTAAATGCCTTTGAGAATGCTGTGTATCCAAAAACGAGTGAATGTGGCAAAGAAGTGTTGTCATGGAGTGACTCCCTCGTCAGAACGATTCATAGACCCTCAAATATAAGGACTAAAGAACTCGCGTAAGGATGATTAGAGTATTTTAGAGGTGTTGATGTTGCGGATGGGAGCATCGGCATCTGTATGGCAAGGGCCCCCGTCGCTGAAGAGGATCCCTTTGGCCCAAGACTTCATTGTTCCTGATTGGCTTTCGGTTCGACCATTTCAGCCCGTTCGATATTGCAGCTATCGTGCGATAAATAATACCCTCCGTACGCGGCGTAACAGCGGGGTACGGCGCTGAGGGGAAGAGAAAAAGGCCTAAGAACATATATACAAGACAATACGCTTGACCCAATATACTTCGCAAAACCCCGCGGTGGGGGACCGAGATGAAGCACGTTAAAATACAAGCGGCCCCCCACAAAAAAAAAACCTCCGTAGAGTGTTGAAAGTCGATGCGTAAGATACGCACGGTCTGACTTCAAAAAAAACCGTCTGTCACAGGAACAGCCAGTTAACAGAATATTGCAAACAAATGGGCAGCTAAATATTTAATCTTACTAATGCTATCGTGCCCTCGTCGGCAAGCAGAGCTGTACGACAGGGATGCTACTGGCCTCGCAAAGTGTCCGGTAGGGATTTCACTCTCGATGTTTTAGATGAACAGGAATCACAATTCTCCCCCCCCCCCAACTGGATGTCAAAACCTCCAATGACGGTCTAATGCCCGTGTGACGAGTCTACAGCTTAAGGAAACGCGAATGAATGGGAGAATGCGATGAGTCCTCATTTATTATCCGATCGGAATGCGTTTCTGTCTCTGTTGAAATTACTTTGCGCAGACCAAGTTACTCAAATTTTGTCAGTGTCCCTCAACATGCTACTTGATTAAGGGTGGAACTCTTTGAAGGGTACGATTCGCACGTGTCAGGGTCTGAATGGGTGCTCATAGCTTGTATTGTAGTATGACGGAGTAACAGCCACTAGGAGATCTGTGCGCAGTGAAGGCCGTTTGTGTTGCTGGTGCTCACGCTAGGCCCATTTGGGAGTCGCTGTGTTCGAGCTGGAACCAAGACAGCACGTTGGGAACCGGCCTTCACCAAGGAAAGCTCTAGACATGTGCGAAAAATTGGAAGATGAAGCCTGGTAGCCTAGATACTTGTATAATCACATTGCTATTTTTTGCGTCGCTGATGGAGCGTGGTAGTGTGAAAGAAAAAAAAAGGAACAGCCAAAAAATTATTTGTGAGGTCACTCGGTTCGCTGAGTACATAGTACCACAGTTATGTAGCCGGCACCACGGACAGGTGGACCTCGTCGCCGGCCGCGAGCACAGGCTTTTCCACAGGAGACACTATTGGACGATCTTAACCTGAGTCAGGTGTTCGCCCGAAAACTTCTCCTGCTTCAAAGTCTGTGCTCGCCTACCTGGGATATTGTCAGCATGTTAACCGATCGACCAAAGAAGCGGGCGGGACTTAACGGGAGGAATTTCTTTGTTGCGCTTTAAGAAACCCACTATTTTCTTTATGTAGTGAATTAACAATTAATCCAATCGGGTAAGGCGGCTCACGCAAAGCAGCAGCACCAACAGCCCCCCTCTCTTTCCCACCATACACAGTTGATGCTCTGTCCTAAACCAAATCTAGTCAATGCGCATCTTGGGGTGACAGAGGAAGCAAATCTAGGTCGCCAAGTCTTCTGTCATCTTAACCCACTGCGGAAGGGGTCATCTTCGGAAGTCCAACAAATGATCGGCATTTCTATCCATCTATCCATTACTTTTGGGCGCATGACAGTAGATGCATAACAGTGGGTCTCCAGATAGAGGAATAGCATCTTCATGAGGCGCTCACTTTGCAGCAGGAGATCTGGCACTATCTCCTGAGAAGTAGCAGCAAGAGCAGAAGGTCGACGGGAAAGGCGATGAGGCCAAGCATCACGAGTACATACATACAAGTGATACGTCTTAATAGAAATGATATCACATCTAGGTTATGATAGAAGATTCACGGATGATGTGGACAAGCAGGAAACGACGATCCAGGGACGCAAGTCTTCGATGGAGAGCAAGATGCAAGGGGACTATTTCAGATCGGTTTGCCTTTCAATTTCAAGATGCCAAATCTGGCGAGGTTGCTGCAGGTCTTTGGGCAAGTCAAAGGATTAGAGAGCCTGCTGCTTCTGAAGAAGCAAGGACGGAGAAAGACATGTCGTTGGGACAAGATTTTGCCTAGGCTTCTCCGTCCGAGGGTCCTCGAGGTATGATATTTAACTGCGCGACATTCAGGTTTTGGGGGGCATGTAGAAATGGCATCATCATTCACAAAGGCTGAAAGCATTGATTGCCGGCTATTGTTGGTAGTCTTGCCATGATGCGATTTCCTTCAAAGCCTATTTCACTCTATCTGCTATTGCGTCTGTCTTGTCCTCACTGCTGCGGGAAGTTGAGGATGAAAGCATGAAGGTGGTCCAAGGTGGTCATACCCCGGTCTATACACACGAAATTACTCAGGTGACCTTTCATTGATTTCACCCGATTCCAGTGGCAATACCTTACAAATGTGGTGAACCTACGGGGCGGCCCTCGAATCTTGTTCTGCATAAGTCAACCATCTCATACTCGCAACACTCACCAACTCTTATGAAACTGAGAAGGTATAGGGTGCTTGGCAAGTAGTACAAAGAATGGCTGAAGACACCGTAGCTAGAAGATCAATCAACTTATACCTCTACACCGAGTCTCCCAATGTCAATTGTGATGTCCGGAGAGGTGGTCAGAAAGAGCCATTTGCTATTAATTGATGAGCACTGCCAGGACCTGTAAAACATTTCGGGCTATAATCCATTCTAGAACATCTTCTCGGTCTCAAAGACCTTGAATGTGACGCATTTTTATGGGTTTGAACCCCTATGGTCTACCAAACCTATTCCGGTGTCTTTGGTACACCGAATCTGGCTACTTCAAGCTCTACTCCGTCATGAAATTTGACTCGTTGTATCTGGCTAGTTTTTGCGGTTGTGAGTGGAGGCACCGGTTCATTGTGGCTTCAAAACTTCCGACTACGATGAAGTTTTACGGTCTTAACCTTACGCTGCTCATCCTTGGCTTTAAACGTCTCCCCGCAAGACTGAAGTGAAGAAAGAGATTAACGAATTAAAAACGCAGGCAGCCGAGGCTCACGCCAAGAAGTTGGTCACCTTACAACACAGCGCGACTTCATCTACGCTCATCCACAACCAACTCAGTTTGACTCGTGACAAGCAACCTCTAACTTGAATCATCCACTCGCAAGTTGCAGCTTTACTTATCCTTCCGAAACGTACACCTTGACTCCATCATGTCTCCTCAATTCCCGTCCAAATCGGCAGAAAATCTGAAGGTGGCAAACGTCTGCGGTTACTGTCAGAGACAAGGTATGCTCTCACTGCCGGCACATCACCCAGGGACTAATGGAAGCGTGACAGGACCTTCCGCCCAATCAGCAGCCAACAAACTTAGGGATGGAATAGTCCATCTAACCATCACGCAACTCGAGGAGTCGAAGGATGATGGGCACCGTCCGACCGCAGAGGATGTGGCTCGTCTATGGGAGGAATTAATCAGCGCGGCATGCGAGCGAGACTGTGGGTGCGCCCAAGTGCTTCGACGACACGTGAGTCTGCCCCACCTCAGACCTAAACTTTAGAGAGCTGAGCGCTTCCCTGTAGGTTCATTGTGACGAGTTGCGGAGTTTCTGGGCAGCAACGAGTGTCGAACACTCAGGAGGAGAGCCGCTGTCGAGAAGACAGAAGAGGAACAAGAAGAATAACGCAAAAAAGGCCGAGGCTAAGGTACTCAACTACTACATTGAGTCTGGCCGCCAAGAGTGAACTGACGAGAAGGTGATGCAGGATGACCAGCCTCCAGCTCCGATGGGGAAACATCACGCAGGACACAGGCGCTACCAAAAATTAAGGATGAGGGCAAAGGTATGTAACGTCTCCAATTCTAGGACATTCATCATGACTTGCCGCTGATCATTCGAAAATAGCAGGCCGCGATGCCTACTCCTACCGTTAGCACCGCCCAATCCTCTCTCCCTGGCCAAGCAGCTGCCACCGAGTCCAGCAGTTATGACATTGAGGGGCTACAACAAGCGCTCCCAAGCGTGCTTTCGGCCGCGCCGCCCGCCGTGTCACCAGCCAATCCTGGCCAGACCATCCTCGGCTTGCCTGTTACGTTCGTGGCTACGCTTGCTGTCCACCAAAAGATGGCGGAGTAGTGAGGCCTCTACAGTGGCAGGTCAGGTTGTGTAAACCAAAGAGCAGGATCTTACACTGGCAGCAGTTGGAGACGAAGGGTAGCATTCGGGTGCGGTGGTAGAGACTTCGTTTCTGTCCACTCATGGAAGACAAAAGCGAAGGGGGATGTTGGATCGTTGGGACAGAAGATTCTGTATGCTAGCAAAGCGCTGATTGTGTCTTCTACTTTATTAAGGTACCTTTCGTTGTACGCACTCAGCGTCCGGCTGAGGATATCCAATTCAATTTCATTGTGATTCTGGAGAAGAGCAACCCCAGTAGCCGGTTATGATCATGCTGGCGTCGGCAGTATGGGCGCTTTTTCACTGGTTGCTCCTCAGGCAGCAGAAGGAGACTTCACAATCGAGATATGTGACACATTCTGGAGAAACAACAGCCTTCAGGTATCTCAATCCCCTATTGTTCCACACTAAGCTTATGGCTCTGTCCAGACCAGCCAGTGACAAGAACGAGCCGCTTCCACAAACCGTGACCGACACAGCGAACTAATCAATACTCGTCCGAGCGGTCTAAGGACCTTTTCACCGAGAGAATTCGCTTGCCTTCAGGGGCTTCCATTGAAGCACCACTTTCCTAGAATGGCAAAGGCCACGGACACCATGACGCAGATAAGGGGTTGCTTTCCCGCCAACTGTTGCCGCGGTGCTGTATGACTGTATCAAGCAACAACTGCTCATACGAGATGGCTGGAAGCCGCAGTGACCTACTGAGGAAGAAAGGAAATTGGATACTCTTTCGTGAGAGCTCCGATCTGGTGAGAAAGAGTCCAGTTTGGCGAGGAAAAGTTGTTTGATACGCGGGCGCCGATTCTGGCGGGGATAAGCTCCGGTTTAGAGGGACAAACCTTACAGGGAGCCTGAGTATCTTCGAAGAACCACCGTGTTGCATGCAGGCGAAACCGTACAAGGGTCATGAGATCGCTGCTGTTATGGACCTTTACACATGTCGCGTTCCGTGGTTCCTTTAGTGTGCTAAGGCCGAGAGACGTCTTGTCCTGTCCAGAATGTGAGTACGTTAAAGTGATTCTGTACGAATTCAAATTGCTGGCGGTGCTAGACTTCCAGCAGGATTGGACGGCTGAGGGAAAAAACCTCAGGATGATACCGATCAAGTGAGAATAGACGGCCGAAGCCAAAAGTCATCATTTAGTATTCCCAAAAGAAATCATGTTCTCTAGCGCCCTCTCAACGTGGGGTTCTCCCTCGATCAGGCTGGATTTCAGGCTCAGCGCAAGGCGAACCATCAGTCCTACCCTGCTCGCTAGAGAACAAGTGATTGGAGACAGCAGTTTGTGGAGTGTTATAGGTTCAAGGTACTATGTGCGAGAGTTGGAAAGGTATATAGAAATTGATGATAAGTATGGAAGAGTAGGACTTAAACCATTGAAGCCAGCAATTTCCACCTATTGCCACCATGAGGGGTACTAAAAAGTGTAAAAACCAACTGCGAGAAGATTGGGTGGCTGGCACAATGGCAGAGGGTCAATGGCATGCACAATCATCTCGTGGTGGTGTAGCCTCGAGTTTGATATTTGGGAATGCGTTTGATTTTGAAATATATACTAACTGTCCTGTCTAGAAATCTGAATGGCTGCGTGCTTTCTCCTCTGATCCATAGCTGGAAGCTAGAAAAGACTGATTAAAATGCTCGGACTGCACCGGCTTTCCACCGGAATTGGTTTGAGCCGATCCCTGCAATCCCTGCGCCCTCTCTGTGAGTAATTGCTGTCTCAAATGGCAAGGACTAAGCGCTTCTAGTCGGATTCATCTTCAGGTTCTTCATCTTCAGGCTCTTCATCTCCAAGCTCATCTTCAGGCTCTTCATCTGCATCTGGCTGGGTGAATTTGGCCAGCTTCACTCTCTCAATACACTGGTTGTCTAAGCACCCGTGGCGGCAGTAGAGTTCGAGAGCGTCAGAACCAAGGGTCTCGACCAGTCCTCTGATGCTGTGAAGTAATCCCGCAATATACTGCAAGCAATCTCTTTGAAATTCGGTCCACTTTGTCTCCACGTAGTGGTTTCCAATTCCTAGAAAAGGTTAGGAGAGCCCCATTCCTCGCCAGGAGGACGTATTAGTGAGGGTCATGACTTACCTGCTGTCACGAATACCAAGACTATCCCACTGCCACGAAACCAATCGATTACCGCCGACCACTTCTGCCCTGCATAATACTCATGGAGGTAGCCAGAGATCATATAGTTTGTCTCTGCCTTTGACACTGAACCCGCTTTCTTGAGAGCCAACTCCTCCAATATCGCTCTGTGGTTCAAGCGATGGCCAGAAACGGTAGACTTGTATCCTCTGGCAACTTGGGTATTGACCGACGAGAATAGCATGGTCTGGCCATAAGCCCGGTGAATTTTGGTATCGGCAGTATTCGTCTTGACGGTCTGGAGTGCGTCAAGAATCTCGCCAGGGTCAGACATATTCCAAATAGTACGAGCCTGCAGCTTTTTGCCTGGCATCTTCACTCTGTCCTCTAGATACTGGTACAGCTCGCGCCTGACCTTGTAGAATTCTAACAAACGGGACTTGTCCAGTATCTTGGCCATCTCATCATGGACATCAAAATGCGGTCGGGTCGCAAAAGGCTTCAGTTTGAGACAATGGGCTTTAACACAGGCTTCGATTGCGGGGGTCTTCATAAAGAGACCGACTTCGACCTGATACTGGGTCGGCAATGGTACTATCTCACCCACCTGGAGTTCGTGGACAGAAGTAGCGGCCACGTTCGAAGGCTTGTTCTCCGTAGGCTTTGGGTTGGTATCTTCGTCCGAGTCCTCAACTCTGCTCTCTCCAACCTTCTTTGAAGCTGATGTGTGTAGAGGGGTCATGTCAGAGCAGTACGACTTGCTCCGTGGAGTCGTTGTTTCGTCCCCATTGCTGTTCGCGGATCTCATTTGCTCGGCCATATCGTCTCGAACGTCCAACTGTGCTGTTTGGAGCGTGATGCGCTTTCCAATGCTAATCTTGCGAATGGAAAGACCCGAGTTGACAGGTCCTGTTAATGAATTTGGGACTTCGTATGTGCTTTCTGGGACGAGCTGTCTACTGGTATCATCGTGCTCATCGCTATCGTAGACCACTAAGGTCTCATCCATCATGTTGGTCCAGTCAAAAGGCTCTTGCTCGCTTTCCAATTTGATGGCGATGCCATTGTCGCAGGCAGGAATAGTGTTACCCGACCGCTGAAGAGCGTCGGCATGTCCCTAGCACTCTGAAATTAGCATCTAAATCCCTTGAAGAGAACCTTATTGATATCGCACCTGCGCCATCGAATCAATTTCCGCAGCCCGCTGGCTCGGGACTGTCTCTTTTTCGGTTGAATGAGTGATGTGGAGGCGCTTGGCATTTTGATCATTGCCATTCGGCGGCACTGGCCTTTTCCTCGCAATCCGAGCCTCTTTCTCAGCACGCAGAGCTTCCTCACACTTTCGAGAGGCGGACTTCAATAGACCATTCATTGACGACGGTGCTCTTTCCGACAAGTACCAGATGAAGTTCTCAAGTTCGGAGCTTCGTGCTATCTTCTTGTCGTATCGTGAGGAAGTTTGCTCGGAAATCTGGCCCATGTAGGTCATCACGCCTGTTGCGAGGCGAGACTCTTCGTGGGAGGGGGCCATGACAAGAAAATGGATGCAAGGTCTCGCTGAAGCGAATTAGCTGATTCGGAGATGAGTGTGAGCTGAATGATGGACGCTAATATCCGCCAGACTCAAATCTGGAAAGTCTTCTGGGGTGAGGGCAATGTGCGTGGTGAGGTTGAAGCGTGAGAGCTTAGAAGAGAAATTGCAAATATCTCAGAGGTGAGCAAGAACAAATGAGGTCGATAGGGACCAAGTGAGAAATGAGGATTGTGTGGTTTGTGGCAAAACTAGTAACAGATCAATGTCCCATGAGCAGTCATAGAGTAGCAATGGGAGGTAAGGTTACTTCTAATCTCTCCATATATCAGATTAGATTTCGAGAGACCTCCTGAGAGAAGTTGTGAGATCTAGCACTCCACGAAGATCCTAGGTGGTGTGATGGCAGCAGTGATAGACCAGGCTCCTGGGTCTCGTGGATTATTGTACTTGGAAGTTGGAAGCACGACGAGAAGCTGTTCGCTGTGGTAGGAGAAGAGCAGCAAGGTGGAGATCCGTGATTATGAGAGACAAGAAGGGAGGTGGGGCGGTAATGCGGATTAGTTCACCGCTGAAATGTTTAGTCCAGTCGTCATGAATATCACGGATGCCAACCACGTTCCTCATATGCCGTGCTAGAACGAAACGTAACAACATTGAATTATACTGGCACACATTAAAATCAGGCGTTCGGGACTGTCTGGCATTTTCTGACCGCTCGGACGGCTGGCTGCCAGAAGGCAGGACTCGTGCAAGCATGCCAAGCTTTCGAAGTTGAGCATCACCGTCTTTCGATGTCCGGGCTGTCTGTCAACCTGAGATCGCTGACTGCACTCCCTTGGTGTCCTTCGAGACCAGCTTTCTTCCCAACTTTTAGAGCTTGAATATACCGCACGATGCTCAGTGGCAGGAAACCAGCGTCACACATGCGTTATTCTATGGTGCCCATGTAAGCTGCGCCAAGGGATTCAGACAAGATCCGAACCACTGAGCTCGGGGGGCCATCTCAACGAGTGGCAGAGTCGTCGAAGATGGCGGGTCTGGATCAGCAACTTGAGGTCCTGACATCCGATAGATCTCATACCTCTCAAGCGCTCAGAGAATTGACCACTACCTACTACGGACTCAAGTCCTTGTGAAAAGCTGAACATACTACGGTAATTTCTCATAAATCATAGGGACCTTCTGATCCGTCCCATTGTCTACGTTGTTCCCCTCCGCTCACTGAAACTTCGCCAAGATCAAGTCCATCTCCACCCGCGCCAGATGATTGACAATACATTCCTAGATCCCATTTGGAAAAGCTCGAAAATAATTCTATCATCGTTAGCGTAACGGGCATCGGCGTTTGCGGGCCAGCGCTCAAAAAGGGCACTGTCAACGTTGGTCAATGTGGAAGGGAATTTGTATGCCTTCTTGTTCATTGAGATTTGGAAAGATGTATGACGCAATTTTCAAAATAGAATAGAAGGTCTTCATGGTGAAGTGCCCGAGGTCTTTGATCAACTAGCACCGATCCGAAATATATAAGGTCTTGGGAAGGGCTTTGAAGATAGATGACATCATGGGGTATGGTGGATAGTCGAAAAGAATGCTAGGTAGGAAGCAGCTGTGAGGGGCGAATTACATTTTCATACCCCAAACTATGGGATTCTTACAAATTCATACCCCATCTTACATTTTCATACCCCAATGGGGTATGAATTTGTAAGATACCATTGACAGGGGTATGGTTTGTAAGATACCATTTATAGGGGTATGATTTTGTAAGTTGCCATCTATAGGGCGGGTTGGTGTTAGGAATTATTCCTCCGGGGCCCTCGGGCCCTTAGGGTGTCTGCAGCGTGAAGTGTAAACACCCCTATACAACCCTTTAGCGGTAACTCAGTTACTAACAATTAAATTAAGGTAGATAGCCTAAAACACCCTAAAATACCCTTCTAATAATTTACAGGTATAGAGATATTATATTAGCAACTCAGCTAAAAAGCTTGGTCCCGGGGTCACTGCGCTTGACAGCCAGACACTCCTATTTGGACCTAAATAGGGCCCCATAGGGCTCCCGCAGGAACGTCGCAGGGCCCCCGTGAGGGCGCTGCTAACATGGTATCTTACATTTTCATACCCCAAGAAATGGAACTTACAAATTCATACCCCAAAGACTGGCAACTTACAAATTCATACCCCATTTTTGGTGAGGGGTATGAAAATGTAAGATGGGGTATGAATTTGTAAGAATCCCATAGTTTGGGGTATGAATTTTTAATTTTCCCCAGCTGTGAGCTAGCAGAGTGTGTTAGAATTTCAGGTATGTGGTGTGTAGAACGGACGGATTGATTCTCCAAAACCTCTCCGGGGCCAGGTCCTAAATACAGTACAAAATCAGGTGGCTAAAAACATGGTGGCTGGGATGCGCGGGGGCCACATTTCAACACTCCCTGCAGCCACGCTCCCAGTCCACCCAACAAGAAATGAAGCTATACACAACTCCCAACAACAGACCATTCCAGCCTCAACAACAGGCCATTCCAGCCTCAACAACAACAGGCCGTTCCAGCCGTAACAATAACAAGCCTCAACAACAGGTCCAGCCTCAACAACAGGCCATTCCAGCCTCAACAACAACAGGCCATTCCAGCCGTAACAATAACAAGCCTCAACAAACAACAGGCCATTCCAGCCTCAATAACAACAGGCCATTCCAGCCGTAACAACAATAGGCCATTCCAGCCGTAACAACAATAGGCCATTCCAGCCGTAACAATAGGCCATTCCAGCCGTTCACAGGCCATTCCAGCCTTTCAACAAGAGGCCATTCCAGCCTTCAACAATAGGCCATTCCAGCCGTTCACAGGCCATTCCAGCCTTTCAACAAGAGGCCATTCCAGCCTTCAACAAGAGGCCATTCCAGCCTTTCAACAAGAGGCCATTCCAGCCTTCACAGGTCATTCCAGCCTTTCAACAAGAGGCCATTCCAGCCTTTCAACAACGATAGGCCATTCCAGCTATATCGCACACCATCCTGGTGTAACACGTCTTCCTGACGTAATATTTGACACCTATCCTGGGTAACACGTCTTCTTAACGTAACACCCCTTCCTGGGGTAACATGATATGCCCCTGGAGCATAACACCCTTTCTGAGTAATAAGAGTAAGACGTGACACTCCACCTCGGAGTAATGTAGCCATTCCATATAGAACTTGTATGCCACACTGGCACGTGTCTCCATTGTCGTAGTCCTTCGCGACGTTCCTCTTTGCCACTATCTCATTATTTGACGACGAGGATTCTTTGCGACGACGAGGGTTCTTTGCGACGACGAGGGTTCTTTACGACGACGAGGGTTCTTTGCGACGAGGGTTCTTTGCGACGAGGGTTATAACTTTATTACCTGAATTAGTCTTATAGAAAGCTGGCATCATAGCGACTTAGCCTATATGCCCTGCAGACCGGGCTTATAGTGATAGCGAGGTACGGTAGTAGGACAAGGTACGGTAGTAGGACGATATGGTAGCAGCGAGGTATAGTAGAAGCGTCAGAACCGGGCTCATAACCTGTTAGAATTTCAGGTATGTGGTGTGTAGAACGGACGGATTGATTCTCCAAAACCTAGGCTCCGGGGCCAGGTCCCAAATACAGTACAAAATCAGGTGGCTAAAAAACATGGTGGCTGGGATGCGCGGGGGCCACATTTCAACAGAGTGACCGAACCTGATCTTGGTATCTTAGTACTGTAAAGTATATATCCCCTCTAATGCAAGGCTAATTTAACAGCCTCATCTTTCTCTTTCAACTATAAAAGTCCGAACACAGAGCCCTCTCACGTCGGTTGAACCATAAGCTCAGAAAAAACAATCGCAGATATGATTTTGGTGCTGAACAGAGGTGGTATTCCGGGTTTCGGGCCCTATTCTCTGCCGACTTGCAAGGTATATGCGTATTCTCTAGAAAGTCCTGAACATTAGGGTTAGGGCTTCAAAACCCTTGGCATTCTTGGCAAATATCTTGAATATCTTAAATATCACATCAATGCTGTATATATGAGGTGCATGTATATGAAGTACATAGTAGCGATATTACTGCATGCATACGGGGTATACAGTTGCGATATTACTGTGTGCACAGTAGCGATAGCAGCGCAATGGAAGCATGAATTGTCACAGAAGAGAATTCAGGAGTGGATAGAGCGTATGCCTAGACATATTGCCGAAGTTATTCGTTTACGAGGCGGTAACGAGTATCGGGAGGGCCGTAAAGGAGGGGATGAGCGGCCCTATGATCCAGCTGACCGAGCAAATCAGTACATACGTAATTATATAAAACATCGTATGTAGATTATGAAGCTATTCAAGAAATTTGCCAAAATGCTAGAAATGCCAAGAATGCCAAGGGTTTTAGCGCATGTTCAGGACTTTCGGTGGCAACCTCCGTATTCGCGATGTATTTTGGTAAGTAGAAGCCGAGCGTCCGTTGTCGCAAATACTCCTGGCCAGCGCCTCAAAACAGCAAATAGAAATCGACGCAATGCAGTGCGATGCGACGCGATGCGAGTTTGACGCGACGCGAGGTGACACAATACGATACGCTGTATATGTGGGGAAAAGCTACCAGCAACCGTCATCTTGCACGTCACTCTCTATGGATAATCAGACGCAAGTTCCACTTCCACTCAAAGAATTAGGAGATGAACACTCTCTTCATCCTCGTCTCTAAGCTCAGCCTCGCGAAATCTAAACACTGACCAACGAACCAATACCATATGAATGCAACTGCCCAACTTACCGCGATCCGTCTGCAGCGCCTTCGCAACTCGCGTCTCCCGTGCCAAGACTTGCCGCAGATCCGCCCGGCCCGACAGCTCGTGCAGCGAGACCGGCAATGCTGGCCCTGCTGGGCTTCGTTGGGGCAAATCTCGCGTTCGCGACGCCCGGTTTCAGTCGGAGAGGATGCGAAGCCTTGGATAAGCTGCACGGGCCATGCGTGCTTCATTTTTTCTTCTCGTCCCTCTGGCGATGATGTTAGTATAAGATTTCTGAGCATAGGGACCTTGTTTCCCTCATGTCGACGGGGACGCTCCGTTGCTGCAAGAAATCCGTGATTGGCAACGGCAACGTGTTTGAACTCGTGCTGCGTTTCTTGGTGATGCATTCTGGTGTTACGAATCGAACTTTGGGAATCATGATTGTTGATCTCTTCGCAGTCTTCGTTTCAGAATACTCCGCCTTTTAAACGCCTATCCCATGATTGTCTGCAGTTCTTATTCGACAGGACGACTTTCCCCATCAAGGTCATTCTCAAAGAAGAAGCGCATAGAGAACATGCAGGGGTTGGAAAGATTCGTCTGCCTAGCGATGGTAGAATATTGTAATCCCAAGATGATTCGATCGGTGCGCAAGCAGATGGCAACAGATCGATGAGCCAGGTTCTACCTTTCCCCAGCTCTTCTCTGACAGGTCCGCTGCGGTTCACCGTCCTCGAGTCTGCCGTCACATCGGAAACGCAGCAGCGCTGGTGGCGCTTGGAGACTTTTGACACTAGGTGATGTTTACAGCACGCCCAAGGGCGATGGCAAGGGATGGCAGAGTAAGACCTCCAGATCTTAGTCTAGACCCTGTTGCCCAAAACAAGTTAGACTGGCTTACATTACCTTACCTTAGCTTCTCGCTAGTTTTACGCTAGAGTAAGTGTGACCGTAACTTACCTTGCTTGGACTTGACTCATAATGGGACGTAGCAGAGGCAGAGTTAAGTGGTTAAGTCCCATCTTGGAAAGAGCGCCAACTGCCGTAAATATGGTCTTTGGGCACTTTCAACTGCCCAACATGCATGGAGCGGCCATAGTAAAGGACCTGAACGAGTATCTCGATATTCTTGGACAACCGTCATTATTCAAGCTATATACTCAAATATGCTTTTGCTTTTCGGTGGCCGATGCTTCCTCACATTTAGCAATCATCAACATGTTGACGAGTGGTCTCGAACGACTGTCCGCGAGCTTTCCATGGCTAGCAGGCAAGGTCGTCAACGAAGGTTCAGGTGAAGGCAACTCCGGCATCTTCAAGATCAAACCATTGGAGGAAATTGCTCGTCTGGTCGTGAAAGATCTCAGACATGACCCCTCAGTACCAACGATAGACGCCCTCAGACGAGCTAATTTCCCCTTCAGCATGCTAGACGAAACCATCATTGCGCCTCTCAAAACCCTTCCAGGAAGCTCCGACGAATCCGCATCGGACTCGGCACCAGTCTTCGTCCTCCAAGCCAATTTCATCACCGGCGGTCTCCTGCTCACCTTCGTTGGCCAGCACATCACAATGGACATGACTGGCCAAGGTCAAATCATGCATCTCTTCTCCAAAGCTTGCCGCAATGAACAATTCACAAGCGAAGAACTGTCATCCGGCAACCTTGCCCGCCGCAACCTCATCCCCTTACTCGACGACTCCTATAAAGAAGGCTCCGAGCTCGCTTCCCAGATTGTGAAACCCACTCCATCTCATTCCATCTCCAACGACACCAATGACCACTCAGCACCACCTTCTCCTCCAAAATGCACCTGGACCTACTTCACCTTCAACCCCACCTCACTCACCGCTTTGAAATCACTCGCCACAAAAACCATCACCCTCCCTTCAGGCTACATCTCCACCGACGACGCCCTCAGCGCCTTTATCTGGCAATCCGTCATCCGCGCCCGCCTCCCCCGCTTAAACCCCACAGCTAAATCAACTATTGCCCGCGCCGTCGATGTACGGCGTTATCTGGATATTCCAGAGACGTACCCAGGACATATGCAGAATATGACGTACCATACGTACACTGTTCAGGAAGTTGGTTGAGGAGCCGTTGGGCTGTGTCGCATCACAGCTTCGCTCGGCTTTAGAACCCAAAACATCTAATCTGGGGTACAACACCCGTGCCCTTGCGACCTCACTCAACCGCTCACCAGACAAAAACCTCCTATCCGTCACAGCAACGCTTGACCTATCAGCGGACATCATGTTGAGTTCGTGGGCGAAATTAGACTGTTATGAACTTGATTTCAACCTTGGATTGGGCAAACCTGAGTCTGTGCGGAGACCGCAATATGAGCCGGTCGAGAGTTTGATATATCTAATGCCCAGGGCGCTGGATGGCGAGATCGCGGTTGGGATTTGTTTAAGGGATGAGGATATGGAGAGGTTGAAGGCGGATGAGGAGTTTGCGAAGTATGGCAGGTATATCGGGTGACGGATAGCTCATCAAATATTGAGTGGTAAGAAGAGCAGTGGCAACGCGTACTTGTGACCGTAACGACGAGGATCTTGACCACATGTGAGAACGCATTAAAACGTTCAGCCATAAACACAAGCAAGGTGTCCTCAGCTTACATGGCCATACCGTATCATCCCACATGCCACTTGCTTGCTTTTGCAGTCTGCAGCTGTCCAAGCAAGATTTGCTGGAGGCCTATGATTCCTCTCTCCGCTGTCCCGCTTGGATAAGATGTCGCAGAGCAACCCTCGTACTCGCCAGATACAGAATTGGCAAGCTTCGAGCACCGAGACCAGACGCCCGCTTAATCAAGGTGGTTCGATCAGACGTGCGTTGTCTGTCGTCTGTCGAATTCCTCGTCACAAAGGGCGGGCACCTGGCATGAACATGCGTCAAACTCGTGAGGGCTGTATCTCTGCAGAGTAACAAAGACCCCCATCAACACCTTGACTTCCTGGTGAGAGTTTTTGCACATGTGCAAATCGCGTCCGATCTACGTGATCATTTCTTCTTTTACGGGGCGCTCTTGGCGAAGAGGGTCTGAGGAGCCGAAATCCACTTGGTAGCATACTGAGATACTTAGATCTCAAGAGCGTCCGGCACAGCTTCTCATTGACAACGCACGCTGGGGGAGAATAAAAAAGATTGAGACGCTGATGAGGGTGTTGGCGTGGCATTCGTGTTTTGGGATACACTTTGTATGCGTGCGCTTGGAAGTAGTAGTTGATTACCATGCGCGATTATAAAGGCGGAAGCGGGAAGGTGACGGAATCATGGTAGGATTCGTTGGGTGAAGGTACGTGGAATACAGGAATATAGGACTAGAGGCTGAAGACGTACATCCTCGATTGAGGACAAATTGTATTGCGCTACTGTGTGTGTCTTATTATGATGTGATGATGAAGAGTGTGAAATTGTTTTCTTTCGTGGTTGTATGCTTTCGGACTAAGTACACTACCAGTTCCTTAAGGGATTCGACGAAGTAGGTAGCTCTTCACCGTTTGACTCAGTTCAAAGCAGCAGCAGCAGTTCAGGCCGGTGACCGTAACTGGAACTGGGGGAATAGAAGAAATCTTAAATTCGACGATACCATTCACTTGCCATTCGGCGCACCATTCACACCGACCGCAACTCCATGGGAATACCCCGCTTCCACGGGCACGGAATGGGGCACCATCTTCTTCATCGGACGTATATCCGGCTTGGGCTCCGTAAGCGGCGCCGACAAACCAACACGGTCGAGAGTGCTATAGCTCCCCACATCGCCGTTGGTATCGGCGTGGGTGATGAGTTCTTTTCGCCGTGTATCGACAAGGAGGCGTATCAGATCCGGACGCATGTAGTGGCCGCCGAAGTCGGCGAGGGATTTGGGCAGGTGGGCCTCGTCGAGGTCGATCTGTTTACATTAGCGGTTGGGTCTTGAATCTCGACGATTGCGTGCGCCGGGGGGGAATGGTTCATCGTGCTTACGTTCACGTATACCAATCCCTCGAAATCCTTGGGCGGTCGGGCCAGTAGGCTACCGTCGGGACCGTAGATCCTGGTGTGCCCGTTGTAGCGCTCCGGTGTCTCGACTTCGACGCCCGGAGGTGTGTTCTTGGCAACGCCGTCTTGCGACAGGCGCTGGAAGGGCGCGAGCACGTAGGTGCAAGTTTCGATGGCATAGGCTGGGCTGACGATGTCGGAATTGGGGTCGCTGACGTTAGTGTACGGGTCCGGATAGTTGAGAGTGGTTTTGTCTGGGTAGATGGGCCATGCTGCGATGTGGACCTGGGAGATTATCGGGCAAATTACAAATTCAACCCCAATACTTAAAACCCATCTTACATTTTCATACCCCTCACCAAAAAAATGGGGTATGAATTTGTAAGTTGCCAGTCTTTGGGGTATGAATTTGTAAGTTACCATTTCTTGGGGTATGAAAATGTAAGATACCACCAACTTGTAGATGTAGTTATCCCTATACCTGTAAATCATTAGAAGGGTATTTAGGGTGTTCTAGGCTACCTACCTCAATTGTTAGTAACCCGAGTTACCGCTAAAGGATAAAATAGGGGTGTTTGCACTTTACGCTGCAGACACCCCTAAGAACCCCGCAGGGCCCGAGGAATAATTCCTAACACCAACCCGCCCTATAGATGGCAACTTACAAAATCATACCCCTATTAATGGTATCTTACAAAATCATACCCCTGTTAATGGTATCTTACAAATTCATATCCCATTGGGGTATGAAAATGTAAGATGGGGTATGAATTTGTAAGAATCCCATAGTTTGGGGTATGAAAATGTAATTCGCCCGAGATTATCGTATTAGACAAAGCAGCCAATGCACTCGCTTGCCAGATTCGAGATTTACCTGCTCCCCAAGACTGGCCGCATAGGCCTTCAAAAAGGGGTTCATGTTCTCCCAGCAGTTCAGCTGTCCAACCCGTCCAATATCAGTGTCAACGACGGGCTCAAAGGTGTCTCCAGCCCCATCGCCGAAAATGAGCTTCTCAACATGCGTTGGCTTGATCTTTCGTCGATGGTTGAGGATATCTCCCGTTGGTCCGATGAGTACCTGAGCAAGATGCAGAGTTGCCATGTCGATCTCGCTGTAACCCATGGAGACGTAAATGCCGTTCTCACGCGCTGCGGCACGAATCCGACGCATTTCATCGGAATCAGATGGCAGACTGTTCTCACGGTAGGCTTTCAGGAAGGGAAGAGACTGTTGGTAATTGATCTTCCACATCCAGTAGGGATAACCCGGAATCCCTACCCCATTCTGTGAGTGGTGATGAACCGATCACAGGTTGCGAGTTTCTGGGAGCAATACAAACTTCGCGGAAGGCAACAAGCTTGCATCCTGCCTTGCCAGCTTCATTAATCCAGTGGATGGTTTTCTGGACTGATGCTTCCAGGTCGAACCACCCAGGCTCGGCGGTAATCAGGGGTAAATGTTTCATACTTTCGCCATCTCGCCATCTCGCCCCCACGGTCGTCAAAGATGTGGCGCATTCAATGTCCTATTGCGCAACCAAAGTCGACCATCCATCACGCCGGATCTGATTCAATCAATATTAGGGAGTTTCAGACCACTTTTTTTAAGCGTGGAATTTTCAGATCGTGGGAAAATAAGCAATTTACCACCAACTGTTGGTGGCAAATCGCTGAAATTCCCACAACTTACGCCATCCATTAAAGGTACCCTGGGGTACCTTTGGTGAAGAAAATCGACCTATTTGGTGGATTTCTCGTGTCGATATTCTATATCTCTTAGCAAATCTATTTAATTAGAAGGTCTTTCTTCTTATTACTACTACTATTATCTCTTATTGCTATTATCTCTTATACGTCTACGTCTTTTCTATCGTTCTTTCTATCGTTCTTTCTATTACGTCGTCGCGAATCTCTCTCCTCTTAATAGCGCGAAAGAAAGTCTCTACGAATAAATTAGAGTTAGAGTTAATCTCTAAGAATTAGATATGGGGAAAATTATAAAGTACGATTTTCTCGGGTAATAACTAAGCGGATTTATCACAAATTTACCAAAGAAGCTTATTTGATAGTGAGGGTGTTTAGATTAATCTATTTTGTCCTAGCTGAAAGTCTGAATATTCCACGATTCCACAGCAAAAAAAAAAGTGGTCTGAAACTCCCTAATATTAGTGACGGTACTGGATTGATTAGTATGCGCAATCATCGGCCACACCAGCCACGTCTCCAGTAGGGTTTGGCTCCGGGCAGTCTGCTGTGCCACATGCGGGAAACCTCGAATTACGGAGTACCCCTCCTTTTCCCTTGTAGGAGTATCTACTTACATTAGATAGGCCGAACTATCGGCGGGCCTTATCTTCCCCCCACCGTATCAGCTATGAAGGTTCCGGAGGCAACCGAGTACGAGTAGTGCCGGCGCAATGACCACGTCTGCTGCAGGTACGCCTCACGCCTGCATGGCCTTTCCTCTCATCCAAGGAAACCCAGCTCGTGTTACCGAGAAACGGAGGGGATGTAGTGAGCTTACCAGGTTACCTATTGCGCGCGACCGAGACTAGGTAGGTACGAATATGCAAGGTCATGAGCCGGTGTCCAGAAGATGATGGCACCCCGATTTGCGTCTCCGACACGATGATTCAACTGGTGTCAAGCATCCAACTTTAGGTCTTAGGTCCTAAATGTGCATCTTACTTTAGGACTATAGTCCTGATAGAAGTGTATCCAACTTTAGGACTTCAGTCCTAAATATGTAAGGTCCTATTCGCATGGGTGCCTTGACTAATATATACGTTATCTTTTACCGTGCCCCTGGTGTCATCACAAGTGCAATTTTGGTGGCCCCGCTTCATTTGGCCGCAACCACCAGATGAAGCACGGAACAGAGAGCAATTGACAGCGAGGTACTTGTTAGGGGAACTTTCCTCCCACCTTCATTACTGTTCGCACCTCTAAAGGCTTTCTGGAACCATGTCGTCGCCAACAGGATCCAACGCAAGCGCCGGCATTGTCTTAGTTGCGGTCAGTTGGACGTTCTTCGTCGTCTCCCTGGTTGTCGTTGCGCTACGCTTCTACGCCGATATCTTCATCATACATCTCGTGAGGATAGACTCCTACCTTACCTTTCTGACCTTCGTAAGCCACGCTTCCCCTCAATTCCATACACAAATTGGCTCCATACTGATACCCACGCCCAGCTGTTGGTCATTGTGTCGCAAGTTTTTACGCAAATTAGCGTTCACTATGGAATGGGGACGCACATCGATGCCTTGACCCCCAATGCCGTAGTATTGGCCCTCAAATATTGCTGGGTCGCGCAGCCCTTCCAACTGCTCGCGCTGGCATTCGGGAAGATCGCAGCAGTGACATACCTAGCAACGATCCACGGACCGCGCAACGCAAATATCAAGCTAGCATTCCTGTGGATAGTTGGCCTGGTCCAGCTATTGAGCGGCATTGTGATACTCGGGTTCATCTACTCGCAGTGCTCGCCCATGACAAAGCTCTGGAACGTAGAAATTCCTGGTACATGCAATGGTCGGGCAAGGAATGTATATATGGCGTATCTGGATGGAAGTGAGTCGACTATCGCTCTGGCACATGGTCCAAGGAATGATGCTGAATATCTAGGCCTCTCTGCGTTCTCTAATCTGTGTATCTCCCTGTATCCAACTTTGATATTCTGGAACCTGCAGATGAAGACAACGAAAAAGGTCGTTCTTTGCCTTTTGTTTGGAACGGGGGTGATGTTCGTTTGCAATATGAATTGGAACGTCGGACTGTAACACTGACACCATGCAGAGCCGCTGTTTGTGCTGTGTTCAAGACGACTAAGGTTAGCACGCTGGGGAAAACGACCGATATTACATGTAAGTTATCGAAAAGTCATGCCAAGACTAGGCACGAGAAGTAGACTGAGTTCGCATAGATGATATGACGGGTCTGATGACCTGGACCGCGTAAGTCTCGCCATCCTTCGTACGCTTTCAATGGGGAGCACTCGCCTGACAGTCTAAAGTGTGGAACAATACACCGTCCTCCTAGCCGGCTCTATCCCACCCCTCCGCCCGGCCATCAAAGAACTCTTCAACAAAGCCTCAAGCACGACCTACTACCGCAGCCGCAACACCAACACGCTCCGCCTGGACGATGAAGCCACACTCACCTCATCCACAGTATCACCAGGCAAAACCTCAGCATACACAGTAGGCACCAAGGGACGGTCTGAGGCTTTTAATGGAAAGAGAGATAGTACGGAGAAAATACTCAGCGAGATGGGCGAGGGCGGAATCATGATGACGACGAGAATTGAAGTAGAGAACAGGATTTATGCACAGAGGATGAATGCGAGTAGGGATCAGATGGTTGCGAGGAACGGGAGGGAAGGGGTTTGAGTGAGCTTGTTCTCGCGGCTTGTTTTAGATCCATACACGTCTCCACTGATGACACTCTTGCATCGCAAATGAGAGGCTGTACAGGAATCCCTTGGTGGGCAATCACTATGACTGCGAGGCTTGTGCAAGATGCAGCACAACGCTATCGTCGACCCCTTTCCAAAGGGCTCTCCAGGCTCGTTGCAGCATGTCGAAGCCGCTTTGACTAACCTGCACTGTGTGGCTACTGTTTCCCCCATTATGGATGCGTTAGTGCACTGTGTGGCTTCTCGCAGGTGTCAACCTCTCGCTTCGTGGCCACAAAGGCTATCTGTGATCCAAAGACTCTTCCATAGCTCTGACAGAATGCGTTAACTAGACTGTCGGCCGAGCAGCTGATAGTGATGATGAATTATCTTACTGATAGGATCACTCTGGACGTGGTCTTTCGATCGAACAAGCAGATGTTGATCATGTAAGAGGGGCTTGAGATTCCCACGCCAGGCAGTTGTGATTGCCTGCCGGATTAGAGGACACGTGAAAAGTCTCAATCTGACAACATAAATGCTTCCAAACCGTGAGAGACAAAATCCCCTTCGCCCAATGGGAGACCAAGGTTCCTCAGGTCAGGATGAAGATTGGAAATTCAGCTGGGGGCTGTGCATGAAATCGCTCCTATGGGAAGCACAGCCTAGAGCACAGTATCTGTCGGACCAGAGAGAACACCAAAGGGTATGCCACGTTGTATTCAATGGTCAGAATTGCCGATCTTCTTCACTGGCGTTAATCAGAAGGTCTTCAGGTACCGAATGCAAGATTTCTCAACTTTCCAAGAGCTCTTCACGGTCTTGCAGGCCCAAAAGAGTCATCCACCGACCGAGATGATTCAGAGCGAGAGATACTTGTAAGATAGTGTTTCATTCTTACCCGTCCCTCGGATCAAAATTTTTGGCGAAGTGCCTGGGATGCATCGCGAGAGAAGAGCTGAAAAGGAGTGGAGGAGTCTTGCGATAAGCTGACGTAAGCCATGAACCACGTGATCGGAGAATTTAACGACGGGAAATTTTCAGCATCGATCCTTTTCTGACACCTTGAACATCTTGAACTCTGTGACACAGATGGAAGGGCGTCAATGTTCTCTTTGTCCCAACTGAACAACCATAACTCGGTTGTCGCACCCATCGTATTCATCATCGCAAGGTCAATACGCGATTGAGCCAGGCAATGCTCGGAGTCCTAATCATTGTTAGCAACGATCGGGGGTCCATGTATTTGGCGCGCGCCATAATGGGTCGGTTGCCAAAAGCTATTTTGGACATTGCACCAATCGTATGACAGGCGTCCCATGGCGCCCTGCTGGGAACTTGTGTTCCTCTAACCGCAGCAGATCCTGCGGCGCAAACCCTCAGCCCAGTCGTTTCAGGCTCTCATTGGCGGCTTGGGCATCCCTTGACTCTATCAGACCGCTGGTGGACAACGTCTCATCGAGGTCGATATTGTGAACAGGTAGAGTCTGCTCGCCTGCTTATGCCTTCTTGTTGCTTGCTTCACTCTATAAAGACTTCCGCCATGCTGCCTATTTATTTTCCTCCCATAGTTAAGAGCTCCTTTAGTATATACTTCTTGGCCCGCTGTACATTATACAATTATTATTTCCTCTAGGACCCAGAACAGTTTTTGACTCCGGTTTTTGTCGTATCTCATACTACTTTTGCAAAGCTCTTAGAAAGGCACCATGTCGCACAACATCAACATCACCAACCTCTCCGGCCATGATCAGGACTTCGAATTCCACGGCTGGAATAGTAATCAGAATATGACGGTCCCTGCGGGTCAGACATCTGTTATCAGCGCAGCGGATGGGTCATCGGGCGCAATAATCGCGCTGCATTATGGTTTCGAAGGCGAGCAGGCCGAGATCACCAAAGATGGATTTGGCGGTAAGACGAGATGAGATGAATACTGGCTGTTTATCTTGCTAAATCCTCGAATAGGGAACGACTTCATCGATATGAGCAACATCATGGGAGCCGGCGGCAACATGACAGTCCAACAAGTCAATAACCCATCCACCCGCAAAGGTGACCCAATCTTCATGCAAAACCTCAACGCTGCGTGGCAAGCAGCGGACGGTCCCACCAAGCAATCCTTGCAGCCATGCGTGCAACTTGATGGCAATGGCAACGTAGTCAGAATCGCCGCTCTCAAGGATTACCCCCAGCTGGAGACGTTCGTCCGATCTTTCGCCGATGGACAAACCTATATTGGCAATGGCGCATGGGGTGGAATCTCAGGAAATCCTAATGACAATAACCAGTCATCAGCTGCGCAGGGGGATACGGATATCCAGGTAACCTACAATGATGGCGATGCAACACCACCAAGTTAGATACACTCTCCACACTAGTATCAATATCATTCTTCCTGATTCTGACAATGATCATGTAGCTACCGCTGTCTCTCAATTCAAAAAGCCCGAGTCCAAGCTCGTGCAAACCCATCAACGCGATGCCTCCCCCTCCGGCCCAGGCATTATCCTGAACAACCACACCAGCAGCCAACAAACCTACGCCTTCTACAACAACTACTGGAACGGCAACGATACCGCAGGCGCGAACTTCGACCATCCGGATCCCACCGTCCAAGTCGACGCCAACGGCTCACTCTTCGTAAGCCTACCCACATCCTTCAAAGGGCGCGTCCAGCGCGGAACGCAGCTGCCGGCCACGTGGGTCGAGTTTCAGATCGCCGCATCCAACGACAATGCCGCTCACGGGGACATCAGCCTCGAGCAAGGGTGCGACGGGGCCGCTACCATCAGCGCGACGGACGGAAGTGGGCGGTCGAACGGGTTCACGAATGATGTCTTGTCCGGGGCGCCTGCGGCCGCTATACAGGATAAGCCCGATGGAACGCCCGCGTTGGCGACGACCGTGGGTAATTGGATGAGTGGGCCTAATCAGGCTGCGATTGGTTGGGAAAACCAGGCCGTGGGGCAGTCGAAGGCTTATATCCAAGGAGGTACTGGGGTGCCGGATGTGGCGAGCACGAACCAGTGTTTGGCTGTTGATTTTTATTGAGATCTCGTTCAGTCTGTATGAAAGATTTTGGACATCTGGACAGGATTGGTAGTACGGAGTCTTATCTCTTCGGGGTTCTTGGCGCGTTGGGTAGAGTCATGCTTTCATGCATAGGCTCTAGGGATTCCCCATCTTAGAATCAAGCCTTTGGCTGCTTTACCCGTGTCCATTAATTATTCTCGCTTCCAATCACTCCAGTGTCCTATGAGCCTCATCACCGAAATCTAGAACTCACCAGGCGCCTTGGCAATCTCCAAAACCTCGCAATTGCCTTTCTCGGCTCGGCCCATTTGTCCTGACAGGAGCTTGCCGCGTGCCATCCGACCACGTCCGCGACGCAGGAGATATCACACATCCTAACAAGTAGCCGGACGGTTATTAGACTCTTGGAGGGCCTACGTCTCATATTCAAACAGGTTTGCTTCCTCATCACCAAACAGGTTCCGGTTAAGCTGCACTGGCCTCAGCATATCTCGAGGGGTCTCCGACGAGGCCAGACCGCAGTCCCCCGGCAATGCAGACCGCCCTTCTGCATACGCCGATCCTCTGTGTATGCAGCGTTCAGCCTTATGAATCCAACTTCTATGCGTGTCACGCCTGATGTTCAACTCGATTTGCTAAAGCTTTGTGGTATACAACTCCACAATCACGAACCACACCGACTTCTTACCCGTCTCGGTGGATATACTTGGTAAGAAAGTCTGTAATTTTTCCGGACCTTTGACTCGATTGCGTGCTCTGCACGTTAGCACTCGGAGTTCGATTATCAGGCTGACTCCATGTTCTCTAGCTGCCAAAGGTTGGGACGGTCTCATCTTCCAGCTCGTTGAAGATGTGTTGGCGCCTGGAGTTTTCAGTGTGACCGAAGCTGGGCAGATGATCACTGGAGGCGAGGTACTGGTGAGGAGAGGCTGGGGCGCTTGATGCCGAGCTTAGAAGGCCCGAGAGTAAGGCCTTTCTCTTGAATGCTGTGATCCGTTAACTTCGACCGTGGGCTGTTTGCTGGAGAGGTAAAGGGTCTATTCACATGTTAGCCCTCCCTCGTGAGAGATCTAAAAGCAATCAACTTCTTTCGAAAACGCGCACTCATCCAACGTTAATAGGTCATGTGGTGAACTTGAACAATCAGATACACTGTGAGCACAAAAGAGAAACAAATAAATTTTAAAGGCTTTTTGTATTTGCTCAGCAATGAGAAGTAAGAAGAGTGCCGTCAAGGTCCATTTCCTTTCCTGTTGAATTATCAAGCTGGCAAGAAATGGTTCATAGGCCTGCTCAAGCTCTTCTCCGATTCCCTGCGTTTCTACTCTAGCTCAATCGTCGTAAATCCACCTTCCAAGGTGGTCAACCATGTCTAGGCAGCTTTAGACGACAACACAGATAAGACGTTCGTCTGTTGAGCTGAACAGAGTGACCGGAAAGGTGGCTTAGATTTCATATGACAGCATCGGTTTCATCCATCCGCGACAGCAGTATCTCTCCCGAATGCACGGCCGAAACATGAACTTCGTCAAAGAGCACCTGAAACGCTCCTATCGGTGACCAATAAACAAAGGCTACACACACTAACGACAGCGGCGATACTTCGGTCACACAAAGCGACTTCATCATATTTAAAACATTGGGCTATTAAGATTACCCACCATGGAACGAATATCAGAAACCTTAGAACACCTACCCTATAACATTATCTCATAGGTTCTTTACATTCTGGAAATACCACATTTCGTTTAGTATCGATATTCTTCCCCGTCCAACCCTTCGACGTATTCGGTGCTTTTCCTTAAGCCAGAGGTCATACCGACTAAGTCGTACCCAGTGCTCTGCTGAAAATGGAAGAAGACGACCTCAATACCTGGGGCCATTTACGGCGGGTGGAATTCCAAAGAATACGCATCCCCGATCTAACTGGGGAATCGACGGACTCGTCGACCGAAGTCGAGATTCCTTTCACCACTGTACCAGACTTCTCCTCCAGACACCCCTGGCAGTTCTCAACGACTGCTGCCTTTGAATTCTTACGCCACCTCCCTCTAATCTCCGTATCTACCCTCCCAGAAGACACGCCGGCTTGTGATATTTGCTTCGAGCCATACATGTCAGGCGAGGACCCCGAAAAGCCCACCAGACTTCCGTGCCAACACGTACTCGGGAGGAAATGTATCGGCAAGTGGATCTTACCTCGAGACACGCGGCCGAATACCACCTGTCCCGTGTGCAGAAGCGAGCTGTTCAGCGACGAAAGGTTCAAACCTACACTCTTTTCTCCGCCCGACGAAGGAGACGTCGCGGATTGGGTGAGAGAGACAACGCTTTCTTACGAAGGAGACCCGAATGCAGAGGAGCGAATGGAGCTCCTCGTGCAAGAGTTACAACGCGTCGGCAGCGTGCTTGATAGAGAGCCAACATCGTCAACCGCCGAGGTTATGCGGAGTGCCTTGAACCAACATGACGAGGTGATGCGACGACTCGAGGGCAGGTTGGCTGGGCATCGCAACCGAGAGCGACTCGCGCAGGACGGTGGCGAACCCTTGAGACCGTCCGACAGGGCCGAAGTTGATTCACTTCAGAGACGTTTACCGCATTTGCATGAGATTTCACAAGAACTTCATGCCGTGGCGGAGCGGATGTTGGCGGAGCGTCAAGAAGATGCGGAGGAAACGGCAACGGCGGGTGATGGAGTGGGTGGAGATGGGGACAGTCAAGAAGATGCGGAGGAAACGGCAACGGCGGGTGATGGAGTGGGTGGAGATGGGGACAGTTGAGTATGTTTAGATGGTCAGCATGGTTTGATTCGGTGGGGTAGGAGGCGCCTTCGGTTCGCTCAGGGCAGCTGCAGAAGCGTTGAGACGATCTAACCTCAAGGTGGCGGCGATGCTTTGTTTCTCGGGCTCAGTCATTGCCAAGAATAGTCACATGTGCTGGGATGTTCGCACAAGATGACCGGATTCGGAGTGTTACAAGTCCCACCAAGACTTCATAGCTTTCCAATGGGACAAGTTGTCCAAACATAATTCACAGTCATAGGAGCTCCAATCTTTCCATTTTTGCACAATTTTGTGGATACCAACCGGAATGGGTTGGCTATTTATCTTAGAAAATCTCAAAATCAAGTGTACTCAACGTAAGAAACGCTGTATCCCTTTCTCATATTGGTACTCATTCGAACTTCGTTCCGTTACTGTTGTCGCCTTTTTCTGGCAGCGCACCTTAACACCTAGAAACTAGGGTTGTCTCTACGCATATTTTTTGCTGAATTCCCTTACGGGAAGTTGCCAAACATCGAGGGATGCGTAACTCCATTATTTCGCAGTTGATAGCCGAGTAAATACTGCAAACGCTCGATAACCTCGACCACTCATTCGACCGTCTCATATTGACTGCGGCACAAGAGCTCAAAAAAGCCCTACATGAAAGTTGATCTCAAGAAAGAGCCTCCTGAAGGCTCCTGAGTTATTTCGTAAGCGCCGAAGGTCACAAGATAAGTTCCCAACGACGTGAACACTTACCGATCTCCATCGCCTTCCCAACCCTTCCAAACCTCATGCACATATCATCAACCGCCATCACGGCCGCCCAGACCTCATACCAGGTGGCGATATCTTCCCGCCCGATAGTATCAAGAGTGACTATACACCTTCCGTCTTCTGTACATACATCAGAGTCCATCAGTATGAGCCAATAGGCACGGTTTCTCAGACGAATGTCATACAATCGGGTGCTTACGTGATTCGAAGCTGTCTGGTATCCTCACATTCACATGGCCTCCCGGGCTACGACTGAACAACTGTTGTTCCTTCAACGCGGGCATTGTGGCTATGATCGAGTAACAGGAATCCCGTGGAGGGCCGGTGGGCCCGGTACATTGTACGTTTTGGCGGTTAGAGGTCATGATTAGGCCGAGACTCAGTACTCCAGGTCCTTATTCCCTTGATCATCAATTAAGTGATCTCTACTTACATTAAAAACATGGAAACACACCTAGGTTACCAGCGATCCCTCCTTCCGTTCTACCATCTGCGAAACATGTAGTCAGGAGCATAAATGCCGCTCGCTCAAAATCCCGCAAGGTCGCATACGCCACCGGAGTATCGGCGATCTTTGCGATCTCGAAGATGCACAGTCCATCCGCTGCCAGTCGGGGTAGCGATGTCAGCCACCTAGCGAGTGGTCTGGAGGCAGCAAATGGTAGAGTGAGGAAAATTTTCTTACAGCTTACCCATCTGTAAGGCAGAGGGACCTCGAAGTCTCCATCTTCCCTATCGCCGAATGTGAGTAGTTTGGTTGTCCTGGGGATTGTACGGTAGGCATCGGCGCAACTAGCACTCAGGAGATTGCTTCTGTAGGTAACTCCATCGCAATGGACCGTTGGGAGGGTCAAAGACGTGTTGGCACCGGAAGGGTTGATCGGCAGAGAAGACAGGGTCAGGTTGGAGGTCAAAAAAGTAGTGTTTGGGTTGTGTATGCGATTCATCGCAAACGAGTCTTTGAGACTGATAAAGAACAGTGAAACGTGGAAGAACGATATGAAGACCATTCTGTGCATGGAATTCGACGCGATCTCGAGCCTACAAGACCAATGGCCGGAGCATCGAGTCCAAAGAAAAAGAAGAGAAATTAAGAGGATGTAGATATCTCCCCTCAAGAACGTCAAGCGTTGCGGCAGAACGCTTTACTAGCGATAAGCCTACAACCATACCCCACTCAAAATATAGTCAGGGTGCTTCCTGCGTTCCAAGCACACCATTTGCAGCTATCCGCGCCATATCTAAGCGACCAACAAAATTGACTCCTCGGATATTATCGACGCCCAGTAAAAATATAAGATATCGCGCCGGTGGGAAAACATCACGTGCCTGCCAATTAAACATCTATGGGATATGAGGCCGCATGAGTTAGAGTATGTAGTATGTCACTTCTTGACCTTGCTCGTCCCTCGCCAAGGTGCCCCGTCCAATCCGCCGAGGGCTTTAAAAGCGGTGTCTGCGCCGAGTAGGTCCATTATTGCCGCGGATTCCCTCGAGAGACCCCCATCGAAAAGTATCGATGGCCTTGTTAGCGTTCGACGAAGCGAGATGGGGACCTGTGACAGACCCACTACACCAGAAAAGCCACCACTAAAGGCGGAATATATAATCTTTGAATACATGGATATGAAAGAGCCTGGATTACGCACGATAAAGCCTTTAATAAATCAACGAACGTTCGGTGTCAATCAGACCCCAACGAGCCTGGACACGTAATTTCAACTTCGCCAATTTCTGGATTTGATACAACCAATATGTCATTTGTTTCCTTGTCCTCCACTGTCGATGAGTGGATGAGATTAGCCAGGAAGCACCAGTAGCTTGGTCGCCAATCATGTCGCCGGTGTTCACAGCCATCCATGAGCTTACTTCGCCTCTTCGAAGCCTGATTCAGTCTCGAGGAAGAAGCCTGCACACGTAGGTTAAAATATTACAGCAGTTCAAAGGACTGACTAGGCCCGGGAAAGTCGAACGAAGGATGACAGACGAAGATTGAGCTGCAAGAGAAAATAGACAACATTCCGATGAGCGTATATGGCTGGCTTGGGTGGCAGAAAGACGTGAAGCCCGAGCTGCAGGCGAAAGGTATGAAGCACCTCCCTGCGCAGATGCCGATAAGTCGGTCTCCGTCAACGTTGTGCGTGATCTCGACGAAAAAGCGTAAGAGCAACGCGCCATGACTATAAGGAACTATGGCTTGAAGAAACCACTCCCTTCTCCCGTAGTTTCGCAGCCAGCTGCTGAGCGTTACCTCCACACTCCCCCAACTCCTGTCTATCCATGACGACTCGTAAATTGCCCTCCCCTTCACCGGCCAGTATCATGGGGTACGACAGCTTCTTTTCCTGTACGAATGACTTGATCTACGCGCTTCATATAAGCCCCAGACAGCTTCATCTCTTACAAGATAGGAATGTCAATCTGCTCACCTCTGACGTCAACTCATCCCTATGCATCTGTCTAATCTCCACGTGACCCTCTTTCACCAACGTCACTTTCGCCTCCTTCCACGCCGCCGTCTCCTCAAAATGCAGCCCACCGTGCGTGATATCGCATGCCGAACACGCTGGCTTGTCCTTTGGCGATGTGAGTTTCCGGTAGCCGTAATTTAGCTTTCCCATCACGGAGGCGTCGGCATTGTAGAGGATGTAGAAGATCGTAGTCATGACTGAAATGGGCTATAGGTTTACTCAATTGAATGATGCTGGGAGTATGCTTGGTGAAGGCTGTTGATGCCTGTGAATGTCTCAGTGGACTATGGAGCTCCGCCGTTAGCGTATGCAGAAAGCTTAAGAAGTCTTGGCACAATGAGAAGGCGACCTCTATTTGATACCTAAATACTGTACACAATCTCAATCAAAGGCAAGATGATTCAAAAGCTGCATGATAGCTCTAACCATAATCAGACGCCTGGATCGCATTGAAACACTTAGATTCGATTATGAATAGCGAAGGTTGACATATGTTGATTGTTAAAACTCGACAGAGCCAATCGCGAATAACGAAAATCCCATTGAAAATTAGGACAGAAAGGACATTGATTATCTCGTTAATGTTCGTATCGACCTATTCTATGTAAAGATATAGACAGGGTGCAACAGGTAACAAACGGGCGGCGCGATTTTCTCAATGCCAAGAATCCAAAGCTTTCTGCACACGCTAATAAACGCCAGCCGAAGCGCCGAAACAAGGACTCTTACGTCTACGTTAATGCTTTCAGATGGCCTGAAATCGTCGTCTTGCTTACCTTACCTTCAAAGACATCTCCCTCAGAACAATTCAAGTTCCACACGCCAACCAGAGCTCTCTCGAATCTAGCTCACACCAAACCCAGCGACGACCCTAATGGCATCCATCATCCACGTCTACAGAACACCCGATTCACAAGCCAATTCAACCAGTGGGTAACAAAGACAATGAGCGACAAAGACAAGCCGGACATCTACGACGTCGTCGTTCTTGGAGCCGGTGACTCCCGCCTGATAATTCCAATAGGGTCAGGTGAAGGTGCTAATATGAGAATTCCTCTAGGCCTCTATGGCATCCAGGCAGCTCGATGCTATCTGGATATACACCCTACGGCGAAACTGGTGATTTTGGAAGGTGACGACGTGGTGGGCGGAACGTGGAGCTCGAGTATGTCATTCTGATCTCTTTACGATTCTTGACTGGCGTAGACGTTGTGTGTTTCGTGTAATTTTGTGTAAAAGAGAGGTGCAATGTTTGTTTTTGGACCTTGTATTCAAGGTTTATGGCTACTTCATGCTTCATCCAGTGTTCTCAATCCTACAACTACTCGTAATGACGTTCCACAGAGCGTATCTACCAATCCTTCTGGACCCAGACTCCCATCGGCATGGCCGAGTTCTCAGACCGCCCCATGACACCCCCTCCATTAGAAGACCAATACTACGGTTTCTTTCCTGCCAAATACGTGACCGAGTATCTAGAATCCTACGTCGACGACCATGCATACAACGCCCAAACTTTGGGCTCCAGGATCAGCTTCGGTACCCAAGTCGAACGCCTTGAGAGATATACTGAAGGCTCCTGGACAATCACTTGTCATAGGGGAAGGATTCTCCATGCAGATAAAGTAATCGACTGTACAGGCATGACATCCGAACCGCACGTCCCTGATATCCCAGGTAAAGACCGATTCGAAGGCCTGATGATTCACCACAAAGACTTTGGCCAATCCAGCTTCCTCTCCGATCCTTCAAGACATCACATCGCGGTCCTGGGCGGCGCAAAATCCGCCTCGGACGTCGCATATGCCTGCGCGAAAGCCGGCAAGGATGTTCATTGGATTATTCGGGAAGATGGTGGAGGTCCAGGAGCATTGCTGTCTGCGGAGGGAAAAGGAGGGTATGCTAGCTCAATTGACGGCTTTTATACTCGACTCGTTGTTCCCCTTTTGCCGAACCCGTTCTCCAAGAGTTCTTACTTTTCAAACTTCTTACACTGTACCAAAGTAGGTAGATGGTTCTTTGAAAAGCTGTGGAATATTGTAGATGAGGACCAGAGGGCGAAAGCAGACTTTCATAGAGACGAAGGGCAAGCGATGGGGTTTCAAAATCTCGAACCTGATACAGCGTACGTTAGTGGACCGGCATTCTTTCAACGACAAAGATATTGATTGAGTGAGACAGCATGTTCTGGCAGAACGATAGCCCCGGAATCAACCAACGTCCAGACTTTTTCTCCACCATTGCGCAGAACGTCAGTGTTCACCGCCAATCCATTGAACATCTTTCGCCCCGTTCCATAACTCTCGAGCCAAATGTCGCAGCAGAAAACAATGCTCGTCACATTCTGGTCGATGTTGTTGTCTTATGTACAGGCTGGGACCCCGTGTCTCGAATATTCCCGCCTCGTGATGCTGTGAAGCTAGGCCTTGCGGTGCCTTTGTCAGAGCAGGACCAAGAGGAGGAAGCAAAGTGGCGGGCGCTGGAGGGGGCCAAAGACCGAGATATACTGCGCCGCTTTCCGTTTCTTGCACGGACTCCACCCTATCGCCCGGCACAACCCTCGCATACGCCTTTTCGTCTTTACAAAGCCATTGCCCCTCCATCAGATATAGACAGTCACTCTATCGCTTTTCTTGGTAAGATGGTCGTGGGTAATAACTTTCGCGTGGCAGAGGTGCAAGCGTTGTGGGCTGTGGCCTACCTCGATGGCAAGTTGAAGCTCGATAGGTCGCGCATTGAGGAAGAGATCGTAGAAACGGTGACTTGGTGTCGTAGGCGATATTTAAATAAGGGGCAGCTGGGAAGCTGGTTCCCGCTGGATACTTTGGCCTACACAGACATGCTTCTAGACCAGCTACGGTTGAGCAGTCATCGGAGGAAAGACTGGATAAAGGATTTAGTGGCGCCATGCGTGGCTGCTGACTTGCAGGGCCTCATTGCTGAGTATAAAGAATTGTATTCTGGGTGAGATTGTCAATACCGTTCCACCATACTTCCCGTCTGACTTGGTCTCCGTCACCAAATCCGGGGCTTATTTCCAGCAGTGAAATTAGGGGCTGGTAGTATTTGGTCCAATTTCTATGATGGGCATTGTGCCTCTTGCTTCCAGCTGTCCAACCGGCGGGCAAGATCTTGTTCTAGTTCCATTCTAGATCCATTCCCGAATTTATATCCACCAACAACCGCTAATGCGATGCTTTCGCCGCCGAAGCTTGGGTATGGGCTTGCTGTAAATGCCCTCTTTCTGGACCTCCGTTGAAGACACGGATTGTGCATGTACCTGTGGGTGTAGGAGACGACAATAATGGCGTAGCAGAGCACTGTCCAGAATGTTTTGAAGGTGGGTGCGCGGTAGACGGGTGTGTGGTATAGGTGGTTATAGAGCCTGATTAGGATGCGTTGGTAGGGGGAAGGGTTACGCGATGGCATTAGTAAGGACGAGGCCAAGGATGGCACGCAGGTATGAGATAGAGGATGGCATCTTGACTTCCAGGCGCAGTGACATACAACTCCCGCTCTCTGGCAGACAATAGCAAAAACATATACTCGCCGGAGCTGGAGTGCGTCATAGTCTTGATTCGATAAGGACATTACTTGGGAAAGGACGACCCGATTACACGTCACGTGGCTTGTGTTGGCATTCTTTCTGTCTTCCTTCTTTCTCCTCGACTTCAACATTCCCCAACCCGGTCAAAACTGTGAACATGTTTGACATTCGACTCCGCTCTTTGAAAGACAACTTCTTCGATCCATGCTGTCGCTTTATACCCAGTCAGATTACCCCTTATCACGTCACAGCTGCTGCATTCCTCGCTGGCCTTCTTTCCTGCTACTGCGCCTATCTGAATTCGCCTCTATTGTCCGCAGGCTTCTGGGCTCTTAACCGCTTTCTTGATTGCCTAGACGGCGCGTTAGCTCGTCATCGTAATACAGCGTCAGACTTAGGGGGCTTTCTCGATCTTTTGGGAGACTTCATCGTCTACTCGATCATTCCAATTACCATCTCAGCCGGACAAGAGTCGACAATCAGATGTTGGCAAGCCGTTGCCATTCTCGAAGCCACGTTCCATGTGAACAATTTCATTTTGTTCTACATAGCCGCCATCTCAGAGAAGCGGCAAGCGAAAGACAGTGCATCGGGAAAAGAATTGACAAGTTTAATGATGCGGCCTGCTTTGGTTGAGGGGTTGGAGAGTGGTGTCTTGTTTACTGGGATGCTTGTGTTTCCAGGCTATATTGAAGGGCTTTGTTGGTTGATGGCTGTTCTGGTAAGCGTGGGAATCGTTCAGAGGGTGGCTTGGGTTGTTCCAGCGTTGGGATGATTTTCGGGAGAACAACGAGACACGACGGCCACAATGCCCACCATCTACGTGCCAAATGCGTTTCTCAACTACGAGTGGTGAGGACGACAAGGGTACGGACACGACGATACAATTAACGACAGGACTACATGAACCCCGCATTTGAAGACCATCGAAAAAAAGAACGTCAGAGACGCCATCGCTCGTTGGTGAGTGAGTGAGAACACACCATGGAGAAGACTACAAAAAGGGAAGACATCAATGTTAGGGAAGATTACCCGACTCCCGCGATCGAGGTCTCCTCACAGCAACTACAGCCTTCTAAATCTCTTACAACCAAACCAACAGAGCCCGCTTGGCGCATAATCATCTCCTTGGTCCTCCTCTTCCTCAACTATTTCCTTGCCCAATACGATAAATTTGTCCTTTCCTACTTTCAAGATGAGGTCATCACCTCCCTCAAACTATCAGAAGCCTCCTATGGTATCTTGTCAGGTTATGCGACCGGCATCGTCTACGCACTGCTCGCATTGCCAGCGGCGTATATCGCTGACTATACGACAGCCAGGGTTTGGGTTCTAACAGTGTCTGCAATCTGGTGGAGCCTGTGTGCAATCTTTCAAGGGTTGAGTCACAACTTCTGGCAGATACTGCTTGCCAGGATTGGTATGGGCATCGGTCAAGCACCCGTGGAATGCTTGAGTGTGAGCCTGATCAGCGATCTGATGGGGAAAGAGTATGTGTTCGTTGGAGAAAGGTAAGGCTTCATGGTGCCTCCCTTTTCCCTTGCACTAATATACAAATCAGCATACTATATGTAGGCGTCTACATTGGGGAAGCGGTATCCGGGCAAATCGCTGTCGCGTTTGCTAGGACCAACACGCCTTGGAATACCGCTCTCATCGCCATCGGCATTGTCGGTATCGTGGTCGCTGTTTTCATTCGGCTATTAATTCGCGAACCCCTTCGACAAACCTCATTAGTTAACGATTCCTTTCCCGATATACCGGGCGATCATACAATTTCCCAAACCGCTACGAGGAGCGCTAAGCTTTCTATGGCCAGCAAAGACCTGACAGCGACCCTGGACTACATTCTCCATATGCGATCTTTTTGGCTTCTAGTTCTCGCAGCTTCCTTTCGCCAGCTCGCAGGCAATGTTTTCGGCTACTATATGCCGACTTATCTCTCAACTCTCTATCCCTCGAAGTCCAACCTACTCTCGGACTACGGCATTATAGTCGGCGTGGTTGGCTCTGTAGCAGTGTTGCTAGGAGGTCTACTCACGTCTGCGTACTGGCACAAGACGAAAATACTGCCCCTCTACCTCGTAGGTGTTGGGGGCATGATCTCTTCGATCTTCGTCCTCTTGATGCTCTTCTCGCTGGAAGCCTCGGGAGGCAACCAAGACAGCGGCGTGAGGGTCCTTTATGGTACCATGAGCGCAGCATACATCACAGCGGAACTCTGGCTTGGGGCCATCAACAGTATCATTGTTCTTCTCTTCCCGCCACGCTATAAAACCTTCGCACTCTCCATCTGGGATGCTATACAGGTCATCATATACTCAACTGGTCCGGAGATCATAGGTCTTGCCCTGAGGAATGTTGATCCGAGCAGCCAAGCCTATCTTGATGGCACGAAGATCGCGCTGGCAGTGATGATACCGGTAGGCTATTGGCTTGCTGGGGTGGGCTTTTTGTTGGCTATTCCGTTAGTGAGGAGAGATCTGGACGGTGATTTTGTGGTAGGGAGACTCGATGTAAAAAGGAAGATTGGTTTTGGTATCTTTGCGGCTGTGAATGCCGTTATGGTGGTCGTGCTATTTACAGTCAGCATCGTGTACAAGGATTAAGTCAGGTCTTCCATCTTTCAAAGAGGACGTCTATAGACGCCCCACAGTATTCTGAGTGAGATTTATTACTCACTCAGCTGTTCACAGATTTCAGCTTTGATGCCTAATCATTTTCGTAAGATCTTACCTACCTAGTGCCTACCAGCTTGCGAGCAATTTCTCAGACCTAACGAGAATCGCAGGTCTGCCTACCCTCACGTATTGTACGATAGAGACCTGCGACCCCTCATCAATTTCACCGCACCTCATTCCGAGTATGACTGAAACCCAACCTAAGCCTAGTGCTGCGAACAAAGACCTGCTTTGGAACAGGGCCGATGTAGGAACAACTCCGCAACCAGCACGAGATTTGCTAGAGAAGTACAGCGGTATACGTCCGAATCGCCTAATAGATCATGTCAGAGAAAAGGTGGGTTTAAATCGCACCGTTTCTTTCAATTGATTTCGCGATCGAGGTTGACAATTTCCGTTTCCATGCCCCTGCATCGGCTCTTTCGTGTTCCTCCAGTTGGGTATCCACCTCACTCCCCTCTATCCATCAATCGTAACGCACATCAAAGATGACGAGAAGCTTTTGGATCTGGGTTGATGCTTCGGCAAGATATCCGGCGGATAGTCCACGATGGTGCGTTATCCGAGAACATCTGTGGCCTACATCTGAACCAGGGATTGATAAATACTGATCACGATGTTTCTCTGGACAGAGGAAGGTTGCAAAGCACGTTTGTCAGGGCGGATCTCCTGCAAAACTCGCATACCCTGGCAAGGTTGGAGGGTATTTTTGGAGAGGGTTTTCGCCGGCTCCCTCTTCCATCTCTTCGACTGGGAGAATCGCAAGACATTCGTCGAGCTGCTACGCAGCATGTCAGATTCGTTACTTTTCAGACATCAGCTAGGACACATTGAACCTGGTGTCTACCCATTGGGTTTTGAGACGGGTGAGGTGCATGGATAGGATGGCTCTTCGTGGCAACGTGTGTGGGAGCTTGCCGGCGAAGAGACGGATTTTATATAGAAGTGCGGAGCGACAATGGGGGATACGGAGATATCGACGGCTTTCAGGAGGGATGAGGGATGGGGCGTGGGAGGAGCAAATTGATAGAATTTACAATCATACGGGAATGAGGCGAGAAAGTCAACAAGGCGGGTTCACTACTTATGGATTAGACATTCTTAAGAGAGCAGTGACTACGAACGAAAACCTGGCGCTCTTACACGGGGTTCCCTCGGCTTTGTCAATCCGCTGCTCCACCTTTGTCTCACAGCATGAACCCCAAGTACCTGCTCATTGACTTCGTCCCAACCCTCATTTGCCAGCTGCAGAACCATCCCCTGAATCTTCTTTGCAGACCATTGCCCTCGTCCATTCGAACAGCTTACCTTCTTTGGGAATCGTAGCAAGCAACCGAGCCGCTTCAGCCTTGACCGCCGCGGACTTTCTCGTGCTGACACCTTGAGTCGTATCTTCCAGATCTCCCTTGAGTCTGTCCACGTTCCTGCGAGACATTTCCTCGCGGTCTTCTTCCGTGCCCCACTTTGCAAGCGAATTCCAGTACTGATCAATCTTAGCGTCTGTTTCCCCACCCCTCGAGTGATTTACATGCTCGAAACATTACCTTGGGACTTTCCATGACTTTGTCCTGTTCCGTGTGGTTGAGATCGCCGAATGAGTTGAGGACGGCGTTGGTGGACTTCATGTTGGGATTGTCGCCCAGGTTGGCCATTGCGTTTAGGAAAGACGAGGCCGTTCCGTCATGTATCTTACTGGCTATCTTAAATGAGACGATCATCTCTAGTACTCGATAAGGGTCGAACAGGTCCTTGGAGTATGGTTGATCAGGTCCTACTGAAGGGTTGAGAGCCATAGACAACTTGCAGCGGAGAGATATGAAGAGTTTAGGAACGGCGCTCTGCTATCTTCAAGTTTGAACACACAAACTTGTCCACGTTGCGTGTCTCGGGAACGTACTGATTTTCCTTTTTCGTTTCATTCGGTTTGCATGATAATATTGATCAGAAGTTTCCGACGCAGCATACGCCTTGGTTGCGCAGACTTAGCCAGACTAGATGGTGAGCGGCGGTACACATGCCCTTAGTGTCGGCGTGTCTTGTTCGTCCGTTGGATAGCGTGCCGGAAACTGCCCCTGGTCCAGCACTGCGCTCTGGGAACATTATCCAACCAGCATGAGATGGATTGTCTTCTATCATGATCTTGACATCTGTGCTGTTTGTCTGAGCGGCCCCACGCGCACTTCAAGTTAGGCTTGACGCACATAACCTTTCATCCCGTGAACGCAGAATCCATGCCTCGATGCCCTTTTCGCCAACCGCAGGACCACATGAAAGACGAATTACTGCTTCACACTTCCTGGTACCCGAGCAAATCGAACCTCAGTATAAATATTCGATTTCGGCAAGATGAGAGCCAGGTGGCTGGCCTCCCGAGAGGAAAATGACAAGTCATCATTCGTAGGAGCTCTTGCTGGCGCTCTGTAGTTATCCTTTTTTGCAAGTCATGCAGGTACTATCTGGCAATTTCGCGATTTGCGATCATGCGAAGCGGGAAACCGGAATTCGTCTGCCATGTTGGGATGTGAATGTTGAATAGGCTTCCGAGCTGAAGATCTGGGGCAAGATAATGCATAGAGCCAGAGAGAGAGGGCTGAAGCTGTTTGACGCTGCAGTACGGCCTACAGTTGTGGTACGATTACCATATCTCGGACAAAGCCATCACTGACATCAAGATTCCATTGTCCATTTCGGAGCGATGATCGAAACCTGCCTTGTTCAATTCAAATAAAGGATGGTTGGCGTGCATGAACAACAGGTAGTTTCAATCGAGTGGAAATGAGGATGAAGAATGGGCTTCTCGGGCAATGTACTGTGGTAGGCCATTCCATTTGCACGGAGGGATATATCTTCAGCGCAGACTAGAACATTTGCTGCTCCACGGTCGCGCTCTCATCGTTTCAATGTGAGTCTACTACTTGAGATTCCGGTACGCTTTGCATATTGTAACGTTGTGAAAGACGTATCGCAGAAAGAAAAGGAGCAACATAGAGCTAGATGAGAAAAAAAATTGTGAACCGCTCTAATTATACAACAGCACTGCTATTTCTTTATGGACATCGCTTCGCTTGACCACTAACATACTTATAGACTTAACACCTCTTGAGATTGACAGACATCTAATAAGCATTCGACTACCAGACCCCACAAGTCATATCCCAAACGAGCCCTTGTCCACGAAGTATGTCCCACTTCTTGCGCTTGTTAACAATCGACATCAGAACACTACGAAACGCTCCGCAACGCTTGAGTTCCTTGAAGAGCCTATCTTTCCTGATTCTTCGAAATCGACCGGTCAGGCGGAGTTTGCAAGTACTGAGAAGAACCAGCGGCGAACTGGTTGTAAAGGCGGCATTCCCTGAAGCGCATGGTCTGAAGAGATAACGCGACCTCCGCAATTGGCCATTCGGTTCCGAGTCCATCGAAGAACCCTTGCGACAGTCCTAGCTGGGTCTGAAGCAAATTTCGTGCCGCCGTCGCTCTTTCCATGCTGCCTTGCTCCAACCGAGTTGCTGCCGTGTTCCAGTCCCTCCGCCACTGTAGCCATTGCGCTTCGAGGGTTGTATTGCCCTGTGTGTTTAGTGTTCCTTGGACGACGTCCCACTCTTTTCGCCACAGGCGGTAGCGCCACGCAGGTTCATCTTCTTCCTCGTCCTCATCGTCGACATTTTTCCCTTTTTGGGTGAGGACGAAAAGCTCGCATCGACAGTAAGGGCAAGAATTCTGGTTACTGTTCTCTGGGGAAAGCCATATTGTGATGCACCTTGAGCCAATAACGTGACCGCAGAGTAGACAGACGGCTTTCTCGGCAGCTCTGTTCTCGGAAAGGGTAGCGCCGCATGCCTCCATACAAATCATGCAACTTTCGTCTTCCCGTAATTCGATTGTGACAAGCTGAGTTAAGAAAGCCCCAGCCATACTGATAGGCAAGGAGTTCAATCTACCGCTTGGTTGAGGATAAGGCTTGGGTCAATGATGCGTTGCAAGAGTTGCCTACGCGGGTTTATGGTGCTAGAGATATGATTTCTTATCTCTCTGATTACTTTACGGTCAAAGGGGCGTGAGTGCTCCGCGGCCCAGCAAATAGGAGCTGAGGCATAGCAGCAGACTAGAGCACCAGACTAGGCTGCATGGTAGATGCGGGACTGATTGAGGTGGGGGCACAATTTCTGAATTTGACTCCGGTCCGAAAATTCCGCTGGCTTTGTGGATGATACCGGATCAGAGTGTTTCCTACCCTTCAATCCAAACATTCTTGGGAACACATTGGTAAGCTTGGATCAGGGTGAACCTTTTCGAGCTTATTGCGTCCAGAATCCAGCAGCGCGTTCTTCTCTCGTGAGAAGAGGCCTGTAGCGGTTGCTGCGGCCGGAGTTCCCCCTGCGCTGTTGGATGTACCTTTCCACATGCATGTTTCGTGGATGAGAACGCCTTGGGCAGTCGTGTGGATAGTCGGGGAGTGAAAGCTTTGCAAAATGCAGCGCATGCCAGCCGTAAGGCTTCTGAGACTGTGAGAAAGGGATGAGATGTTGTAGAGTATTCGCTTGCGTCTATTGACTTTTCTCTGGGTATTGGGAGTTGCTCAAAGGACTGCTGTACACTAAGGCTTGGCGCTGAGAATCACTTTAGCCTTCCGGCGCCCATGAGCGACAAAGTCATGCACGTCATTTAATATCTTTTTATCGGCATTATAAAACAAAAAAATAAATTAAAAGACATTAACCTAATCAAGAAATCACACAACACCTGCCCTCGCCACAAAGAACAGTTTGAGAAAAGGAATCTTCAATAATGGCCAAGAGTGGACCTTTGATTACTCTCGAAGAGCACTTCTTCTCCGAAACCACTCGTGCATGGGCCTCTGATGCAGCTCCGACCGCTATCCAACACTTTCCTCCTCCAATTACGACCCAGCTATCGAATCTCAGTGATGAACGACTCAAAGACATGGACGCTGGCTCGGTGACGCTGCAGGTGATATCCCACGGCCCCACGAACGGCTCGGCGCCCAAAGAGATCTGCCGCAAAGCCAACGATGAGCTCAAGTCCGCGGTGGAAGGGAGCAAAGGGCGCTTTGCGGGCTTCGCCATGGTTCCCATGAACGAGCCTGCCGCTGCCGCCGAGGAATTGGAGCGTTGTGTCAAGACCCTGGGATTCGTGGGGGCATTGGTCAACAACCATGAGAAAGGTCGCTTTTACGATGACGCTTTCTTCTGGCCCGTCTTTTCCCAATGCCAAGCCCTCGACGTGCCCATCTATCTGCACCCGACAATTCCGGGCCCGGCAATGGCGAAAGGCTCCGGCAATTATCCCGAGATCGTAGCGCAAGGCCTCGACAGCTACTGCTGGGGCTGGCATTCGGAAACCGGCGTGCACATACTGCGCCTCTTTGCCAGCGGCTTGTTCGACCAGTATCCCACGCTGAAGATCATCATTGGACACATGGGCGAGATGCTGCCGTACATGCTGGATCGCATCATACGCTTCACCAAGAAGCAATGGCCGGAGCGGCAGCGAGATCTACAGACCGTGTGGGATCAGAACATCTATATCACCACCGCTGGCATGTTTTCTGTGCCCCCTATGGCGTGTCTGCTGAGAGTCTGTAAGATTGAGCACATTCTCTACAGCGTTGACTATCCATTCTCGAGCAACGAGGAAGGGAAAGACTTTATGGATGAGCTTGGGAGAAGTGGGCTATGTTCGAAGGAGGAGATGGACAAGGTTGCCTATGGAAACGCGCAGGAGTTGCTTGGTGTTAAGGCTATGCAGTAGATTTTTTGTAGATGGAAAGTCCAGTAGGTACACAGAAGGAGAACTGTAAGAAGACCAGACCAAACGCCCCCTACACATTGAATCTGAAATAGCATTTTCCCTAGCAGACTAACATTCGCCAGCATATACGAATGTCGCACTTGCGATCAATGTGACAGTAACCTCTTCACCAGCCCCAGTCAAACTGCGTCATCCCGGCATTAGTATCAAATTCGATGTCTTCGTCCGTTTCCTCCTCCATATAATCGTCTGAACTCCCTGTATCGCTTTCATCCGATGGGTACCCAACGTGCATCGATCCTGGAACTTTGGCAGAAAGCTTTTGTGCGAGCTGATAGATGATTTCCAAGTTCCCCAGGTACTTAGCATACGACTCGGGCGACATCCGCGCCACAGCCCTGATCTTCAGTCGCAGGTCCTTCGCTTCCGCTTCGTTGAGTATCTCCTTCTTTTGCGCAAGGGTGAAGAAGTGTGCTATTGCACTATCAACGTTAGGATCTGCGATGCAGCTGAAAGAGTCAGGTAGGCCCAAGGCCCGAAGTCTCGATATGTTGTTCCGAGGACGTTTTTGTTCCTGTGACTGACGCTGAGATGCTGCTGCCTCCAGCCGAGATTCGATTTCTGCGGCGGCATTTTGACTTTTAGCCTCATGTTCTTGAAGCCGAGTAGACTCGGAGGACGCCTCGGATACCCCTGAAGTGTGCGAAACTTGGCCTGCCATCAAATCTCTGGCCGCCTTGAACAGTCTTGAGAACAGAAAAGGCCAAAAGACCTCTTGGTCATTGTGTTGAGGTGTGTACGGTGGTGGTGACGATGCATGTTCTTCCACACTAGCGACTAATTCAGCCTCCCATGGAAACGCCTTCGGTGTGCTGCAGAAGCGCAGCACGTCATCACATGGTAAAACCGTCACAAGCTCACGTTGAAGCCTTTCCCAGTCCTCCAGATTCGAGTATATGTTCATCAAAGAGTACCTAACGCTCAGATCCGCGAAGTAATTGAGAAACCGCGCATATCTAACCGATTCATCACCTTGGTCAGCACGAAGACGTTTGTAGATTTTGCTAACGCTTGAGACAAGATGAAGGCTCCATTCACGTTGACAAAGATCCAGAGGCCCGATGTGGGAATCACCAATGCGCGAAGTCTTCCACCGTTGCCTAGGGTCGGACGTCACTTGGGCAACCGGGAGAGTGATTGCCCATATATAGCTGAGCGGAGTGATGAGATCTCTATCTACTTTGGTCTTGCTTTTGGAGATAACGTCCCTTCCAAAGCTACCGGAAATGTAACTACTACGGGACAAAGCATGTATACCTGCCCGGTCTCTTTGCAGAACAGTTGACTGTCGCGCTTTTATCCTCATAGATAAGCACTCGGTAATCACAGTGGAAAAGACGTTCTGCAAATCCAGGATGTACCTCGGGCCTCGGTATTCCCAAAGCAGTTCCGCTATGAGACACAAATAAGCCGCCTTCTCATCAAAATCAAGGAGACCTAGTTCGTCAGAGGACAGCTTCTGCTTCATATCAAACCACTTCTGAGTCGCAAACTCTTCTGGCGTCATGACTCTTAAAAGGCGACTCACGATCACCGAATTAGTCCTGCGTAGCAGAGTCGATAAAGGTTCCATGGAGGAGAATAGACGTCGAAGACTCTCAAGAAGACCGTATCTTATGTGCCGGCGCTGTTCCTCTCGATTCGGTTCTTCTTTTGCAATATCGGTTGTTGCAACGGCAAGCTCTTCGGCATTTGTGTGATTGAGAGTATCACATACCTCAACAACAGAGCTTGCCAGCAGCATGAGAAAATCGTCCGGGCGTTCCTCCAGTGAAATTTTGAAACGCAGCGTCTCAAATGTGTCTGCCATCTTGCTGACTGGGGTTAGGTGGTTTCTTTGCCTCAGGTCCCCTCGGAGCCACAAAACGACCCTGCGAAGAAAATATCCCAATGGCATTTGGTCGTGAGATAGCCTGCTGATAACCAATTTAATGATACGATCCAAATCTTTCGATAGTGCAGTGGATATGTCGAACGGATTGAGTAAATGCCTCGAGAAGCCAGCCAGAAAGCAGACCTCGCACAGCATAAAACATTCCACGGGGATGGTAGCAGCATGCATTGCATAATCACCAAGATTGGCGAGTACTACTCTAATATGATGGGAGACCTGATTGATCCGAGGGAAAATGGTTTCTGGAATGGACGTTGGGTGATAATCCAGCCAAATGACCATCTCTGTAGGTAGATACTGATACAAAACGAGAGCGGCGACGATGGCAAACTTCGCTTGCTGTTCGGGATATGGATTCAGTCGAACTCGTATCCATTCATGAACCAAAGGGTGAACATGCAGAGTAGGCCCTGACAGATGTCTCTGGACCAGTGACAAAGACATCAAGGTACCTATGGCAACTCTGAACCCTACATCATCTTCCAAAAACGCCATTTGCGCCTGGTACTTGGAGGGTAGCTGTTCACCAACTAGATTTGCATCAAACATCCATGCTATCCGCTTGGGACCTGTGGTGAGAAGCTCTTCGGATATGTAAGAATGGTCTAAGAATCCCAAAAGCTGAAGTATCCAGCCAGATCGTGGTTGAGTACGTTCCAGATATTGTAGTGAGATCTCCCAAGTGGTCATTACGGAATCAGGATAAGTCGGGTTTGCTTGTTTGAACCTCAGAAGACGCTCTCTGTCTACACTCCGAGGTTTGAGGTAAGTCAGATACTCGCGAAGGGCCGTGGGCGAGTTTTCCCGAATGAAAGATGCCGCCTGATCGATTTCGAGGGGGAAGCATTGCAGCTCTTCAAGAATTTGCTTTAATTCTTCGCGTTCCAGAGCCGAGGTAAATCTTTGCACATTAGGCTCAGCACCGAGGCTCTGAATTCGAACAAAAAGGCGCTCTGCATCCAAAAGGTCCATTGCTGTAAGGGGAAACCCAGATGTTGCGACGGATCCAATAACTTTGCGATCTCTTGTCGTGATGAGAACACTCCCAGAAGCTCCTATGGGGAGAAAACGATCAATTTTCACTTTTATGTCATCAAAGTTGTCGAAAACAAGTAGCCAGTCTTCATGCCCAGGCATCAGCATCCGACCCTTCAATAGATCTACACCATCATGTTGAACCATGACTTCGGCGGCTGGTCCGGCTGTCGCTATGAGACCTGGACGTGCATATCCCACACCTCCATTGGCTTCGCGGACCAGCGACAACTTAACCGCGATTTCTCGAAACCCTGTTTCTATCTCGTCCGCGTTCCGCGCAGAAACCCAAAAAATTGATGCACTAGGCTTTCTGATTTTTCGGTCATAGACGAATCTGGTCGCAAGTTGTGTCTTCCTAGTGAAATTGAATGATTAGCGGAGATTACAATCAAAAACACACGAATTTACCCAACCCCTCCAAGACCATGGACTGCCACGATGGGATATGTCGTGCATACATCGTAGTCCTGAGCACTCAGACAATCTTCCAGTAATTGCATTTGTTCTGTGCGCCCTACGAAATGGGGGTTTGGAGAGACTGGTACTATGAAATGCCCAGGTACGACCGTAGTTGTAGAATTCGTCACTACTGCTCAACTGTAAGCAACGACAACGACTAGTATAATAACTCATTACCTTGCGCCTGATCAGCCTTGGTGATTTGAGCCGAGCATCGCTTTATCTGTGCTAGCACTGGTAGAAAAAGCGGATCAGTTTGACTTTGGGATTTACAAATTCGTCGGTGCGTGGCATCAATCGGAATCAGCACTTCATCTTCCAGTCCCAGCTTGGATGAGGTTTCGTCCACGATCTTCATATTTTCAGTTAGCTTGCATATCCGAAGAATGAAAACATACCAAAGAATTCAAGCCAGGGGTCTTTCTTCTTTCGTAGAAGTTGATTATGTCGAAAGAAGAGTTGATCTCCTGGAATTCGTTTGACAACCGAGTCAATACATCGGAGTCATGTCTGAGTGTTTCGAGGAGCTGTTTCGACGGACTTTGAAACGCTAAGGATGCAACATGCGATAATAGAGATCCCATATTTGCGCTCTTGCTACCTCCGTGAGGTGTTGCCAGAAAAAAAATGGATCGTGTAGCAACTCTTATGCTATGATATCGTTCAGGATCTGCATGAGCAGAGACAAGTGCCTGCATTGAGTCTTAGGGGGAGTATATATCAGGTTCAAAAGAGGCTTCTACCTGCTTCACCACGATACCCCCCAATGAATGGCATATAAAGATCAAAGGCCGTGATTCAACCTAAATCGCAAGTATTGATCCCGAAGAAGAGAGCATAACGGACTTGGTCTGCCCTATCGTCTATGATCCGCTGTAAGAGATCGTGTGCAAAGTCCTTAACACTGCTCACAGAGGTGTTGGAACCCAGCAACGCGGAGTTGTAGCCATAGACCAAAATTCGTGCGTTTTTGACATTACCTGGAAGGAAGTCTGGAAGCCACATAGCCTCGAAACCGGATTGTCCATCTTCGTGGTGAGCCCAAGTCCCGTAGGCGTGACCGTTGAGACCGTGAACGGCGATGATGCTGCTCGGTTAGTGATCAGCACGTTCACGAAAGGCTATGAATGCATGCTCGATGGTGTCGTGGCCAAGCCTTACTCAAGCATTGGATCTTCCGGTGCCGCTAGCACTGCAAGACCCATGAACCCTCGTTCTATGCTGACATTGCGACCGGCCAGCAATCTCCCGTTCAAATTCAAGGCCTTTTTTGCGCTTGATTGGGATTGGAAGGTGACCGTCGCAACTAGCGAAGAGTCCTTGGCAGATCCGTGTGAACAGAGAGATATATTCGACGTCGCATTTACATTCTGGCGATCAAGGAAGCTGTGAAGCCGGCTCACTCCCAAGCTAGGGGATAGGTTCGATACCCGTACCGTTGCCAAATCCTTCGGCTGCATCGTGGATCAATCAATGTCATTTCAGGGAAAACGTGAATAAGTGCCTACTGGGAAATATTGAAGAGATGAGGTTGAAGTGCGACGAGGCTGCCTACCTCAGAACGATATGCGCGCGGAACCCGAGCGCTAACTTGATCTAATTTGCCAAGACTATTTCCGTCGCTGCAGAATCCTTCATGCATGACCTGGCTTTGTTTCAATAAGAGAGTCGTCAATTCAGTTGAGTGCTGCATACTTGATCGAAAAGGATACTTTCTGGGCACGGACGTTGGCACGCCCAGAAATTGCTGGGTTTTGGGGTCGATAATTCAGCAAAACTCCTCGCTTCAATATGAAAGCATTGAAAAAGAATTCACCTTCCACTAGTCTTTTCCACCCTTCTGCTTATTCTGAAGCCCCACTATCGTGGTGAACCCATAGGGCACCCCTGGATACACCCAAAGTCTTGTCAGCACTTCAACCATGTTCAAAGCCTCTGCATACGCAATACCCTCGTCTCTCAGGCAGTCTTATTTAGGAGCAGACGTCACCTGCGGTGAAAGGCCTTTCAACCTCCTCAACAAAGGCGACGTGAAATCATTGCTGCCCTCAGATGTGTTGGGCGAATAGCAGTCCCACAACAAGCTGTGAGAAATAATGGATCCTTCATCTGCAGGTCTGATTTGTATTCATGCAATCCTTCTAGCGAGTGCAGCGGATGGCAAACAATCAACATGTTCAAAACTGGTCCACTGATCTTCAGATTATCAGCACGTGCCATAAGGGATGCAGCAGCCGCCACGTTCGCTTGTGAGCTCGACCCGATAAGAAACACAGGGTCGGCATCGGCAGGAAGGCGCTCAGATTGACCAATAGCCCGAGTCAATACATATGAGCGATCGTTCGAAGGAGTCTTGGAAGCATGTTGGAGTATGAGCAGTAATTCATGCTGATGACGCAAACGTTCGAAGTCTGCAGAATGGGCCATAGGAGGTACACTTCCTTGGCGAGATAATTGCCACTTATCCAGACACCACCATGGATGATGAAGAGCAGTGGCGATTTCGCGCTCGATGTCGCGAGTTAAGGTGGGAATGGTCATCCCCTGATTTGACGGTTTCGTGATGCGCTATGGAGTCATATCTAGTGACAGGGACTTTTGCTGCCTACTGTTTGCTCTGGACCTGGAATCCAACGCGGGTGGCTACAGGATTCAAAGATGCCCTGATTCTTTCCAAGCCTTCGGTTTCTGCCTCGATGCCATTTGATGAATCTTGCTGGTAGGCGATCCAGTCAGGAGAAGACTTGAATTAATCACTATTTTTGAGAGCCATGATCGGTGTCTTTCAGATCTGCTGCTTTCGGAAAACTACATGAAGTCTGCTCAGGTCAACGTGCTACAGCAGTCTTAGACGCTCTTTACGCTGGTACCTGTTGCTTATGTGCATGTGGACCGCCGCGTCGGTGTTGCTGGCTGTCAGCCTCACATTAGTGATACTATACGCCATACCATCGTGTCCTCGCAGGCAACCTCAACTCGTATTCTCCAAGATTTCCTGCAGCTTCTAGCAACTGGTTTGGTGATAGGCGCCAGCGGAATGCTCGGGGGAATGCCATTTCGCGCAACGGTTACCCAGAAGAGACGCTGGTTCTACCTACAGGTTGCTCAAGGTGTACACAGATTGTAGGGTTTCTATTCATTACTGTTCAGACGTCAGTCTTCTTTGGAGGTGATCATTGTGATGGTAGTACGACCATCTTAACCGCTACACCAGAGTTTCCAGAAAGTCTATTCCGAGCCCGGGTTTGATGCATCAAAACCCGGTACTAGTACCTGCAGACTTGAATACCCACATTTATAGGTGTCGCAACGTTTCAAAATTCTCAAGAGTAGACAATCAATGATTATACGACTTATCATGAGCTCAACGCTTTAGATATTCGTTTCGTTGAATGGTAAAGTAGTTTAGAATTTTAGTCTTGACGCCAAATCCCCGCGAAGAGTACGCGAAAATCGCTGAGTTTCGACTTGAACTTTTCAGTTCAGATGTAATTCACGAATACGAGGATTTTGGACACATTGTAAAGGACCAAATACCTATGTTGCGATTATAAAATATCTTTGAAATGGTTGATTATACCGTAGTGTACCTAGTCGTAAAGCGAAGGTCAATTTAGTGGGGACTCTGCCAAACGGGAAACTCTAAAGTAGAGTAGTGGCTAGCTTTGAGTGCGAGAGTGCCCACGGTAACGTGGTGACTCCACCAATCTCAACTTTTGGATTGTCCTGCAAATCTTCTCCAAAAACAATGCCAATCGAGGCCGATAGCTATGTTGGAGACGGACAGCTTGAAAAAGAATCGGCCCCCCGAAGAACTTCGTTGAAAGGCGATGAATGGTCGTCTTCTCGCCATGCGATCCTCGGTGACCGATCTTGGGCGAGAATCCAGTCACCTGGTCTCTCTGTAATAGAGAGGCTCAATGGCTCTGAATAGAAAACCAGAGCCCTTTTAGCTTTCTCCAGAGCTGCTACGCTTCAGCCCTCAACTACCACGCACAATACAGCTCCGAATCATGCCTCTCGTACCAGAAGAAATCTCGTTCTCAGGCAAGTACGCACACCTCTGCATCCTCTAACCTCTCCTGCTGACAGCTCTACACAGACTACCTAGGCCTTAATGCCGCACTCTTCGAATGGGCCGAAAGCTATGACTCCAAAGCTCGTCTCCCTCTCCATGTCCTCTACAAACCCACTGACCCATCCACCAGAATTGGGCCCGCCTCCGCGCCTGCGTCGCCCCAACCATGCGCATCGACTACCGCTCCTTCCTTGACAAATTATGGGAAGCCCTTCCCGCAGACGAATACGTAGCCATGGCCTCCGACCCACATGTTCTCGGTGATCCTCTGCTCAAAACCCAGCATTTCATCGGCTCGTCGAAATGGGAGAAAGTGTCGGATACCGAAGCCATCGGATGGCATCAGTTGCGGGTTCCGCATCAGAGATACACAGATGAGACGAAGACCGCGGTCGCAGTGAAGGGCCATGCACACGGCACGAACCAGCATTGGTACAAGAAGGTAGATGGAAAGTGGAAGTTCGCTGGACTGGCGGTGGAAATCAAGTGGGGCGAGTTTGATCTGGACAAAGTGTTTGCGAGTGGCAGGGATACGTTTGGGGAGTCGGAGAAGGAGAAGATGATGGATGAGGCGGCCGTCATGACTGGGATTCCAGGAGACGCTGCCAACCCACCAACTCCTGAGTCAATGGACATGGAGACGAAGCCTGTCGCTGCTCAAGGGGCCGCGGAGCCTACTATGGAGCAGGCTTCATATCCTAGTGTGATTGGCAATACGAGTGGAATGAGAGACTTGGCTGAGTCGGCGAAGACGCCTATGGCTTATGAAGATCAGGTTGAAGGAAGTATGGTCGGGGCGCCCATGGTCTACGAAGGTGAGATCAAGGGAGGTATGGTTGCGGTATGAAGGGTGTGTCTACTTGTCTGAGCGTAATCTACACCCACGATCACAATGAAAGCCTCTTCCCAACGCCGTCGAGGCTCCATAACTCCTCGCGCCTAATGTCTAGAGCGTTTAGATTGATTCTCCGCCAGTCGCTCAAACACGCTGATTGCATGAAACTGTCATCATCCCCGTGATATCCCGCTGTGAAAATGTCCCCTCGGCATAATTGATGACCGATCACGGGCCAAATGATACGCCACCGCCCTCCTCGTCACCAGCTGCGGCAATTTTAAATCACCGCGAGGGTAAGTCTAACCCTGCCACAGAGCCTCCCCCCTCAACCCACCACCCCTCCACGCACGAACTTCTCCGTGCACCGGAGACTCAAAAAGCCAGCGTTAGTGATGATCACGGATAACGTGGTGTCGTTGCCGCGCGTAACGTACCTTACATTACATTATACATTTCCAGGCGACCGAGACCTGCATATTCCCCCGGCCGGCCACGTCTTGCACTAGCGGGACGAATCCTTCAACGCCGTGATTGCCTCCCTTCATCAACGGATGATAAATAACAAGAGAACGTCATCTGGAAATCCCTTCAGGTCTCTCCTGTCGTTCACGTCAACGAGGGATCTTCGACCAGGAGCGTCCCGGGCCGGACATATTCGCTTCGGTTGTCCCGAAAGGGCAATGCGTCAACAGGAACGTTGAGGGTGATAGGTAACCGTAGCGGACCAGTGTTGGCATGATGATCATAGACTAGGGGACTGGGTGCGAATATGCAGGTCATGGTCGATCGTTTCCAATCTAGCTCGGAAAGACGATGTGCCTCCAATGCAGGTACCCGTGCCTAATGTTCAGAGGCGCGCGAATCGAGTCCACCCGTGGTGAAATCGTGTGCATCATATTCTTGCTCTTTGCAACGGTATCCGAGCTCTGCATGTTCGACCATTGCATCATATGCTCCAAATTTTAGATATCGGTGATATATATATCCGATTCTTCCCCCGTGCAAGCACACTCATCCCACAAACCCCACAACTCCACACGCAGGGCCAAATCAAGCCCACCCTAAGCACTCTTACTACCACCCTAAGCACTCTTACTACCACCCCATCCCCCAGAATCAAAATGCGTACCTCGATCCTCCTCACAACCCTCGCCTCCATCCCCTCCCTCCTCGCTCTCCGAGCACCAAGTCTCTATCCCCGCACCTACACAGACATCAGCGCGAACGCCAGCTACTGCCCCGGACACCCGGCGCCCGAATACATCCAACGCCAAATCTTCGACGGCTTCGTCAACCAGCTCTACGGCGAAAAAGACGTCATTGGCGCCTTCAACAAGTACATCGCTCTCAACTTGACCGAGCATGACCCCTTTGATGCGCAGGGCAGGATTGCGAACGAGGAGAAGTTGTCGTACAGTGAGTGAAAGAATTCCGCATCCTACCTCGCCTGACAAAAAATTGTGGATGTCCGAATGGCGCGGAAACCGGAAAGGCTGACTCGGAGTCCTATTTGCAGTTATTCCTTATGTGCCCTCCATAGTCCT